ATGAAATTAACTATACCGGCTCTTCCGCAGACAGACTGTCTACCGCAGCCTCTCTCGTCTTCCAAGATATTTGTGTTGTCCTTTGACGACTACGACCGGCTTCCAAGTTCAACCGAGACCGCAGACACGACGATTTACCGGTCGATCGATCGATACCACCGGTTACAACCATCGATGAACGGTGGAATTTGTACTTTGACTCGAGGAGTCTTGATTCGAAGTGGTAGAACTGTATTTTAGAATCTTCTCTCAAGTATTTTGCATCATTGTCACTTTTTAGTTTCAAGATCCTCTTAAATTATAGACACGGGTGACGTTTATTCTGTATTTAGTGGATTCCTGAGTCAAAAGCGTTCGCAACTATGAATCATATGACAGGCAGCGTGTTAAGTAACTAATAAATGGACAAACGCCCAAGTTTATTTTGAATAGTAAGAACTCTTGCCAGAAGTTAAATTGTAATAGTCGACTACATTCTACGTATCCAAATGGCGGAGGAAACTTCAAAGTTTTCGATTACAAAACCAAGAGTGTTTGTATGATTTTAAATGTACCATTGGGAGAATTCAAGCCTTTTGCAATATCGAGGAACACAAAAAATCGTTCAATTTTTTGCCAACAACGATACTTGTCCGTTATATTCGATAACAGTTGAGAAATTAATTGTTCCGTTTGCGGTTCCTACAACGTCGACGTATCAACGAATTCGCGGTTCAACGATCCGTGGAGACGAGGACGATCCTCCGGGTCGTGGGGTCCCTCGAAACGTAACTTCATCAGCACGCCCGTTACGAATGAATGTTTAAAAACAGAGACGCGCGCAGACGGGCGAAACTTTTACATTCGAACTTCGCCCATGGCGGTGGACGGTGGTGAAAAAGTTTCGCGGTCGGGTGAAAAAAATGGCGTGGCGGCGGAATGTTTAAAATTCGGGTACGGCAGACCGGTCGAGAAATTGCTAATTCTGTTTTCCGATCGAAGACAATCGACGCTGCGGGACCGCGATGGCGGACAATGGCTCCGCCGGGCGTATGAAAAACGCGACGCCGCGACGCCGGGCTGGAAAAGCATTGAATTCGTCGCGTCGGATTTATAGGTAATTATTTTTCTCGAGCTGTTCGCGTGACAAAAACCGTCCCACGGATGACGGAGGCGGAAGGTGGAAGCAGGGGCGTCGAAGGGTGGGTGGCTGCGGACGTGTTTCGTCGAGCGAATATCTACGGGCGAACGAGAGCCATCGCTGGGCGTGGAAACTAAAGCCTGATCGTGTCGCGGATGTACATTTTCTACGGGGATCGTATTCAGAGAACGACGCAGCCCCGAGACGGGGGGGTCTGGGCGCGGAGAACGAGCTGATACAGTCGTCAGGGGGGCGCGAGGGTGTATAACGCGACAATTGTCGGATGCGACGATTCGCGCGAATCGCGCGCGGGGACTTAGGTAGGTGAATCTCCGTGAGGCCGAGTGGAACAGCGTGATCCAGGAGGATGAGGACGATGCAAGATACGGCGCAAGGGTAGAGGAAAGTGAGGGACGACGGGGGCGAGGGATTGTATAGATACATCCCTGCGGCGGTGGTTTGTAATATTATGATAACCCTCCCTGGCTGCCTGGCTGCCTCACCCCTACCTCGTTTCCCTCCTACGCGGCCGAGGCTGCGCGGCCACCCTCTTTCAGCGGCCATGTTGCCGGGAAATATGATTATTGTTATTATTTGCACCCTCCTTCGACCGCATCCTCCTGACTCCTCACCTCCTCGTAGCAATCCTCTCATCCTGGTGTTCTCTCCCCGCTGTCTGTCTTTCTTTCTCCAAGCCGTAACCGTCTCTGTTCCCGGTTTCCCGCTGTCTCGTCCTCTGCCCCTGTTGCACCCTCCGCGCTCATCCCTCGATCAAACTCCGATCCTCTCTCCTGCTGCGCGTCTCCTAGGTCCTGCGAGGCAGCTCTTCTACGCTAGGCGAATTGAGAGGAAACGAACGAGAACAGGTCCGAGGCAACCAGCCGTCAACGGAGCTTCTCTCTTTATCGTGCCCGTTTCCGTATCGCCTCTTTCTCGTCTAGCCTCGCGTCTCTACGCTCTATCGGCTCTTTCCACCGTCTCTCGTTCCGCGGTCGCTCGCGAAACTTTACGATGCGAAATGCCATCCCCTGCGTCGCACTTTTCAAACCCCCCTCTCGTCTCTCTGTGCCTCTCCGGTTCCCGGTCGTTTCTCTCTTCTTTTTTCCGAAGCGTTTTACTTTTTATTTCTCGTCGCTTCTTGTCTCTCTTTGTCTACCGCTCGCTTTCACCGTCAGCCTTTTTTCTTTCTGAACGCGCAGTTCATCCGCAACTAGTCCCCGCGGAAACGTTTCATCGACCGAGACCATCGCTCTCGTCTTTCTTTTTTCTCCTACTTTTCATTCGCCTCCGGGCTCTTCCGCGCCAATATTGAGAAGTATTCCTGACAAACGGAAACTTTCTTCTCGGGGCGGACGGGGAACGAGGATCCCTTTTGACCGTAATATTCCCGCCTGCATACACTCCGCTTACAACACCTACGATCTCTCGGTTCTCCCGTCGTAAACGCGAAATGAAAAGAAAAAGAAGGGAATAACCGGATCTTTGGACGGTTCGCCGCGAAATCCGAGAGTCAAACTTAAATATCCCTGGCGCGTTTCCTGTAGCGAGCGCCGCGGATACGGCGCCGACGTGCAGGCCATTTCCTGCAAATTCGACTAATCGTGTTATTCGAGTTCTTTCCCGCGTACATACGTATGTATATAACGCAGGGAGCGTTAAGTGTAACGAGAACCGTGGCGTGACGTAAGAAAGGAAGAAATAAACGAACAACCCGGAGGTGTAGGAGTAAAGGGATAGTGGTATGGGGAAGGCGGGCGCGAACGACGAAGGAACGAACGAGCCTGGCGGAAAGGAAAGGAAAAAGGAGGATAGCAAGGAGGTGGTGGTCTCGGTCTCGTAGCAGTCGCGAGAGTCGTGGTAATAAATGGGCAACACGAGCGCTTATAAGGGGTAGGTAATCTAAAGCTTTCGAGGCGGCAGCGCAGGGATGGGGAACGTCAGAGAAAGCGAGCTAGGTGGAGGTTTCAGTGGGGCCGAGAGACGCTCGGGGAGGGGGTTCAGGGGTTGGGGGGAGGGGGGAGAGCAGGGGGAGCGGTGTGTAGGATGAGAAGAACCGGCTGGAGGAGGAGACCGCGGAGGTAGGGGGATAAGGGTGGTTACGGTGAGGGTGTGAGATAAGGTATAAGGTGGGTAAGATGGCGGACAATTTGCCGCTCGACTACTCTTGCCCGCACCCCTCCCTCGACGATTCTACCCCTCCCCCGCTGGCCTATGTACCGGGTAATAGATGTTCCTCCTTCGCGACCAACAGAGAAACGTTGAACGCGCGCGCAAGCTGCCCCCGTACCCACCACCCCCGTAGCTTCTTTCTCTATCTCTCGTGGAGAACGCTCTGCGTAGGACGCGCGCGACGATGAGAGGGAATCACGCGTGCACGCGAGCGACACGAATACACACACGCACCCACACACACGCCGGAAGCTGGCTCCACGTCGGGTATTCACGTTCGCGGTACGTAGGTATTTTAAACGCTCTCCACACCGTCACCTGCCGCCGCCACTGCACGCCCCTCCCTCCGCGACCCCCGCCCCCGGCCGCCCCAACCGCCAGCCTACCCGCCAGACCGCACCAGCATGCTCTCTCTTAGCATTCCATCCGCCATCTTCTCACTTAATAAAATAATTACCCCAGGCCAATTAAGCGTTCCCTCCCCTCGCGCGATCCCCCCCTCTCCCCCGCGTACGCCCCCGCCCCCCGTTGCTGCGTCTCTTTCGCGCTCGACGGGCATCTCCCTCGTCACGTATTCCCGTACTCGCTTCTTCCAGTACCGCGACCTTCTTCCTGTCGCGAGCGATTTCAGCGTTTCGAAGGCCGTGTTATTATTTTAAACAGTTTGAATAGGGATACCATTAGGCGAAGGAAACGTAAGAAACGGGAACTTTGGTGCGCGTCGATTCAAACAATAATTTTGCGTACCCTGGAGGTAAGCGGATGAGCAGATAACGCTGTTATGCTTCCACTTATGGTCTTGTGCAGGGCGTAACAAAAATATTTATCGAGGCTCTCGGGGGCGAACCCATGTGTCTGAATCGATGGACATTCGTTGATAAGTCTTGTATGAAATACATCTTGGCTTGGAACTTGAAGATCCAAGTGCTTTTTATCCGTCAATTTTTAATTCGACTTTGGATATGTATGTGTTTGAACAAAATCGGTGACCCCAGAAGTATAATCTCTCTTGTCTCGACAAGCGTTTTTAAAAAAAGATTTTGAATCAATCGTTTGTTCGAATTTCGAACATTTCGAATGATTTCCAAGAGATTATAAAACCGGATGCGCGCGCGCTATGTTCAACGGCTCGCCACGCATTTTTCACATCCGTGTAGGGGAGATTTGACGCCAGTGCGTGATAATGCATTTTATATTTATGCGCCGACGAAAATTTAGCGTGAAACGACGGTGCATTGCTCGTCAGCACGGAAAATAATTTATTGATTTCCGATAACGGTGTTTTATCTTTCGTACAAATATAATGGACTCAGTGATGTACTCGACCAACACACCACCGACGAACATCTCCCTCGAACGTCGATCAATTATGTTTCCTTTGACCGGATCCAGGCGTTTGAAATTCGAACATCGTCGTAGAATTTTATTCTCTTTGAACGAGGAAGTTCGAAGTCTGTGAAGTTCGTGTCGATCGATTTGTCCAGGGAACTTTAACGATGTCCTTCGAAACACTTAACAACACACTCGTGATAACGAAAAACTGCACTTTATTTGAAATTGATAGAAAGTAAATCGAACACGCAATTCGTTAGGAACATGTTCAGCGACATCTGTGTACGGCAGTATGATCGAAAGATGTTTTCAACGGTAGGTCTTTCCGCGACGAAACGAAGGAGAACGCGATCAGACGGCAGCACAGTCGCGTCGAATCAAGATGTCCGCCGTGGCGTTGTTCCGTCGTGTTTTTGTGAAACAAATAGTCGATTATGGTATTTTAAACGCACCGGTGACGTGTCAAGCTCAACAAAGAAGGGACCAATGGAATCTTAAGAAACTTCCCAAGCCAGGAGTTAATGGGAAGAGTTTCCGGAGAATTGTTCATTTTAAAGACGAGTACACCGTCGAGCCTTTGGAGGTTACAAATTTGGCAGGCAGAGATCCTGTCTCAGGTGCGTATTGAATTAAAGTTTATCGATTCGCGACCATCATTATTGAAAAACAGAGCCAGCTGATATTAATTTCGACCATAGTAATTTAGTAATTCGAAGTTAGCTCTTAAAATGTGTACAATCGACTCATCTTTCGATACCGGCGCCACTAGTCGGTAAATAAGTTTTTTCGTGATTGGCATATCGCATCGATGTAAATTAATAATGTTGGAGAATTATCTTAATCGTAGAAGTCACGATTACTTCTTAACCTGTTAACTGAGGTAAGATGAGTTCATTCGTAGTTCGAGAAAACTCGAAGTAAGGCGAGTCACTTCGTCATCGAGAATTTAAAAATTATATTTGTACAGAGAGTTCTTATCTTCAACAGGAAACTTCATCAATTTTTAACTCGGTTCTATTAATTATGTGGATCATCTGTTACAGATCATGTATCATGTATTTATTCCTGAAAAAGTAAAGATCCAAAGACAAAATAAACAAAAGACTCAATGGGTAAAGTTATCTGCTAAATTGGGGTTACTGTGCCTATTGTATAGTTTCTAGTAATAAAGTTTGTGAAAATTCTTAGGAAATTCTCTTAGATTAGAAGAATGCGTGAGATCTTTGTTCAAATACGAGGCACAAAATATTTGACGGTGTCATATGTGTTTTATTCCAACTATGAAGGCATTGTATTTTTTATTCTTTGTTCGTCTTTAGCTCCTGCTTATGTATTCATGCCATAATAGTTAATTTAACAATTGCTTAACAGCACTAGTTATAAAGTAATAAAACAGCTCTTGTATGACTCTTACAAATAATTATCATGCTGGTATCCATATTCAGTGCCCGATTTTCAAGAAGAAACAGTATTTTTTCACATAGATAATTTTATCATAGATAAGACGAGTTAACCCTGTATTTATTTGGTATACTGAGTATTTCTGGTTGGGAAACTCAACCTGGTTAACAGGTTAAACATACTGATTGATGGAAATACGTTTCTGTAGTTAATAAAATATTGGTAAAAATAAATTCTATGTTTGCAGTCATCATTCATAAACGAGAATGTTTATGCATATGAAAAATTTTTTTACCAACTTGATCGATGTCACGTCACTCGCTTATCGAAAATTAATAAATATATCGTAGGTTTATAGAAAGTAGGATAATGAGAATATAAATGTATTTTATCGCTAAAACAGGAAGAGTAATAGCAAAAGGTATCGGTGGTGGTATTAAACACAAATACCATTGGATCGACTGGATCAGGGATGGACCCACCGACTTGACGGAAAAGCCAAGAGAGGACAGAGTGCTGGAGATATTCAAAGATGGATGCAGGACGAGCTTCGTTGCCTTAATTGGCGGCGGCCGCGAATTAAGGTACATTCTAGCCACGGAGAATATGAAAGTGGGCGATATTATCAAGACGCACAAGGGTATTCCACGCAATCGTGTCCGTGCTGCGGAAGGAGACGCTTATCCTTTGGGAGCATTGCCTTTCGGGACGATGGTGCACTGCGTAGAGAAATATCCAGGTCTAGGAGGTTTTCTCGTTCACGCTGCTGGAGGTTTCGGAACGATAGTGAGAGAGGAGGGAGACCGTGTAATTGTAAAGATGCCGAGCAAGAAGGAGTTCAGTTTGCACCAAACTTGCATGGCGACGGTCGGTAGGCTGTCGAACATCACGCACGGAACGACGCCTATTGGCAGTGCGCAGAAAAATCGAGAGCTCGGTAATCGGCCGAGGAGCGGTCTCTGGCAAAGGAAAACCGGTAAACACGGTCGGAAGATCAAACCTTTGCCTCCCGTACGAAGGTTCGATAAGGACGGTAAAATAATCGAGGATGAAGTACTTTCTTTTAACCTTAGAACGCTGAACACGGTCGAGCAATAAGTATCAGTACGCATAGAATAAACGATTCCTTTATTGAACTATATTTATTGTCTTCGTTACTTATTCTCAGACGATAATCGGTTCTCGGGCTTCGTCCACAGAGCTTGCCTTCAACGGATAAAACACGTAGATATGTTCTTAGAGTTTCTGTTACACGATGGCCGTAAGCCGGTTGCTCCGTCGAAAGAGTCGCGCGAGATTCTAAACGTTGGCGTATCGCTTCTCAGGCTCGCGATTCCTCGTTCGTGCGTTTCCTCGTAACAGTTTCGGTCTTCAGAGCCGTTCAAAGACCTTTGTTGTAGTACACCGTCTGCACGCTAGGATGAGTGGAACGTATTTGCTCCCGTACTTCCGGTTCCAGTTCGTTCACGTCGATCGGTACGCGTTGCACGAACAGGGCGCAGCAGAGGGGGGTAGCGAAGGTTAGGCACACTCCGCAAATCATGACTTGTATCGGCACGGTCGCCCATCTAGCCTTGGTCAACATTTTTCGTCGTTCCATGAAGTTCATCGCGACGGGCGCCAGTACTGTAACGAGCACAGAATGCAATGAAAATTAATCTGTTGGTATAAAATAGGGATGCTTCACGCGCGTTGGAACTGCTCGTAGCTTATTTTGACCTGCTAGCCTATAAACTGTAGCGTTAAGGAGTCCAACGCGTGGGAAGTGGTACTAGGATCGAAAACGTGGCCGCTTACTCATGCTCGGCGAAGCCATGAGAATACGCGAGAGGGTGACGGCAGTGATAGCCTTTTTAGCGGCGTATTTGCTGTTGCCAACCTTCGCGCCCTCCTCGGTCTGCAATTCGATACCATTCACCAGCTCGGACATCCTCATGAAGGGTATGTTGACGCAATTGGCAGCAGCCACCGCCGCCAATGGTACCAGTCTACCCACCAATGGCGGCGCGTTTCGAAAGAGTCGATTCAAACTCAGGGCGGTCATCACCGCGCCGCACGTTGCGATTCCATAGCTCTTCAGGATCGTGTCCGTCGGTATCGGGCTCGAACCGCTGCGATTCGTGTAATTGACCAGCGCGTTGAACGACTGGTTAACCCATTGCCAGGTTATCACGTGCGCCGTTGTCCTGTAGAATAAGTCTCTGTTAAATTCCTCGCGCTTCCGCGAATAACAATTACGTTAGTGGAACGCGTCTCGCGATAATACGGCGCTCTCAGACTTTATCTGCTCGTCGGTAAACGCGACCGTTGATCGTTAGTCTGTTGCTTAATTAGTCACGCGCGTGAGCTAGTTTCGAGATTTGACGGGGTGAAAAGGTTTCGTTCAGCTCGGTATCAGCTGTCTGCAAGGTCGCCGCGAGATAAGGTTCCATCGATCGAGTACAGTCTAACGAGAGAGATACGCACTTGTAGAACGTCAACATGCAGCCGGTTATCATCATGTTCATTGGCACCTGGGCGCTCATGCGTCCTATCAGCAACATTTTTTCGCCCGTGTCGGGGTGGAAAGCGCTGTCGTACAGGTACTTGCAGTTCCACAGCTCTTTCTCCGTGACGCCCAGTTGCTCCAGGGTACTCCCTTTCCTGTGTTAATATCGGAAGTCTGAGCGATAAACTGACGACTAGTTGAATGGGACCAGTCGATGCGGGAATTTTATGAATTTGACGTTGGCAGTCAATGCGTTGGAGGAAGTAAAATATGCTAATCGGATGTAAATACCTGTATTTGCTGACGACGTCCCGGGCATGTTCGAGGTTCTGGCTGCTAGCGAAGAGATTCGTAGGTTTCGTGACGGCAAGGAAGTGCAGTGCCCTTCCCTTGTAAGTGCTCTGATCCCAATAGGGCTTCTCGATGTCGATTTTCCGGTTGTCCGACCGATTGTTGACATCCTTGCTACTCGACATCTTGCAGATCCTTTCCGATCACGTAACCCGTTCTCTCTCCTACCACCGATGCTCACCTGCCCGTCACCGACCCTACCACCGTCTCCGCCCCACCACACACTGCTACCGGTTTCCTAGAGCCTCGACCGTACCTCGTCGGGCGTCGTCCTTTCGTTCGAGTTCGCGGATGATTCCTTGTTTCTGCGTGATCCTAGCCAGCCGGATACGAATACGCGAACGATACTGTATTCCGCGACACTGACCGATACGTTCTAGTCGTCACGGCACCGTCACTCCATCGATGACCCGGTCGTTTCCCTCGCCCCTTGCGGCTTTTCGATCCATCGCGCTGCACGCGTTTCCCTCTTCCCTTCGGCTCATCCCCAGCGCTTGGTTATCGATGAAAAGCTCGCGCGCGCGCAACCACCGCCCAACTTATCTGCGTTTGTTTCGGCCACCGAGAGATGGTGGCACGTTTCCCTCGAATCTGAAACGAAAAATGGAGTTTCTAGAGGCACCTGGGGGTGCAGAAACAGGAGAAGGGTCGTTTGGACAAATTTATCTTTGGAGATTTTGCAGGTTCTCCTCGATAATCCGAAGCCTGGAGCTATCGATCGTGGCGATGAAAGGGGTGGCTGCTTCAACCCCCAGACGTTGTGAGGACACTCCACGAGATGGTGACACTGTAGCCTCGGATACCGAAATATGATTACAACTTGTAGCATTGTTCGATAAGCTAGATTTCTTAACAATGAGAATATTCGGCGCCCAAGTCACGAACGGTGTCTAATGAATAAAAGAGTAAAGAGAAATAGCGATAGAGAAAGCACACCGCGCCTCGTCGAACCTTTGAACCGCGTCGTCGTGCAACAACTGCGTCGATATGCTAATTCGAGGACTCCGGTTGCAGTTGACGGACAACGTCTGTCGCTGTTACAAGTATCGCAAACATTGACGCGGATTTGACCTTGTTACAGGCTGGTTGGTGCGTTAACAAGGTCATTTTCGATTGCGAAGTTCAGTGACTGTATTGCGATTAAACGTCGAACTTTCTAAACGGTCGCTGGACGCGTCGGTCCAGTTTGGAGTGATAATGGTCACCGATGAGTACTTACGGGAAGCAATCCGATTCTAAGTGTCCAATTTAATCATTGCCACGAATTATTTCAGTTCCACTTAACCGTTCCTCAGCTTCCACTTTCTGCTCCAACTCGTCTTAACGATCAATGGTCCTTACTCTGACGCGCGACCCTGCTTGATTTTTAGCCCGATTATCCCAATTTATGGATCGGAAGCCTAGATCAAAGGCATCCGTGCCATTTTGTGGGCATTAATTTTTTGACCTATAATCTGTTTTGCTTGGTCATAGCGCGCCAATTGGCAGAATAATGATAGGAATTAATATTAGCTGCATACCGATGCGGCTGGAAGTCAATACGCAGCTGGTCCCATTTTCTTTCGATTTAATTTATACTTAGGATCAGTTCTCCACGCCTGACAGTAAAATATGATGTATCGACAAGCAGAGACCATGGGAGGGAATATTGATTGAGACTAGAGATTTATGACAGCGAGGAAAAGAGTCAACGAGACGATACTCCCAAAGAAATGTTTTGTCGGGTTAACGGTAACCATTCGAAGTCTTGCTACTCGATTTAAAATTTATTTAGTTTCCCAGCGTAGAGTATTGGTAATTGCGTTGTTCTTTTATCTCTCGTTCACCTTCCCCGAGTCAGGTAAAAAGATTATATTTGCACATCATTAGTTAATCGTGTCTTCAACGCGAGCCCCCAGCGATACTATATGCACAATATATGCAAATGATCGAGGCGAGGCTTATCTGCGTTTCAAGCGCGACAAGTTTGAATCTGTAATCTCAATCAAATCAGTCGGTCACTCAGGGGACTAGTGGAGACCTATCCTCATTACGCAGAAGTTAGGTTAATAACTGTACTTTATCTTCGTGCCATAAATATATAATATCCTTTTTTCTTATACTCTTGTAACAAAATAGACTACGTAGCGGAGATGAGCAATATTTTTATTCGATTAATAGATGATCAAGAAGATCCGCGTATAATAATTTCAGTTTGTAATTAAAACTTTTATCCTTTTTTTAAATGAGAATTTTCTCAGGCCGCGTAACTATAATATATAGTGCGATGCAAGTAAGTATGCATCGATGTTAGACGCCATGTAAACGCTGTTTAACACGCATGTTACAACATCGATGCAATAACTCAAAGACGTTCGACGAAGAGGCTCTTACCACATCGACGTAAAACAAATGTGTAAACGGCTGTGTAGCGGGTGGGTGGGTGGGAGACCAGCGACCTTGATCGGCCAATTGATTTCGCGCCAAATATAGAATCAGTTTGTTCGTTCGAGTTTTTCTTAACCGGTCGACATTTTGAATCAAGACGTATCTCCTCGCTAGACATTTATCTATTTCGCTCGGTGTGCCGTGCAAGTCCTCATACGGTGTCCCACTTGCGCGACGGGTGTTCGCACATGCAACTGAAACCGAAAACGAAAGGCACGACGCGCGCGCGAATCCAGTTTTCGCCATTACTGGGTGATCGCGAACTACGTTAGCGCCGATCGTTCACGAAAGTATGCTAATTCGACGAGGTTACTCGGTTACGTGTTGTTTACCGCGTGCTCCATTGGTAATTAATCGGTCGAGCCATTATCGTATTCTCACTGACGAGCTATAGGAATAGACCTTACACCTTATGGACTTTCGTGGCCCAATCCCGCCCTGAAAATTAGGTGACTTTAGCGTCATGGATATCATAGGTATCTATAATCTGTAGAGCTCATGGATACCTATAAAAAGTGTTAAACAAATTTATTAAAAATCATATATAAATTTTAAAGAAAAATCGACAGGGGGTAGGTGCCTAAATTTCTCGGCGAAAAAAAAAATTTCAAATCGTTCTGAAAAAATTATTCTCGATTGCAGGGGTCAATTACAATCACTTTTGGTGAATACACATACCTCCGAAATCCTAACAATTTTCGAGAAAAAAATTCGAGTAGGTGGACAAATTTTTCGGCGAAAAAAAAAATTTCAAATCGTTCTGAAAAAATTATTCTCGGTCACAGGGGTCAATTACAATCACTTTTGGTGAATACACGTACCTCCGAAATCCTAACCATTTTCGAGAAAAAAATTCGAGTAGGGGGACAAATTTTTCGGTGAAAAAAAAATTTCAAATCGTTCTGAAAAAATTATTCTCGGTTGCAGGGGACAATTACAATCATTTTTGGTGAATACGCATACCTCCGAAATCCTAACCATTTTCGAGAAAAAAATTCGAGTAGGTGGACAAATTTTTCGGTGAAAAAAAAAATTTCAAATCGTTCTGAAAAAATTATTCTCGGTCACAGGGGTCAATTACAATCACTTTTGGCGAATACATGTACCCCCGAAATCCTACGCAGTTTCGAGAAAAAAATTCATTATCTAATGTCTGACCAGGGCAAGAAGGTTTCCCTGAAATTTCATGCGTATGTTTAAGAAATCATAACTCTTGGCTGGATTAGAGGATCTTAATGTTTAAAATCTTACATTTCCACGCGTTTTATAAGGAAATATGAGTACTGTTAGGATGAAGTTTTCTAACTAGTCCAGGACTAGGGCCCTTCGGCGTTCGAGAACAGTATTTTTCAGTAGGGTGCGGTCTCCATGCTTCACCTAGTGGCATAAATCCGACGTCGCCGGTTATTGACGCGATAACAGAATCCGCTGGACTGTATAATTCAGCTCGTCAGAGGATGGAAGAGTAATTGACGTGCTGACGAGCGCGTTTAAGCGAGTCCGATACTTTCACCGGAATCGATTCCAGCGGATTCCGCTCTGTGCAGTGGCGTTCCAGCGAATCTAACATCGGTAATTGCATACCGGGAGAACCAGAAAACATCCTTGGTCTTCTCGCGAAATAGAGGCCACGGGGGTTCGGATAGGCGAACCGTAAACACCGGCTGACACGACGAATCACCCGGCCCGGTCTCCTTCTTTTTGATTGTTGCAAACAGTCGCTGCCCGCGTTCCATCGCAATTACTTGTCCGCGAAACAATAAAATTAGTCGCAAATTATGCAAAGCAGGAGTATGGAAATTACGGTGGTCAGGGGACCAGAAATTCTGCCGTCGTTTCGACTTTTCCCCGAAGCGTTCTTGGCGCAGGTCGTTCGACTTCAGTTTTTATTTTGCCAGCGAGATAGATTTTCTCCCAAACCTCTCTAGATATTACCATTAAATTTTGTCCATGAACTTTGCCAACGGCGATAATTATATTTTTGTAAACATTCTAAAAAAAAACAGTTACACGATGCTCGATTAATACATTGCAACGGTATTTAATTACGCGTGTCGAAATATTCTCGTGATTGCTCTTTGTTTCGCGTTAATCGGTCGTCGCGCTTTGAACCTCACGGTCGTTGATAGTATATACTTTCACGTGACGCTATCTACGGATAAGGCGATTCGTCTCTTTAACTTCGTCATTTTCTTCATTCACAAGTCGCTATCCAGTCTAATCTACGAGACGCTTAGTCTAATTATAATAGTTACTCTATATGGTGTATACATTCGTTGACAATATTTGTGAAACGAGTTGTACAGATATTTAATTAGGATATTTAATTCGAACGAATTTTATTTTCGCGTTGACCGGTTGTGTTACTATTATACACCCTGTATAAGAGTCGTGATGTAATCCTAATCGAGGGGATAATTGAAACGTTTACCTCAACGTGCTCGTGCGTTTCGAAGTCCCACTAATTGGATCTTCGTTTCGCTTCCTCCGATCGGCGATCGAAGATCAACGATACCACTGCTCCTAAATTTCCTTGTCACGCGTGATCACGACACGATCTGAACTGGATCCAACGCTCGATCGTCGGTTTTTTCGTCGCGTGTGCCTGGTCCGTTTACTTCTGAACGTCGCGTGGCCGCGCACCGAGCAAACTGGATCGGAATCGGTCGCAACGAGATCATCGATTCATATCCTGCCGATGACTCCTGGAAGTGGGCCATCGAATGATCAGGGTAAGCAGGTTACGTTCGAGGATTCGCCTCCAGGGCGCCGGTATCTGGTTCTTATCGAGCCAAAGACTGAAGCTGCTTCTGCGTGCACTTTTTGGGGATGCTCGTAACTGCGAGTGAAAGGCGCATCGTCCAGTCTTTTAATCGTCGAGTTTGCTTTATCTTCTCTTTCCAGGAAAATCATTGATGTTCCCGATGCCACGGAAACGAGTTTCGAGACGTTGGATCCAGATCTTCGGAAAACGATGGAAGAAAGTCTTCTCTCTGTTTAATTCGCGGCGAGGAATGTCCCTGGGTTTCGTGCGAGTTAGGAAAAGAATTTGAATTGATCACTTTCCGCGTCGAAAAGAAAATTCATAAGGATCCACGAAAATAAAAAATGAACAAGGTGGAATATAAAACAGAAGGGTCGTTTTAAATATCTCCAAATTCCTACATCCGTTTGCTAATTCTCTCAGCTCAGATTTGCAAAAAATTGTACCCGATTTTGTTACGGAGAATCGTGTCTTTCCAGGCCAAATTCCACCCGAATTTCTCTCAATTACTCGATGATCGTAAACTAAGGGAAAACTGATTTAACGTTTGGAAGAACGCGACGCGGCCGTGTCTGAGCAAAACGATGGAGGCCGGAAAAAATATACGACGTTCCGCGAACATTCTGAGCTGGATTTTGTGAAAGGTCGTTAACACGTTTATGCCAACGACATAGCCCATTCCGTTTAGAGACCATTCGAGACCTTGTTTCTCGCAGAAAATTGCAGGACCTTGAGAACGATTAGCGGCACGCTTAGCGATCGTTATCAATCACGGAACGTCCCGGAGATCATATCTGAAAGAGAAACTGTACGCGAGCGTTTCGTCTCGGTAATTCGAAATGGAGGGCAGGGGCGAACGAAATGGAAATAAAAGGTAACGTACGGGTACCGTTTTTTGACAAGACCGTGTACGCGTACACGAGGATCGAAAATGGAGGAACAAGTCTAACAGTATCTCGTTCTGAATCATTAAAGCCAGAAGGATGGAAATCGGGAGGAAAATATAGAATACCGAGTGCATAAGTAATGTCGGTTATAGGCATAATGGTCGTAAACGGCATTACGAGTCGTACAGGTGACGCTTGGAGCTTTTTACAGTTGAATAATTTACTCGTCGAACGTCTTAAGAAAGCTGGCATAGTCAGTCGAGAAACGATACGACTTGTAGACAGTAGGGAGAGTCTCTGTCACGATGATAAGCCAAAGTATGCCGATCAAAATGCGGTACATAGAGGCTCGTATGTGTTTTGAGTTGTTTGCCGTGCTATGCCTCGTTCTTATCCAGCGACTTCTAACTTTGATATAAATGAATGAGGTAGGAAAGAAAAGGAGTAGCCATCTGTGCCAGATTCGCGCGCAGATACGAGCTTCCGATTGGGACATACTTGGAATGCCCGCTCCAAGGTCCGTGGAGTTTAGTATAAATACTAGGGCCATAGTCGATCATTGTTTTAATCTATGCTCACAAGATTCAGAGTGTAAAACAATAATTGATTTAAGTCAAAATGGCGAGGCGATGAATGTAGTCTTCGATTTAGGGGCAGTTCAGAAACTGAAGATTTATTTATCGATCTTTCGTCTTCTTCTGGGTGAAATAGCAAAGTTTAATTCTTTATAACACAATGACTCTACACAGTGAAAACAGGGGCAGCATTTTTAAACCTTGCACGTAGGCGACTGACATTTCAAGGCATATCATAATTTTGAAGAAGCAATAGTTCCTTTTATAATTTAGGTGTTTTATCCGGAGCAAATATCTCTGGAATTCACATTGATTATAAGTAAAATAAGATTCCTAAGGTTTGCAATATCAGTATTATCGTAATCATCGAGTTTATTCGACCAAGAGGAATCGTGAAATCACTTAGACTTCGGGGAATATTGCTGCTCGGTAATCAAACCGTGCCAATGATTATGTTCAGATTGATAACGAAAAGTAAAGATTCAGACTTTACACGAAAGTAGACCTTCTAATGGAACCAGTTTTTGTTCCAACGTAACGCGTCGACTGTCGCCGTTCACACGCTTCTAAACATTAAATATTATTTTGTTCATGAAATATGAAGAAGCTCACAAAATAATTGGAGGGTGCACTATCGAGGTCTCAGCTTTGTGCCTAAAAAATGGCGTGGTGTTAAATTTTAATATCGGTGAAAAAAAATCGGCGTTTAATGGGTTACGAGTGAACGCTCGAATGCAAAGTGTTTACACCCCGGAAGATCGAAGTACGCGTTGTTCGATTTGTCGACTCGACCACCTGGTACGCAGACACTTACAAATTGGCAGAAGATCGTGAAACAGAGCCTGGAATTGGACGATGAAGGGTACAAACCGGCCCAGGAAAGAGGTTGCGCGAGCGCCATCAATTAGCTCACGCGCCACGTGGTAGAGGTGTCGGCGCGAAACGTATACCGGCATATTCGCCGACCGTTTCTGGCGACAGACACTTTTATTTCACATCGAGCATAATTATCCAAGCAGTTGGAATTATTGATCTGTTGAAAGTAGGCCTTGGGATCCAAACGATGACTACTGGATCGCGTCGAACTGGTCCAATTAGATTATACGCGAGCTGGCGAGTCGGTGTGAGACACTCGTGTGAAATTCATATTTAAACAGAATTTTTTGGAGACGTTATTCCCCATAAACTGACGTCTGATAACGTTTCTGTTGCGAGAAGGTGTTTTAATAGACTGCTTTCTACTTTACGAATTAGTTGGTATTCCATCGACGACGAAGTGCCATATTAAATACCGTCAAAACATGTTTTCTTCGGTGCAAAATCCGGGTCGCCTTCGATGTTTAAAATTTGTTTTATTTTATAGCGAAAAGTCCTGTGAAATTTTCTTTAGATTTTGTCCCACTGTGGTCATTGGATCCCATTGTATATTATCTGGCAAGAAGTGTTTCGCAACGGTTACCAGGTTTCGCATAAATAATAGACGAGTGGTTCAGACATCTGGGAGCGAATGATTGTTTATGCAAAATGAACGTCGCGTCGCAAAAAGGGGACACGCGTTTGCAATTACAGCTGCGGTTCCTTCGTTCCTGATAAATCCTGATTGTCTCCTGGCTATCAAAATGATTATGAAACGTGCACCGTTATCGTTCGTTTCTCGAACGAAGAGCGTTCCAGTTTCGATACGGAACAATGGTGTACGCGCCTAGGGACGTTTTATTGCGACCGCGGGATTAGGCGACACCTGAATTGGGTGGCGTTGGTAAATCGTCAGAATTAGCAAAAGAACGTTATTTATCGTGCATGCTATCAACTTAACCATTATATATCGTTGCGTGCTCGAGAGTTTCGTGTAATGAAACGCGACAGTTGATTTGTTACGGGATGAAATTTCATTTTGTAGGAGTTCTGAGAAACGAGGAAAACTCGCATTTTGTAGGTTAATAATACAGAATATAATATATTTTAGCATCTGTACTTGTGACGAAATACAGTTTTATAGGTTGGGTCACTCGAAACAGGTTACTTGGATAACCTACTCTTTGGTTATCGGAAATAATGCGTATTAAAAGAGCAATAAAGATCTTCACGTGTAAATTGGTTGGCATTAAGAGCGGCTGTAAATGCAAATTATTTTCATGATACTTTCGACGCGTTGGCCTTGATATAGGACCTCCTTAGGGAATTATGCATTTCGATGAATCATCTATTAGAAAATTGTCTGTCGAAACGATTAATCCTGATGAAACGTTCGCGTCATGATCTATTAGATTCGTCTCATCGATGAGATGTTATTCTCTAGAACTTATAGGTCCTAGATGAATCATAGTGATAATAATTCTGTGTAGTAAATACAAAATAATAAGGAAACGGTATCATTGCAAAATCACAAAGTATATTAGGAAAGTATAGATAATTCGTAATTCTAGAACCACCAACATGGAATCGTTTTGTGTGATATTATTTTATTTCGAATTTCATATTGATTTTGCAAGCCTAAATTCCTATTTTCTAAGGCCATTTGAAGGTCATAGTAGCATGGGGGTCATAGGCCATTCCTCGTTCAACCGAGACTGCAACTTTGCCAGCAAATCTTCTTCGTAAATGGTAGAGATAGTCCAAACAGCCTTAACTACTTTAAACTCAGGATTTCTCAACCTGCAACTCCAAACTTACAGATCACAGGTCCTTTTATCATCAGCACAGAACCGAAAACTCGACAATAATCCAACCCAATGCGCACAGAAATTGAAATAACAATAAAAATCGATTTTTCGAAGATCCTAGACTAGAATACACCCTCGGTAAAAATATTTTACAATCGTAGGAAATGTCCCCGACTCTCCATGTCGCTGGAATCCGGTGTTTGATAAACGCATTCATTGAGCGTGCGATCCTCGTACACTGGCGTCTTTTCAGATGTTGCATCGAGCTCCAGTCTCTGTGCAGCATTATCTAAGCCATGGACCGGTACCCCCACCGACCTAAATGCACCACGTATAAATGGTCAAGACACCTTCTAACCACTGTCAGTGAGCTTGTGGACCTAATCTCGTCTTCCCGCCTCGTTCGCGAAACGAGGCGAGGCGTGCACAGTCGCACCGGTGCGCGTAAACCTGACTTTTCTTCTGCGGCCATGACAACCGGTCGAAGGAATTCGCACGTTGGATAAAAGGGGATCGTTCGAACTCTGAACCGCGGAACGATGAAGTGTGATTTGGATACGGTATCGTGCAGCCACGATTTTTGGGCCACCGGTCGACCGGTGACGATCGGTTGCGTTCTTTTGGTGGCCCTTTGTTTCACGCGGCAAACGCTCGTCGTGGCTTTTGACAATTCGTCGAGCACGTTCCTCGAGCGTTGTCGAGCCGATTGCGGCGCGCAGAAGGATTTCGCGTCGTGTGGGAAGTACAGGGTCGTCAGGTGGCTTCACGATGTCGTGAGAGAGAAGGTACAGTTGGTTTGGCTTTATTAACGATGCGTGTCCGCGAATAAATACACGGTGCAGGGACGTCGAACGCTCGGAACGCGTTTACGTGTAGCGACGACGGCTTTGACAGCATAATCTTTTTCGTTACTGGGTCAAATAAAATTAGATAATACATGTGTGTCGCGACGAGCATCGCTCTCGAAGTATTTTAGACGTTTCGATGCTTTTTGCGACCCTCTTTAATAATTCACGGTCGTAGAATCTCGAAGAAAGACATCCGAGATTATTTCGAGAAGCGTGGGGACAATTTATGTGGTAAAATATTAACAGTGTCGAGATAAATCTCAAATTTATTTATATATTTCCGAACGGGTTTCGAACGATAAGTCGAGTGTCATATGCATCGATAGAGTTAGTAGGTTAACCACGATGATTAATATCTTGTAACGGTGTTAAACAATCATGGTCGACTATGTCTCTTGTTGTGAAAGGTATTAGAATAATTCCATTCAAGTAACGAACTGAACGTTTCAATTTGAAAATAAATCGTTCATTTTTAAATTTCCTTTCAAAGTCGAAATAGTTTTATGTCAAAATAAGCCTCTCTATCGATATACACGATTATTCTATAGAATAAGCGTGCAGATGGCTGTAACTCGGCGTGACGAATTTCGCTACAGGCTACTATTATCTCCCACGTTTGCTTAGAAGCGAGAGTATCGGCTCTCGGGAAAGACAGAGGCGATGATTTTACTTTCTTAAACTTTTATTTTTTAATTAAGATCGTTGAACATTTTAATAAACTGCGATTAAGTTTCCAGGACGCGGACGAAATTACAATAGTAGCCTGTGCTTGTTAAAATTTTACTCTCAAACTCGTTTTCACGAGCAGCTTCTCATTTTTCTGTCTCGATTTCAGTCGAGTGATCATCCATCGATCAATCGTAAAACAATTTAGTAATAGAGACATTAAAAATAAATTATGTACGGGAAGATTCGGGAAATTAATTGTCACGCCTCGGGGCGCTAACAAAATGGTCCCCCCTTGTAAAGTCACGTCTCGTTTCGCTTTAGGAGTTTGGCTACGGTCCGTTCCGCATAGTGAGGATACCCTCCATGCCAGGTCAAACGATCTTACCGAAATTGCGACAGTCCCGAGTGTTCAAAAGCGACGCGATCGAGGCCTTGAACTTCGTCAGGGACGCGATCGAGGATCTTCTGACCAAACGCGCCATCGTCTACACGATCGATAACTCCGCGAGCAGAAGGAGTTTCGGTAGCTTGCCGATGATCATGGACGAGGACGAATTAGAGCAAATGCAGACCAAGGAAGAATCGCAAGGTAATTTCCCGCGTCTAAAAACAGCTCGAGATTTAGAAAGATACACAGAGCTTGGTTGTTTTAAGTAATAACTAATATCAAGTAACCTCAAAGTGGAGTATGCAGGATAAAAACAAATTAAACTCCTTGAAAGCAAAAGCAAATTCGTCTCAGTTGGCTCCGAGGTGCAATCTCAGGACGAATCAAGAAGTTGTTTTTATCTTGAAGTAGCGTACGATGTAAGTATAAAAACTGAATATGCCGAGATAGAAGCGAAATATAAATCTTCTTGAAAGTAAATCAGCCCTGAGGTGCATTCTATTTTAGGACCAGCAAAGAAGAATTTGCTTTTACTTTCGAGGAGCTCGTTCACTTCTTATCCTCTGTTATATCATACTCCGTTTCAAGATTATAGTTTTATCAGAACCACTCCTTACTAACGGAAATCATAGTTAAAAGAATACTGCTAGTTTTTTGAAAATCCGAGTAAAGATTTATTTCTTCAACAACGTCGAATTCGTGCCCAAAACGATTGTCGATTGTTCGACAGGCGATTGGAGGATCTTCAAGAAGAAGAAATCTCTGATCCTCCCTATTCTGATCCTGTTGAACCTGATGAAGCTGAAGTTGCTGCTGCTGCCAATCTTCCTGGGCGTACATTTTATCAAGAAGCTGCTGGTGCTCGCCTCGCTGATCGTGCCGTCCATTTTGGCGCACCTGAAGATCTGCAAGGTGGCGCCACCCCCTCAGCCGGCTTATCCTTATCACACGTGGGCCACGGCGGCGGAAGCGCCCAGCGACTATCCAACAGGTAAAAAGTGGGGCACGTTCGTGCTTCGTTATTTCATACGGTAACGAATTACGTCAGTTACGAAACCCGATCATAGGCATTTCATAGACGTTCAAGTGACCGTGAACGGATCGTAATGGTAATAATGGAAATCGTCGAAAGGACGATCGATGACACGAAAACGAAACGTCCGCGTCTTTCCTTCGATTGCCATCAACTACAGTTACATAACACTCGACGACTACGCGACGCGACGCGGAATTACGGGCTGCACGAATGAAAGAATTCGATAATATTTCAAGCACGATGACTCGGCCACGTCGATGATTTCTGTAATTACGCGACGATCACCGGAGGCACAGATAAGTTTAATGTCGCTCGAGCGTGACAGTTGCTCGCTCGATGGCTCTGATGTCTAATAGTCCTCGTGCCATCTGTCACGAGAACGCTTAAAACTAGAATATTTGTAGCCTGGTAATTACAGTAATCCCCGGATAAGTGAAAACAAATCGAGCTCCAGGCGTATCAGTTACTCGGGTTGGGTCTTCGCCCAAGATCCGAGTTATGAAATATTCGACAACTATATTATTTATTTCACATTCTATACATGTTTCCGAGTGTGTACGCGTAATACGCGTGTTTCGTAACTTCTGCGCTGGCGGCGCTAGTAGTACACAACTCCATTTTGGTCCAATTTTAATAGTCGAAACGCGATCAGGGTGGTTTTAAAACGTGCAAAAAGAAATATTCCCATCTTGATAAGAAAATAATTAACAATGGTTTTCCTCGTAGGTTACGGACAGGAGGATGCGTGGGCCCACAGGAACGATTACCTAGGAGTCCCATACCTCGGTTATCATGGCTACCGCAACCCCTACGGATGAGGTCCAAGTATCTTGACGCATCCCTGACCCGAGTCGTCTCGTTCGTTGCTCCGAACATCCTCGATCGAATCGTAGGCGACAGGTCCCGAGCAAACGAACGATAATCGTACTCCTTCCCCTTTCTTTTTTCTCGGGTGACTTTCGAACGCGTTCTCTGCGTGCCAATAGTCTCCTTTTGGCGCCTCGCTAATCTCGTTTCGTCGCTTCTAAGCACCCCGACGCGATAATTGGCAAACGTAGAAACTACGTTTAACGGCAATTATCGCCAGTTAGTCGTCGCGAATGATTCCTGGCGAATTAACTTTCACGTGGTGTACCGTTAGCGGCGGTGGGGGTCGAGATATCGACGAAAATTTATTATCGAGGGTTCGTTGGGTCAGAGTGGCTTCGTATAGTGTCATTTTTGCGATTCGTATCGAGTACTCGATACCGCGTGGACGCGGTTGATGTATGCAACGAGTACATTCAGACATTCGGAACTTTGACGAAGCGCATCTCGAGCTTTTGTGACTTCGATCCACTTAGACAGAGCGCATAAAGTTGGTTCACTAGATCGTTCTGTAACACTATCTTGTAAATATATCCTATCTTTGTAGACTCTATGAATGTTTCGATGTTGTGCATGGCATGCTCGATCCCATCGCTAGCCGTTAGCGAATGAAGTCACGGAACGCGTATTCAGCAGATTGCATCGTCTTCGTGATGTAGGCGTTGCAAACGAACTCGAGGCGCACGCGAGCCTTTGGTGGTGGTTCCAGGGTCGGCCATAAATATATTGGGTACCGTAAATCTGGCCAGCGGTGTTAGGAAATTTCGTCGAACATGGCGACAGCACCTCGCGTGATGTCAAAGACTTCCTGGATGGTAATGATCGTGCTACAAAGTATGCTTGCGAACCTAGACGCGTGCTACAGACGAAGATCGTTATAACCGGGGAGCTGCGACGACTTTTCGATACGATAAAACTGAACGTAGGAGAAAATGGGAAATTATTAAAGTCTTTGGATCTATGCATCAAAGATGAAGACGTCGAGGAAGTTTACGATCATTCGAGAGACTTATAGCGCAGATTCAATGTTCGCAAAGTGTAGTCTTTCAGGTAAAGATTTATGGCAGGTGGAGGTGATTAGGCGAGTAGTTGCATGAATGGTAAAAAGTTTTATTTCGACTATGCTTGTTGGACTTGCAGTCTGACTTACTATTTCTGGAATCTTGAATTACACCTCGACTCAAATAAATGTTTTGTTTACGTGGTTGCACTTTATTATAATTTCTACGTTATTTTAGACGACTTTAGAGTTCTTCTTGACACAACTCCGAGTTCTTCCAACCGCTTTGGCTATACTCTCGGACAGGCTAATAAATCCCTTGAATTTTTATGTCGAATCACGTTTGACTTTAGCAGTCTTTTACACTCGGAATGCTCCACTTTTCGCTTGCATTTCCATATCTTGAATACGGATCTGGTATCTGGTCACCGAGATACTTAAAGCAAAAGAAGTTAATCGAGGTAATATATCACTAACCTGCGGCTTCCGAGCATATCAACACTAAGTGATTCAAGATGAATATCTAACTTCATGTACCTTCGGTGATTAGACAAGTTTCATTCACAAATAACAGATAAAAATTTTAGGTTCATTAATTCAGATTCATTGTCCCTTCGTTTCACGTCAGTTGCGTTTAAATGTCCTCTCGTGATTGTTAAGTAACTTACCACCGTTTAAACCTAAGCAATACACATCGAGATACGACTAAGTGACCCTTCCATATGAATTTTAAACGTTGTTAACAATTCCTACGATTGCTTAGATTCCCTTAGTAATAATCGTGCGTTCTTCGAACATGAGTTTTGTAAACTACTACCTCGTTCTTATTAAACGGACTTTCCGTACATTTATTTCCTCGCATGTTTACGTAATAGGGTATACTTTCCTATAATGATAAATAAATAATAAAAATTGTCAAAAGGTAGTAGGCAGCACTTATACGAGCGAATGAGACTTGAGGCTGGGCAGTTGTTTTACTTTTATACAAATAAGTTTAATTTAAATATCTTAGAACATTAAATTATTGTATTTAAGTAATATAAGAATGTGTTTAGAAATATTCGGGCTCACAGGCTTCACCTTTGACCCTATCCTGGTCTTCCGGACTCCTTTTCTTAGCCTGGACGTCCCACAGATATACTTATTTCCATTTTGTAGAGGAAGTGTGCATGATTTATGTACGGTGAGTTGGTGATCCTTGCATAATTAAGAGGACGGCGCAGTCTGCTTAGTATTTAAAACTGTAGTCTTGGGAAAACGTGTCTCACCGCTAGGCACTTCTCATTCTGGAGCTTACGTTCCTGAGGAGTCTACTTCTAATCCTGTTCATATACTGTAAACTTTGCAATTTCTCCCCATCGGTCATAACAACTATAACGAAGAGTAACCCGATATGGTACAGAGTTTCGAGGATGTTAAACTCGACAGTGTCATAAAATATCTCATTAACCAGTCGCTATCTAACGGTTCATGCCATCTAATAGCTCCAAAGTGCTTCAATTACGCGTAATCAACGATGATCGACACTGTGGCACGAGCTGTCGCGGTGCACAGCTAATTTTTTGTATATCCACGATCTCCCATTTTGTAGACTGTTCTTTTGCAATTCCTTAGAATTGGAGAACATAGAAAAGGTACTCGATTTTTTTTATTTAACGCAACTGTAGGGCCCTACTCCACCCCAAGGACCCAAAACGAAGTCGTTGCGTTCACCAGAGCGAGCATAATACACGTTGGTCAAGGTCGAGCCAGTGGAAACTCGGAAAGAGGCGCGGATGACCTACTGACAGATTTGGACGCGGGCCCTGGCCCCGGTGCGTGCACGCACGCGTGCTGACCCGCACGCGGCCCGATCGACAGACCGTTATCGGGCCCACGGGCTGGCCGAGGCGGATGTGGTGCGCGTCTCCGCTCGCAAACGAGCATCGCGCCAGCCTGTATCGCGATAGCGAACGCCAACCATTCGCCTTATCGAAAATAGCCCTCGCAATACCGCGCCATTTTCTCTTACATCGATTATCGAGACGATGGGTGGGGGGTGGGAAGATGAACACTTACTTTCCACCCACCAATTAAAGACCTATAACGATTAATTCGGATTTCAAAAGCACCTAAAAACATTTGTAATATTTCTTGGCGGAGTAAATACTAAAAGTTATAGAACATTAAAATTTACGCTGGATTATGATTTTTATTTTAGGAATAGCGAATGATATGAGGTTCATTGTTTATTTGTTGTTTGAAATTTAGTTGGTTAGGGTACCAATACGCTTATGGCGACAATAGTCGATCCGCAAAGAGCGTACTGGTACGCTTATGCTTGTCTAGGGGTTAATAACAATGATCCAGTGGATCGATCGAATCGATGCGGCGGGGCGAAGAACGAGGCAGCGGACACGCAGCCTGAACTCGACCGTTACGTTCTTACCGAGCTGCAAGGGTGCATTAACATAACGGCACGTCGCGATGCGTACTCCCGGTGCTCGATATATGAGCCGTTCATTATGACTGTGATGCGTCTATTTCTCCTTCCTTTTTTTAAAGAAACACAGTATCTGCAATCGTGATGATTTTCGAAAACAAATTTCAGTATCGATTAGTTAAATTTTCACTCGTGACAGCGTTGAGTTAATTGACATTCATTTATCGTAAATCCATTAAAAGAAATCAACTTTCTGCTAATAGTATTTAAATTTCCTGTTTCCACTTCCTCTATAAAGTTTTGGTGTCAACTAGGCAAAACTTCTTCTCGCGAAGTGGGTTGACTTAGGCTCGGTTCTGCTAGTCAGAATGGAGATAGCGTTCGTTATGAAAACGGTGTAAATTCGCTCGAAGAAAAATTAACTTTCTGCAAACAATATTTAAATTGTATGTTCGTTTTCTTGATAAGGAAGTTTCGGTGTCAACGAGATGAAACTTCCTCGTGAACTGTGTTGACTTAAGCTCGATTCTGCTAACCAGAATGGAGAAAGCATTCAGTGTGAAAGTGGTGTAAGTCCATTTTCCTTTATAAATGAAGTTATGTGATAGATAATGTATGTTTCTGGTTCTGTAGCATCGCAAAATGTGGATTCAACACACAGAGATGATGAAGACGCGATGCTTTTGTAATGAAACATACCTTCGAAAAACAACCTTATGAAAAAATATCGAAGTCAAACGTGAAAATATATTGTTCAGATTTGTTGTCGCTTATAATCTATGTATCAAAGAGTAGTTAACACGAAGCTAGTCAATGTTCCTTCTAAGCAGCGCGTCTGAATAACAGTAAGTGATTAATAGCCACGTTCTTGTGAGTAATAGCTCAGTAAGCATCCGTGAATACCGAGCGTTTAGTTTGAATTATGCTTGTTTAGTTTCTGAAATTATACAATGTTGCAAGTAGGGTAGGATATAAGTACTATTCGAAGATAAGTAGCTGGCTGGTAGTATCGGTTATGTTATAATTTCCATCCTACAGTTCCAGGAAGGTTTACAGGAAGTAGATTATACCATCACCAATCAGACCAACTCTTAGACTACAACAAGAAATTTAATTATTCCTCATATTAAAAATTTGAGATTTCCAAGATTCCTAGTCGCAGTTATTAGAAATACAAATAGCTATATTAAAGTTTCGATGATTATTTAACGTTTATTAATAAAATTGTTTTTCCTCTCGTGGGCTGAAGTTTGAACATCGTTCGAAGATGATCGAGCATAAGGTTCGACCAAACGTAGAGTAATCGTAAAGCACTTTCTAAAACCGGTTTGTTTTTTGGTTTCTGGTCGCTCCTACTTCCGACTTCTTTCTTTTGGAATCGTGCTGCTTAACTTTGTCCCAGGTTCGATGAAGTAGGGTAAAGAGTCAGTTATGGATCATTGCTGGATCGCAGAACCTGGGTTTGTGATCTATGATGCTATGATGACTGTAACGAGTATTTCAGGTGAAATAATTTATGCATAGATTCTTAACCTAGTTGTTGACTGTTCGTTGATGGGGTAATTTTTCCAATGGTGTCTCGTCGATCTTCAACGATCAACGCGTTGTTCAGCCTGTTGATTAGCGTTCTTGTTAGTACCTAGTTATTACAATGGCCACTTGGAACTTTTTTGCAGAGTCCCGAATATCGGTAGCAAAGTAGGCCGGAGAAGTAAAAAATCTGCTACCAGGAAACTCCATAAGTATGCATCGAGGTTTATCATCGGCAATTGGTTGGCTATAAATGTTGGAATTCATTAACTGTTCTAAATTGTAGGAAGTCAGCCTAAATTTTTTGTGACATCCATTATTTTATGAATTGAAAGAAATTTAATTCGATGAAGAGTTGTATTAGGCATACCATTAATTATTTTTTAACATTGATCATGCTCGTTATAATGGACTCCAGACGCGAGAAGATTGAATTTCCATATTTACGATTGGTGATCTTATCTGGCGACACCAGGGAAAATCATGTCAATAGTCTCTTGCCTACTGTTTCGTAGCTGCGAGCGATCATTCGATAATATCCGGAGAACGTATCGCGCTTGCAACAATCATCGAACGGACGCGTAGCGCGTTACACACGAGAAATTCTTTAAAAATGAAGAAGGAGGGCAGCGTTCGCGTTGTGACCTTCTTTCCCGACGAAATACATTTTTAGTATGCTTAGGCGTAGCCGGGGCATTAACGTTGAACGATAACAGCGATCCAGGGGAGGGAAGGAGGCAAGATGGTGGGGCACAAACCGGAAACCTCGCTATCGTCGACAAATCGTTGTCGTACGTTGGCGAACATCATCGACTTACGGTGTCTCGAGACAGCCATCCTCACCGTGCAAAACCTGTAATTTTCACCATTTTCTACCAATTAATTTTCGAGCCTTTCTACGTTCCCAAATCTCTAAGAATTTAATTAACATGGTATTATTTAAAATTCATTTCTATTCCTGTAGATTAGAAGTCGTTATATAAGAAAAATTAAATATATTCCATGTGTAAAATGAAAAGAAATAACGTGATAAAACTTTGACGATGATCTATGCATTTTTAAAACGAATTGTAGATTTTCTACGATCGGACCGCTATTTTAAAACATCGCGACTGCGCGATGTCCCGTTCGTTTCTCGGACGTTTGTCACTGAGTCGTGTAATTACGACGCAAAGATGATCGACGCCACAAGAACATTGACGTGTGAATTTTTCTTATTGCATCTTTTCAACCGAACAACTCCTCTGAATAATCTTGCGATTAGTCGAACGACGTCCGGCTCGAAATTCAAAGCGTGTGCCTTTGACCGAGTTTTCCCGTGCCCTAACCGAAACGTGCGCGATCGATCGACGATTTCGAGGAATCGATGGGACAGCCCCGTGAATTTGGGACGAGGCTGCAGAGAAATCGTTGGTAAACGCGTGTGACGCACACTGGACTCGTGAAAAGTTTGTTTGGGTTTCAACGGGACATTTTTTTCTTGCCCAGATTTTTTTTTACAAATATAAAATGCAATTATTAATTTAATAGTAATGAAACCTATCCTAAGTCGTCCTTAGCGAAATTGCACTAAAATTGTTTTTATAAGATGTTGAGAGTCGTTAATCATGAGCTCACAGGCTGTCGCTGCAGGTTGACAATTTACTATCCTTCCAACATTTCAATCGCATGTTCAGCCAGCCATAACATTGGACTGGAGAATGTGATTGCCTTTAGGAGAACAGAAAAACGAAAATGGGTTGTTATAGTCGACGAGATAACGATCGTGATGTCAAAAGCTTTTGGCTATTTCTGCTGGCGTCGACATAGTTGTAAAGTTTGTTTCGCGATTCACGCTTATGTACGCAATCTTTTTGATTAGAGAAAAATGTAGACGAAACCGGATTAGCAACCCACTTATTAGATGTCTGAAGAAGAGGCTATCGAGATAACGTAACCGAGTTTTATAAACGTTTCCGATTATTAATATAATTCCTTCTTTTCTTCTCGAATCAAGTAATGTATTAATAAGAATGGTGTTTGATATCGAGATCAATAGGGATTATAGATGCTTCCTTTCGATGGTTTCTACTAGTATAATTAACTAATATAAATAATTATAGTTCAGACATGTAGGTATATAGTGTTATAAAACAGAAAATATTATTAAGTGTAATGAAACTTGTTATTTAGTCGATATTTGATGTTGGTTCGGCGATTGCACTATAACCATGCATTGAAATCACCAGGACGGCGTTTGTATTACTGTCACGTTCACGATTTCATTGCACAAAAATAAACCATAACACAGACCTCGACGCTTCACGTTCCCATTTACTGTTCATTCCAATTTCATTCTAAACCGTTAATGTCTTTTATCGCGAGAATTATAATCAACTAAAATGAATGTACTCGTATTATACTAGTTACGTTGAAGTTTGATTCACTTTCTACACATAAAAGGCAAGGGAATGTATATCGTAAAATTATACAAAGATCATCAGGGATTCCTTGACTTGATCATTTCATGAAACATCCTAATGTTTAACAATTTCTTTGTTTCTATATAAACAATTCATTCGGGTCAAATTTCACAGAATCAGAAACTCACTGCCACAGGGCAAAAGTCACATTTCTACTAGTTGAGCGATAATTTTGACGATACTGCATTAACATTCATGCCATTTTGCTAATTTATCCTAAATCGCTGTTCTCGGAACGGCGTTCAGAATATTCAATGAACGAACGGTAAATCGAAACACTGTCGCTATCGTTATCTCTAAATCAGTAACCTGAAACACGAGTGATTTATAAAATATCTGCATACTAGAATGTTGATTAAATTTTGAATAACGAATGAAAGATAAACATTTGGCTGAAAAAAATTTCTCAAAATGAAAAGATCTTATTTCTAGTTTTCGGTTTGTTTTTTCACGTAGAGTCATCCTTTCTCTATTGTACCATCGATATTGGAATACTCTAATTTTGTAGAATACTTAAAGAAGCCCGTCCATTTGTCAATAACTGACAATACACAGCTATCAAAGACAAGGCAGTACTTTTGTACTAACGCCAATTCCTAGACCCAGAAACCGATATATTTCATCTTTCTTTGCAAAAGATATAACAAACATTTAAAAAAATTGATTTACCAAAAGCATGACTGGCGCTCGAATGTCAGGAGCCGTTTAACGCGCGAGCGAAACGATCGAAGACGCCGTCGATCCATAAACAACGAAACGACAAGAAGTACACGATGAAAGGGAGGAGCGACGTACACGCGTAGCGTCGTCAACCGAAATTCCAGTCGGTGAAATCGGCCCGCTGACGTTAGACCCGCGTCGAATTCGATCGGATTTGAATGGAGGATGGCGTTCCGGCCGTTCTGGCCGTCGGTGGCAAAAAGAGACGGTGTGGATCCCAGTCGGCGGGAGCGGAACCAACGAACGAACAAACCTGGAAGAGAGGAAGGTGGAAAGGAACGGACAGACGGATGGCCGGGTAACCCAGATCGGATCAGTCCAGTCGATCCAGCGAGGACTCGCCAGTACCGAGTCGACCGTCGCGCACGATTCCGGCGTCCCGATCGTTCGTTCAGTACAGTGTCTCCGTGACAGGATCCCCGATCCCAGGAAACGGACCGTCTGGACCTGGACCACCGAACAACCGCCGGTTCGATCACTTCTTCCAGCCAGGATCGAGGGTATCGTCGCGACGTTGATGTCATCTACGCGCCGTGACAGTGAGTACATTGACCCTCGGCGAACGGAAGACGTTCCTTCCTCGAGTGATCGGCTTCCAGTTTCCCCACCGGCCACCAGTTTCGATTTTTAAGTGTCTCGAAACGTTCGCGTTCACGACGATCGACAGATCGTTAAGACTCACAGCGTGAATAGTCGATGTAGCTTGGAGGTTCGAAGATTGCAAAAAAGTAGAATATCAATGGATGTGGTTCGAGTGTGGAGGAGTGAGTGTGGGGGACGATCATTTTGGGGTAAATCAAACCGAGATCCGAGGGCTCTTTTGCAATTTAATATTTGGTAGAATTATTTTGCGATGGTCGATGATATTTTAGAGGCAATTTTTCAGTCATCGTATGGGGAAACATGTGCAAATGCACCATTGTTTATGTTTCTTCAGATGAAGTGGGTGCCAGCTGTCAAAATATAACACACGCTAATGCAAACTAAAAATTTGTTTACCGAGGTGGTCCATCAGTTTTATTGAAAATTAACACATTAGATGGCAGAGAAGTGATTGTAGTATTATTCTAACGTTCTGTTACCCGAACGGTATTGTCTCTCTAGTATGAGTAATAGAGGCTCCACTGTCAAAGCTTTTAGTATGCACTAGTGATTGTCATACTCTGTTGCGCTCACTCTCATCGTCGGACGATTCACGCGTGGCTGGAAAGGTCGATTCCTCGAACGAATTCATGACCAGCCCCGGCTATATGCAACTCTCTGTATCCATTTCTTGGCATATAGCCTATCACCCCTGCCAAGCGTTTCTGTACAAAATTTAGAATTAGTCTTAAATCAGAATTACCGAATGAAATCAGTAAACATTTCAAAAAACAAAAAATTTACTTCTTAACGAACATCTACTAACCCAGAGCGCAAAATTAGATCATTCTTTCTTATCGATTATCGTAGACAAATTTTAAAACTCTCAAGCAAATACTAGGAATAATACCGCCATGATTCCAAAGAAAGTTCCATCGAGAATACTTCGACAACTAATTTTCTTTCAAGTCTATTCTACTCGATCAAAGTTCATGTTATTCCAGCATCTCATTCAGGAACCATAACCGCCGCAATACGAGTTTTCTCGTTTCCAGGGGACGTCGAGCGAGCGCCGCGGACCGAGATGCAGCTATCCTTCGGCCGTAAAAGTAGCTAGCCGCTAGAGTGAGCCAGAGAGATAGCCCCAGACGATCGAGAGGACAGACCGAGTTAGAGGGGACCATGGGTGGATCGAGAGGCGGCGCGATCCTGGCGATCTTGGCCATCGCGTGGGTCAAGGACCACGTGGCGGCCTTGAACGTGACCGATCACGCGATACACGAGGACCCGATCGCGAACGAGGTGTCGTTCGCCAACGAGTTGCTCGACCATCCGCACAATATGCCCGGCAAACCGAGCAAGTTCGACTCGAACATGGGCCAGACGATCGAGACCGACGACATGTCGCGTTATCAGATCGAGGCGAGCGGTGCAGCGAACGCCACGATGTCCCCTACGGAATCGACGCGCAAGGACCTGTCGCAGATGTTGGACAGACTGTCCGGGATCGACGTGTACAACGTGACGGACTCCGTGCAGATAGTACGGAACGCGGACGACGGATTCGTCGCGAGGAGAGACGAAAAAGGTAACCCACGGACGGACGCGAGCCTACTCGATAAAGTTCGTCGGTACGCCAGAGAACACGTAGTAAAGATACGTCTGAGCCAGGACTTAATTCCTGCTAGAAAAGCTAGAACCTTCTTCAACGGTGAGTCCACGAAACCATCGAGTCACGCTTTCGTAACTTGCGTATGTGTGCACCAGCGTCGCGTGAACTCGGCTGACGATGTTGCTATGGACGCGAGCGAGCCGATTGCTTGTCGCTGGTTTCGCTGTGCGAGGAAGGTGGCGAATGTGGCTTGGGTCTTGATCGTGGGTCCGTTTATCGCGACGAAAGTACAAGTGTGCAACGAAATTGGGTCGAAGCATGGTGTCGTTCGAGCGGAAAATAGGGAAAGATCTCGCTGGAAGAAGTTCAATTCGAATCTCGAGTCGCCAGGCACTTTTCAAGGGCTGTAAGGGTTTTTTAAATTTAAACACAATGGAGTGAAATGTAGACATTGATCAATTTTGGATCTGAGAGATGCATCATTTTTTATTCGGGAGGCGACTTTCAAATAGCAACATCTTGGTCTATTAATTATCAAATTGATGTTGACTCTCTGTGAAAGGCTTCTGTAACGATCGTTGCACAGGCGGTATGGCAATAAGTCCATAATGTTTCTATATTTTCCCGATGTTAGTGGTCTAGGAACATCACATTGTCATGCTAGGAACATCGAAAGATTCTTGTTCTTAGACTTTCACGTGAGCACCACTTTCACAACGAATGCTTTTCTCATTCTGTTTAACAACTCAATTTCAGTCACCAGGATCAGAAGGAAATGTTACCTCTTTATAAAGCAACCTGTGTTGTTTGAGCATTCCCCGCAGAAAACCCTGTTTTTGAACCAACTTTCTCAAAACAAGAAACGTGAGAGGGCGAAGGAAGTGAAAGAGAAAAGAAGCTTAGAAACCTGCTTTCTGCCGGTTAACTTTTACACCTAAATTCTCAAATTTTCTACAGAAGTCTGGAAGACGGCAGGTTTTAATTAATAGGGCGTCTCAGAATATATTCTGAGCTTCAAAACTTTGATTTTCTAAGTTTCAATCTGTACAACGATAAAAGATCTAAAATAGGACAGGTGACATGCACGACCGACGCATTTCACAATTTAAGTTAATGAAATTGCCTTTCCAGATATTTTACACGTTTTTACATTTTGCTCGTGTCGTATCATAAAATGTAGCTACTATCTTGCAGAACAAAACAACTTGCCACCGGTTTGTTTTCCGCTTACAATTTCTAACCGTTTCTAATTAGATAAATTGACCCACAAAGCCTATGAATGGGATTAGAAATTAGAATTCTCTACCGTTTAAAAATGAGCTGATATTTTTATCCCGTTTCTAATTATAATTACTTGGGGGTTCCAGGAAACGTTACGCAATTCTAGTCGCGTCGCTTCTGTTTATTTTTGAACCGTCCATCGAAATAAAGCATAGGCATTGATACATTTTTGGGAGGCTCTTTTTGTTTCGATTCAGATAATGAATTCCATTTTCGATTTTAATCTCTAATCTTTGCAAATTTGTGTTACTATTTGTACTCTATCCAAAAACCATTGTAATAATTCTACAACTTCAACTACTTATTGCATAGCTAAAAAATTCATTAATTCTTGCATGTATGTTACTTGATTTTAGGTAAGAATAATTAAATTTCTGCATGACGGTTGAAAACCTTAATATTCAGTACTCTAAACATAGAGTTACTATGGTCAAGACCCAACTACGCTTAGAAACTAAAAAAAGAATCATGTACACTATCGTCCATAAGTCTAGTCGCATCGAGACTGTCGAATATTAAAATACATGAAGTATTTATACGGTTTGCAACAATTAATCAAGAGATATTGTTCTTTAACAGGCTATTTTTCGACTTATTGATACAGTATAAATAATTATTTAGTTTGGTAGTCTATAAAATATAAAATTTAATATGAAAACATTTAGGTAAAGTAGTGAGAGACAAAAGAATAATATTATATTTTTATATATTTTTGTAACCATTTCAATGTTCAAACTTTGTTAAACTTTATCTCCAATATATTTCAGCAACAATGATAAAATTTATCGTTTCAGTCTATTTCTAAATTGTATACCGTTAAAATGTAATCGACATACATGCGATTATGCTTACGAATGGTAATGTACGTGCACGCAGCTCCATGTTGGAAGAGCATAAAACCGCGTAACAAAAGTATAGTGCGTCGGTTGAAAAAATCGACGCACGCGAACGAACGCTTTTCACGTCACCGATTGGCTTTCTGTGTGTGCGCTAAAAACGGTTTAACGAGGCTTGGTCACCGCTGATTGGCAAATACAATACATAGGTTCGGCTTTTAACGAGTTAGAATTGGAATTGGTATCACGCCGATTCTAAATTTCGAGTGATTTTCAGCGAGACTTGGCTGGCAGTTTGGATCGCGAGAAAACCGAAGACGAGAGAATAGGCTGGCTGCAGCATGGCTTACAGGACTAACCGCAGGGCTTTAATTTGCTGGTACTTTTGCTTTCAGCCATCTTTCAGGGAAAGAGTACCTTTTTAACAGGATTCGGACTTGGTTTTCTAGCGTTCGGCCTGAAGAAGCTGTTCCTACCATTGATTTTCGGTGTGCAGATCATTAAGAGCATTCTGCTCGCACTTTTCCTGCCCAGCATCATCGGCAGTATCGGTAATATCCTTGGTAAAGGTACGTGGATCTTCTCAAACATCATCATAATATAAATTTTCGACCTCACAAATTATACTAGTTGCACAGCACGATTCTAGTACATTTTGCATCACGTACAGTTAATACGCTGTTACATAGTGGGAGATAAATAGTATTCTAATTGAATCGAAAGCGATGTTTGTTTTAATTAACGATCTCGTTTCACAGGCGTTTCCTCTTTCGCGCAATCGACGCAGACCACTGCGCAACCGGACGAGAATTTCGAGTTCAAGGACAATTCCGATCTCTACAACGACGACTACCTGACGCGGCAGCCAGTAGGAACGCTACCTGCCTCGGTGATGTACGACGAGAGCATGATGCAGAAAAACCCGGAAATTTCCTCGCGTTACTCGTTCGTCGATCCCAGAATAACCCACGCGAACGCCATTTCGGATCGGTACTACACCAGACACGTGGCTGCTAACGGGCTCTCGAAAAAACAAGACTTCAAGGTAACGTCTTTCATTTTTTATAGAATCTACAGTTGAAAGTTCCGTCAAACCATCTTTTTTCAAACAAAACTTACACAAAATTCTTAAACCTCATTTTCCACATCATAAAACACTAGGAAACTGACGTCACCAGATCACGCCACCTCCTCGAAACGAGCATTCTTTGTCCCCAAAAATTCCACCATAAAGTTCACTGTATCTGTTAGTAGTCTTTCTAAAAATGGTAATTCCCAAACGACAGGTCTTCCACGAGATCCCGACGAGCTCGCTGATGCTGACCAACTACGATCCCTTCTATTCTCCGTTGCTGTCGCGTCTCGACGCCGTCTTCTCGCGTCTCGGTCACACGACGGAGGGTTGCAGGGAGTACGCGGTGTGCGCGATGTATCGAAGCCCGGCACGATACGCGCCGTATTCGAACCTGGTCTCTGCCCAGCTGTCCAGGGAGCTGAACGAGCTACGGAGGCCCAGCAGCGACAATCCCGACGTCCTCCGGTTCTTCCGGTACATGAAGGCCGCGAAGGACGGCCAAGATGGCGTCAAGTGCGAGGACGCGTACACGAATTGCCCGGTAGCGCGCGAGGACGAGGCCCTCAGGCAGAATCAGGCCATTCTGGCGACCTACCAGGACATCGACAAACTAGTTCACGCGAGGAAGTTGTAAAAAAACACAAACCATAAGGACCATTTTTGACTCTTAAAAATGATTTGCAAGGGTGAACGATCTTACGGGAATTGATCCCAGGACTGAAAGCCTGATCAACGGGACGTTCGTGGTGTTGTGGGGTGTCGAAAATACGCCCACTCGCGTAGCATTGTCGAGGGACGGTATTTCTGTCGTCGGCACGCAGGTATGAGAAGTTTGGTAAAAGGTTTTTGGGATAATTATAGGATCGAGGCAACAGTTCGCGGAAGTAGCGCGGAACTGGGCCGATGATGTTATTTATAAGCGAGATTGACATAGTTGAGACGATTTGGAGCTAGATGCGACGGCTCGAGAGAGATTAGCGCTCTAGAAACCTGGCAACTCGAGTGTAGATAAACGCGTAATGGGACTGTCGGTTGTTTGGGAAGATTGCTCGAATTGGATATTTATTTAAATCTGTGGGACTCGCTTGGTACGTTAGTTTCGATGGCTGGGCGTACTTGGGCATTTGGTTATTTTGAGTATTTATGGTGTCTGACTAGTCCCAAGTTCTGTTCAGATATCCGTACGCTTATATTAAATATTTAGTGCACTGTTCTATGCAAGCATCGAAGTCTCCAAATGCATAGTCTCTACGGATAACTGTTCTCTGTAATAACGCTTAAACTACTCATTTAATTGAAAAATGATAAAGAGAAAATTTGTCCTATTCATTGCACACAACCTGATGAAATAAAGTCTCAATTTTTATTTTCATTTTTTCAAGGTTGTTTGGAGATTAAACTAGCTTTTTCAAACAATATACTACAACTTTTTGTTGGTAGTTTGTTAGGTTAAAAAAGACGAAGTCAACGTGTGTAATATTTGTCCTAACAGTTGTCCTAAGTATCGCTTACATCGAGACACCCTGTATGCTACTTATATGGAACGTCAACGCATTTGCATATCCAGTTATTCCAAGTATCAGAAGTTTCTCTTCTCAACTATTTATCCTGTTAGCGTTGTCGCTATTTAGATATTCGGTTATTCGTTTGCAGCGTTGTTTAAATATTCAGAACATTCCATCGTCCAGGCATCGAAGTCTCCATAAATACCTCGGGCGTTCGAATATACTCGAGTATCCAGTCATTTCGCTATTCATTTCGAGTACAAAGTCATCTCTTTATAGACGTCGTTGAATTAAAATGTCCCAGATTTAACATCTAAAACGTCGCATAGATCGAACGAATTTCAAAGACCACAGTTCCTCTTGAATCATCGTACCTGCGTACCGACATCAAGCTACCGAATCACGTGAAAATCCTCTCGGGATCGGTGCAACTGCGGTTGTCTTTGTGATCAATTATCGTTTGGACAATTAACGCGACTTCGAACAGAGTCGAAGACTCTCGCGTCGCCAGTGGCAAGATCGTTTCGCGCCGCCCGAGAGGTTAACAGTGAAACGAAGAAATGATAATGACTACATCGACCACGGTGATAACGGTACATCTATCCAGCTGGATTCGCGTATATACCTTTGCTGGCATTCAAATGTCCCGCTGTTGCGTAATAGCTGGCTTATTGCGAGCAGAAGTAGGTCCGACACGTGAACGTACGCGACCCAGGATTGTCGCGTAATTTGCTCGAACAAAATTCTAGGTAGCCTTCAGCGTGCATTATTATAACTGAATACCGGAATACGCGGAATCGAATGCTTCGAATTGCGTTGGACCTATCGTTTGTCCATACGAGCATGCCTTTATTCAAACTCCTCAGTGGAATTACACAATAATACCTAACAAACAATATTTTTCAAATATTGGGTATAGAAAAGAGTATATATTTTTCTTTCGAATTCTTTTTTATGTTCACGATTTACGAGAAATATGCTGGTTAGTTACTGCCAGAGCACCCTGAATGTTGACATCTGGGGTCTCCATGCGGGCATTGAAGTCTCCCATAAGTAGAGTGTCTGTATCATAAAGAATGTCTAAGTTACTGATTCAGTGACATAACGATAGAGGATATATTTGTTCCATTTTTAATGCATATATATTTTACAATCATAAAATATTATTCTCGTTTCTTTTAGATATTATTGTTTAATTCCAGCGAACAGGATCGAAATATCTCGTTGCATGGATTAACGATAGGTTTAGTTTGAGCAAACTAGAATTTACAGAAATCATTTTGTTTCGTATTACAGTTGGAGCCTCCTCTCGACTCGGCCGAGAATCTCACCGTCGCGGAACATCGTCGCGTCGCGACGTCGACGACGCCTCGATCTTCCAACGACGGGACGTAGCGACTTATGATTTAGCGATAATCACACTATCGTGACGAATCACAGTACTGCCTCTGTTCTTGCAGCGAAGTCAGGGCCGTAAGATTTCGTTTAGAGGTGGGATTGATTAGGTTGCAAGTATCCGGAACGCAGATCGATGCAAGAAGCGAGGCAGTACTGTATCGTACGACGCGGAGCCCGGGACAGTGGCGCCCTCTTAATTTATCACCGAACCACGCCCACCCTCTCCCCCTCCAGCGTCGCCCGGTGCTCCGCCAGATTAGTTTATTTATTTCGCGGACACGCAGCGACACGTTAATTTATTAATCGATCGTGCGGGACGTGCGAACGTTACCGCACGAATTAATTGTTTATTTATTTATTCGACCAGGTTCGGAGAGTCGACTCGACGCGTATCGAGCCGCGTGTATGTGTGTACAGTGCGCCAATAAATGCTGTGACTCCGAAACAATTTTTTTTTCTTTTTTTTTTTAATCATACAGTTCGTCGTTGCACAGAGGAAGGTAAATTTATTTCGATAATTAACGGGTCGACACTCAATTCTCCACACAACCAAATAATAACGTAAAAATATTTGAATTGGACGTAACGAAAAAATGTACATATAATATTGTGTATATAAGTAAGTAATTCTAATATTAAAATGCATTTCATGGTAGAGTTTGATAACGTTATGAATTCTGAGAATAAAAATGTTAAGGTACTATTACGTTTAATTTACATGTATCTTCATACTTTTATTCTCCGAGTTTATTTCCCTATCAAACTCTCTAATCAGCTGGTAGACCTCTCTGAACCAAAGCATAACTAAAATTTGGAAGTAATTACCGTAATCAAATTAAGTTATTCGTTCACACAGAAATTATTTTCCTACTCGGTGAAAGTGTCTTCCAAAAACCTTGAATATATTTGAAAACTACAAAACAGATCGAAAATCTAACTTAATCGATCAAGTGAATTCTTTCGATTCAAAAATAAAAATGAATTAACAGTACAGAAAAGAATACCTTCCTACGGATTAACGTTGGATTATCTCTATGTTTTACTACCAGAAAGCGAAGTGATTCAAATTACGCAATGCTTTCTAGGATTCCCTAATGTTATAAACTTCCAGTGAAATTTCAACAGAGGCCAAGGGACAGCGGGAAGAACACATAGGTAAGAGCATCAGAGAAAACGAAAGGGGCCCGATGACGCACGCCCGATCGTCGGATTACGAAGAAAAGTCCGTCTCATTTCTCTCTTGCTCGTTCCTCTTTGTTCAGAATCGCCCGGTTCCGGTCCTATGTCCGGGCGACTGCTTTCACTTTTAATTTTTAAACGTCTTTTTTCTCCCACAACAAACCCACGGATCTTGCCCCTCCATCGCGAACCACTCGGTGTTCGTATAAATGAGACGGTTGGACGCGACTGGTTGCGTCTCATTGCTCCAAGTTCATTCTTCCGGTGTTATTGGCCGCGGATTTACTCTGTGGTACGAACACGGGCTTTCCTTAACTGCGATCTAACAAAAAAAGGTGAGAATAAGGGATGATTTACGCTTCTCGGGTAAAATTTTACTTCGTCAACGGACGAATACAATATTCTGTAACACGCAAAGATCCATTTGCAACGTTTGTTCGATGAGCTGCCTCGATGCAATTATTTGGCGCCATATTAGGAAATTTAAATAGTCCTTTTCAAATATATAAACTATCTTAATTTAAAATTTGTATATTTATCTCGTTGATTAAGTTTCTGTTAGCATATCTAAATCGAGATGTGGTGGATATTATCTATGGCGCCCGTAGCGTAAGTGTCTCGAAAAGTATTGAATATTTGCAAATGGGATAACGAAATCTATCGATACTCGGAGTCTCAATTGAATAGTGGGCTCCTTTTTCGAGCCTGCTGTGTTTCAAAATCGATTTCGTTCGTAACCAATTATTTAAATAAAATTTCACCCGCCTCTGACGTCGATCTCTACGTGGTCGGTGTAACGAATGCCATGGCCGCGCGACTGGAATACAAGGTTACGGACCCGGTTCCTTTCCAACGGAGCATCCTCATTGGTCGTTCTGGCTAACGGCACTTTGGTGTCCATGAAACGGTCGCGATCGAAGCCGTGCATCCGACAGACGCTCGACCGCCGTTCGTGAATCACGAGTGTCGTTTTTTTCCCCCCCCGAAATCGTGAAACGATGTCGTTCGTCGACGCGACGCGGAAGCTGGCCAGTTGACGGAGTTCGGTAAGAGATCAATGCCCGATTTTTGTTATCCGGAACCGCACAGTTTCGTCGAGACCAGCGTGTCTCGTTGCCTCCTTTCCGATGACATAGTTACGCGCCTCGATGCTACGATCTATTTTCTTTTATCGTTACGATGACGGGTCTGTGAATCGAGGTAACGTTTCGCGACATCGGACGCTTACGAGGCGTAATCGTTTGTCTTATAACGAGTGTTGTAGTTTGAGAATGGCGTCGATAAGAGTATGTGATCGTAGGTACAACATGCGACTGGCGCCGTTGCTGGTAAACCATGGTCTGGTGTTGTTGTGGATGCTGTTGGTACCATGTGGTTCTGTCACCTTCGAGGATGGACCTACCAGCGAGCAGACCGAGGGACGCGGTGAGTCTAGTGATTTAGTTTCACCTTTCCCTTCGAGGAATTTAAATCTCATCTCGATTACTGGGTATCCCCTTTCTATATTTTTTTTTAACACTGTTTCTACTTAAAACTTGAAATTATTAAAAGAGTTTGGAGGTTCTGAATCCCCACTCTTTAGATCATTAGTAATTTATGTTACCAAATTATAATAATTTCTGAGATCTTCTAAATGCTAGCTGACGAGGTCCTACCAAACACCATGGCACACAGTGTTCTATAACTTCGTTATTTTGTAACATTAAATTACAAAATTCCTACGAAAATTAAGTTAAAACATTATCTAATATGCTACTTGAAAGTTAGCCCAGGGAAGAGTCTAGAATTGGTCTATGGTTATAGATCATCAGGGCACCCTTCACCTGTGTTGACATATACTGATTAGAATCGATTCTTTCAGACAACCAGGTCCCAGAGCCCCAGGAGCAGGTGCCATTCAACAGGACGCGACAGGGGAAGGGAATTTTCGACTGGATCGGTCTGGGAACCGGGCGAAACGTGGACCCCTACATGGCGAAGACGAACAAGGGTTGTTTGAATGGAGATCTAGCCGAATGTTTCAAGTCCCAGGCGTTGAGTTACTTCACCGACTTCTTCGACCAGCCCCACTACGATATGAACGATTACGTAAAAGTCGTGAGGATGTCCAGGGACGTGGTGAAGGAGGTTGGTCGTCAGCCGTACGAATACTCGAACGAACCAAGGTACCAGACATTCCAAAGTCCTTTCACAGGCACTTAAAACCCGCAGGGAATGAAATATGACGTTCAGAACATCGATGATACAATATAGTTCTTATTGTTGAGGCTTTTGAGTATAGGTCCCTATCCCTGAGTTGCTTAGAGACCATTCCCTCTAATTACTGTAAGCTGTAGAAGCCATCAAATTGTGTTCGTCCTGTATTTTAGGTCCAGTGATTCCGAGTGGGACCAACTCACGAAGTTCGCCATGAGGAAGGCCGAGAAGTTCGTGAAAACCGTGGCCATTGAGTTGCACATACCATCCGAAGAAACTGGAGACAACGATGTCTACGCCCCCAGGTTCCTGGATGAAATTGCAGACGAGATTGATACTCTGGAGAACAAAAAGGACACCCTCTTCTGTGAGCACTCTATCCTCTATAAAGAAAACTATTTCCTCCATTTTTAAAGGTTGTGGTTGAAATGACGGATACGTGCAAAATTTTGTTAACAGACTCAAACTTCGATCAGTCATCTTATACAATGAACACTTTTTAATAAACGTCTGGAAGCAGAACTAAATTATTATCTAATGTAGATACATTACAACCATTTCTTTAGAATCGATGGTTTCACGTTTGCACAAATAATTATAAATAATATTTGCCATTTTTTTGTTAAACGATCATTTCACCACGCCCCATCGAGCAATTTTTAATTGAGAGTTCTACTAATACCGAGTTTTACAGCCCGCCATCAGCTGAAGAAGCTCCTGATCCCGATGCTGATCGTTCTGAAGCTGTTCAAGCTCAAACTACTGTTGTTCTTGCCCCTGATTTTGGGCCTGGCGTCCTTTAAAAAGTTCCTCGGCTTCCTCGCGATCGTGATACCGGGTCTGATTGGCTTCTTCAAGCTCTATAAGCCGCTCACTCAAAATTATCATCCTCCGGTGTATAGTCAGAGCGGGATTGGCTACCCTCCTTACTACAAGGAGAATGCTAATAATTATCCTTATGCGGAGCAGGGTGCTCATCCAGCTCCTGAGTACCAAGGTGGTTACCACGGGGATAGCGTGTCCTTTGGCCAGGACCTCGCTTATCGAGGCTACCAGGAGTACCAGTCATAAGGATGCTCCATAATCGAAAGATCGTTTAAATTTTTAATTGGTTCCACGACATAGAAAATGTCTTTTTTCGTTTTTAGATGGGAACAACGTCAAAGTAAAAAAAATACTCTTTGGGCGAAATCGAGTAATTGAATTCTATAAAATTATCAACATATTTAGAGTTGTGTTATCAAAACAATACATGGAACTTTGGTATATTTGAATAACACAATTTTAAATAATTATCGATTAATTTGGAACTGCGTTGTTAGAAAGAGAAATAGAATTTTGATGCATTTAAGCAACTCTGTTCCAAATAATTGTCAATAAATTTATAATCGTGTTGTTCACATGTATAAAAGTTCTCAAAATCTAGAGTTGTTCAAATACGTAAAAGAATATTGCATTTAATGTTGTTTTAATTGGTTCTGTTGGGCGTGGAGAACCTGATAGTATTATGGAAATTGTGTTGCTATACTAGACAGGAGATTTGTTGCTATTTTCGAGGTCTTTGCTTCTGTTACCAGATATTAGAGTAGATTGGTCTTGGATGTGTCAATATTTCTACTGTTTATTCTAGTAATCACATTTTAGTCGTAAGTTGTGTGGTGTGTCGTTGAAATCGAATGTACAAAATTGTTCATACTTGTGATTCACTCAAGAGCTACGTCGAGGGCCGAGAAACCTCTCGAATTGTCTCTATTCGTATGTTTTAGTATGCTCTCTCATATTTCACTCGATCGTGGTGAAATTATCACTCAAACGTCTGAAAGATTGCGTGGTTACGTACGCTGCCATTTTTGAACGGTGTGTTATCTAAGAATTAGGTGATATGTATAAATAATAGCCATGTTCCGATACGTAAACTGTCGAAGACGCTGTTAGGTTGTATATATTACTTAATCGTGTATGTAGTTACTTATAAAACTGTTAAAAAGTACAGTTTACTTCTGCGCGCGTGAGGATTATTTATTGTCTAGGTTATTTAAACATTTTTATGTAAAATATTTTAGCAACTACTGTCAATAAATCCAAGCAATTGGTGCATTTCATCCAACAATTTGCGTCGTCTACCTGGAAAGATAACAGTGATAATTTTAATTTCTTGACAGGTGGAACATTTGTGACGATATAAGTTAACAATAATAGTCTTCTTAGCTAGGATGGATGTAGAAATTAATTTACAGACTTTGTCTACCCTTTGTGCAAACACCACTGGATGGAATTGTGCACAATAATTAGTAACTAATTAAATAAGAAAAAACCCATGCTTCTGAATTCCACTTTAGGTGAATTTCCTTATACAGAGTTATTAACCAATAAAACAAAATCGAATTCTCCACCGATGTCCCTAATTTCTGCTTTGCTTCTTTTCTACATTACGCTTCACTTGTTTATACCGAAAGTATTTTGCTGTCATGTTGTGGAAAGTTAATTTCTCAAAGACACGCGATTAGTTCTCGTTTTCTTAACGGGGGATTTGAAAAGTGGAATTTCCAGTTTCAAACATTTCCTTAAATTTTAAAACTTTGATCAGATGAAATTAACTTTCTACTAATTAAAAATTTCTGAGAAGCAAAATCAATGCCTACTTTTTATTATTCATATATTTTCCATCAGTTGTGCCATTTAATGGCACTCAGAGTCTCCTATTATGCGCATAATTGGTCCGAAAGCGATCCCGCGACGAGTTCCAGAAATATCTGACCTCCGCGAGCGCCTGGTTTCCCGTTTCTTCGCGTTTCTGCAGTCCCCCATTAATTTTCCCAACCGGAAGTGACGGGAAATGGGGCCGTCGACCGCGCAAACCGATTATCCTCGAACGCCACGCCCTCCCATTCCTTTTCTATCGCGCCGGGTTAACGTAAATTACGTCGTTGTCAATAAAATATTACACCAACAATGCTGGAATGGAGAGAAAACCGAGAACTCGCATACCTAGTTACCAGTTCTTCCCTTTTGAAGACAGCTCGCGTCGAAAGGCCAACGGTGATCCTTTCAGATTACTAACTGGAAGCTGAAATTAAGTAAATTTTACTAAAGCAAAAACAGCGTAAACATCAATTACGAGAAATGGTTCCTTGAATTTGTTAAATTAAGAATTTGAAATCAATATAGTCGCCTTAGAATATATTTAATAATCTCCGGGAATTATTTTAAAAGAAGAAGTGCAAAGCAAACCTCGCAAACGAAACCACAGTTATTCGTCGAAACATGGAAAGCAGACGAAAGCTTAAGAACTGCCGTTTTCATTTGCATCATTTTCCTGCATCCGGTTTTTGCATCTTTGCTCACCGCAAAATAGTATGTCAGCAGGAAAACACGCGACGCAAGACTGCGTACTTAGATATGACTCTACCAATAACATCAATTTCTCGTTCAAGTTCCCCTTTACTAAAATTTCTCTTAACAGAATTACTTTTCAAACTTTTCTCTACGTTGTTTCGCAATGTTAAATCATCGAAATTGGTCTCCGTTCCATCAGGTTGCGGATGACTTGGCCGATCTCGCGAACGCGTGAAACTTCCCACGATTTTATAACTGAAAAACGATGACAAATAACACTTATTGTACATTTGGTGTTTAGCCAATTTGTTTGGTATGAAATTACGAAGCAAATTGAGCTAACTAATACCAGCCATTCTGGGAATGTTAACTATTTCATAGTTGCATATTTATTGGCCAAGAAAATATTTAACTACGAGGCTTGTAGCCGACTTCACGGTTGTTCACCTTGGCCCTTTTTATTAATACATCTTTTTCAAGCAATCTAACGAATTCCCAGAGTTCTCGAACCGCCATGTTTCCATTCGTAACTACCCCAAGATACAAATATAGAAGCCTCAGCTTGGAAGGGGTGAAATATGTGAAGGTACATTTTCAAACGAATTTTCATTTCGTATTTGAGCAACTTAACCCAGTAGAATTCCATTGCCTTTTCGCCTAGAAGCCAACGGAATATTAATCGGTGTCGACGTCCAAGCTCCAACGGAGGATCGACGTCTGAATAGACACCGGCGTCGTTTACGTATTCTTTTTCTCTTTTCTCCGCGCGACAGCGGCGTGACAAGCGATTGGAAGCGACGATCAAACCGCGCGTGAAAATCTCGTCTCGTGTTTTCTCTCTCTTTCTCTCCGGTACGAAGGATGGAAGGAACGTGGACGCTGGGGCAACCGGTTCGATGCGATTCTCACTCGCGATCCAGAGAATCGGATGGAACGGATCTGTTGACCAAGTGGCCTCATTCGATCAGAAGACCGGAAGCGGTCTGCCCTCCCCGAGGCGGTACACAGAAAACACGGAAAGCAGTGGCTCGTTGCGTCGAGTGCGTGCCGCTGGCAAAAACCGGCGATTTTGCGAAACCAGTTTTGCACGCGGGATCCCACAATGAAATCGCGCGCTTCCGTCGCGATCACGGTGGTCTCAGGCCACGAGATTTGAAACGAAAGTAAGAACCATCGATTGGAAACAATTATTGCATTTACCGGGTCTCTGTTAGCCATCCTCAACCCTTAGATTTTGGTCCTCTTCGAAGCTTACGACAGTCAAGGAATAGAAATTTCGTTTGACACCAGAGAATGCTCGAGCGCGATCATAACTCACGGATCCCGTTGAAAACATATACCTCCGCACAGCGAATTAAGAAATACCATAATGTGTCCCACTTTAACAGTAATGATTGATTTTGTTTCTTTGAATTCCTGTGGCTCGACAAATCATAGTCTCTACGTGGAGAATTTATCGTGCAAAATCACCGTACCGAATTCCAATAGCTTACGCAAAAATTAAACGGTGCTCGATCGGAGGTAATAAGATAAAATTAAACACGCATTCGCGCCGGAATGCCAACGAGATAGCGATTAATCTTCTCCTATTTTCTTCTATCAAAGATTTATTCGAAGCGGTAGACTTTGTAGACGTTCGTCTTGCAAGTTGTTCGTTCAAGTTCAGGCAGAAGTGTTTGAGAAGCGCTGATTTAAACGAAGCTGTCTAGCATCAGGAACCGTACGGTGGCCGAGGATCGAGGATCGATCGCGATCGATCTGAAAAAAAAAAACAGAATGGCCACCGGCGAGGTTCGCCGGTTCGCGTTGTTCGAGTGTGTTGACGTCTACCTGTTTCGTTAACTTTCTCCCGGTAACCTTGTTCCCTCATTTTTTTCCCTGATGCGTTACCGTTCGTGTCGGCGGGTTTTAGCGCGCTTGTTTCGCGATTCGATCGGCCGTGTCGCAGGAAAGTTCGCGACACGAGTCTGCATCCCTCTGACAAGACGCGAAACAGCCTTTCTGGACGTAGGGGGCTCGCTGCTAAGGAAGACGCCATAGATGAGCTATACGACTAGGTGCCTAAATTTTTCGGCGAAAAAATAATTTTCAAATCGTTCTAAAAAAATTATTCTTAGTTGCGGGGGTCAATTATAAACATTTTTGGTGAACAGACATATCCCCGAAATCCTACCCACTTTCGAGAAAAAAATTCAGTAGCTGCCTAAATTTTTCGGCGAAAAAGAAAATTTTCAAATCGTTCTAAAAAAATTATTCCTAGCTGAAGGGGTCAATTATAATCATTTTTGGTGAACAGACATACCCCCGAAATCCTACCCATTTTCGAGAAAAAAATTCAGTAGCTGCCTACATTTTTCGGCGAAAAAGAAAATTTTCAAATCGTTCTAAAAAAATTATTCTTAGTTGCGGGGGTCAATTATAAACATTTTTGGTGAACAGACATATCCCCGAAATCTTGCGCACTTTCGAGAAAAAAATTCCTCACCGAAAGTTTAATGTCTGATCAGGATAGGAATGTTTCCCTGAAATGTCATGCGTATGTTTAAAACGTCATAACTCCTGAACGGATTGGAGGATTTTAATGTTTCAAAATGCAAACGACGCGTATTTTGGTCAAGAATATGTAGAAATCCTAAGAATATTCAGAAAGTTGTTCCTTAATTCTGTAAAGTATGAAAGACCCCATACAAATGGCTGAATTTTCACATGCACTTAATTTTTACGAATTTAGAAAAGAAACAAGAGTTGCAGAAGGTATGGTAAAGAAGATTGTTAGACTTTATGATTGAAATAAAAATATCAAAAACGATATTCGGTAAGAGGGTCACAGGGGACGGTCCGTTGCGTTTCCCATGACGCTCCTCCGCGGCCTTGATTTCGAGTCGTTAATTTCAATCATTGGATTAACGACAAAGTCCCCGTGTACTAATAGCCCGGTTAAAAGTGAAACTACAGGACTGGAAACGTGCAGATATCGAGGCGCTTATGCTATCCGTGCGAAGGATGTTGACAGTCCTCGTGGACTGCTAATAAATGGAGATGCTGATAAAGATTTTCATCGACGGCCACGGGAACAGGTTTGTCCTGTTTGTTGGTGATATTCGCAGAATGGAAAACACCGATCACTATGATATGGTGTTTGAAAATTCGATTTTTCTGCAAGTGTAATATAATTATTATTTTGGAGAAGCAAGATGGCCACCTGAAACTTAAGTGGCACCCTTCAGAAACAGTCACGGTGCTCTTGATCCAATATTAGTCCTCATATATTGTTGTCTTATTTTTATCTGTACATTAATGTGCAATAATTAATAAGAACGATGCCAGAAGTTAATAGTATAAGCTTGGTGGGAAACCAAGCTTTTTAAAAGCTTCGTATCGTTACGTTCAGCGGGACTTGATCCTACGAGAAACATGCGGCGCGAGATGTTCGACAAACGCCAATGAAAAACCAAGAAAAAGTGTGCCGACGCAGAATCGTATATGGTAACCGATTATTCGCCGTGGCCAGCTCGATCTCACGGTCTCGCGGAGGTGTTTTGGTACTCAGCGAACCGTTACGTGGAATTCCAATCGAACGATTCGTCAGGATCGCTATCTCTGGGCTTGTTTTGCCAGCCAGACAGCGTGGGTGACCGATTTCCGGTGACACCTATTCTTTCGAGCACTTAGAGCCCCAACGATTTGGAATTTGTCAAGAAAAACGACAGATGACAAGATTTGTATTTTTGCAAGGACACAAGAATTGTCATTCTTCAGTGACTCTGATAGAAAGTGCAAGCCAAGTAAAGCGAAGTACGTTTAGTTCCAAGTACAAAAGACACTTATATTGGCTTATATCCACTGTGAAAATGTGGTACTCAAGTAACACGGTGTAAATGTGTGAGACAAATCGTTATCCGACCTGAAAAACGATACAAAGAGTCGAATGATCGAAGGAACGTGTTTCATCTCTTCGTGGTCTACAGTCCGCTCCAAATTCCATCGCCATTACCACTTTCTACCTCAACATAGCTGACCACCCATCGAGCCGAGCGCAACAAAAGCATTCAAATTGCGGATGCTGATCCCTCGGTCGGGATTTTCGATTTGCACGCACGAAGGTACGCGTGGCCGATGGGTTCGACTACTCGTCCGGTTGCGAAAGTAGCCTCCATCGACGGGAACAGGCCTCCATTCAAGAATGAAAAGCGGACGTCGTTGTTTTTCTTCGCCTTCCGTGTCCTCCTCGTCGCCCTCTCTGCGACAAGAGTGCAACTCGACGCGGTCGTGCTGTCGTTTAATGGCCTCTCAAGAATTTCAGAAACGTCGACTCTTCTCGTGCAGAAACACTTATCTTTGCAGACAGAAACGTGACTCCCTCATGTTCCCCTGCTTTCTAGCGCGATTCCTTTTATTACTTTCCCGGCTGTTATTGAATTCTACTATGTTTCCCCGTCGTACATGACGGACGGCTGGGACTCAAAGAACCATTTCTCCACTTCAATTTATTTTCTTTACCTTTTGATAAGAACTTTGCAGAACGTAGGATGTAATGCATAGGTGACGTTTGATGGAGGACTTATCGCATGTTTACACAGGACAACGTCCTCGATTTATGGTAGATTGCTCAAAATTTGCCGTGTGGCATTTAAAATTTCCCGCGGTAACGTTCTGCAAAAAGGTTCCTTTTTTCTAATCGATACTGTTGCGTGGCCACGAAAGTGAATCAAGTATACGGAACAAATGGTCTGCGTTCACGTTCTCTTTTTCGTCCGATTGGGACCGGAGGCGCGCGCGAACCGCACCGCGGTGGAAAGTGTTCCATTGATTAAAACAGGAAGACCGCAGGATTCTTTTTGGAACGGTTCCACAGACCGCGAGGTTGCTTCGAAACGGCTCGGCTGATCTTTCGTCGGTTATGGTAATTTTACTTCCACCTGGTCGGGCGAGTCCGCCGAAGACCTTGAACCTTGTCACGGTTTTATTTAATCGATCAGAGAAATTCCGTGGGTAACTGTATTTTTATCGAGGCTTCGTGGACCGTACGTTTATAATATGGTGGAAGGAATCTAAAAATTATAATAATTGTGCATCAAAAAAATTTAGATACCAATAACTTTATTGGTCGTCTAATTTTTTTGTAAGATTTTCTTCAGATTTTAGTTTCGTTCTTGGTTACTTTTAGTGGAATATAGGGCCCAAGGGTTATCTTAGTTTCGAGCGGAGGGAATTGCGCTGATAATTGAGCGAAATTGCTTCCGCATAGCGGTGTTTTAATCGGACAATGCGGTTCCGTTCAATCGGGTCTGGCTCTCAGGCTGACTGGAGGCCATGCTCGAACTTGGCACACTTCGTCATACGTGGCCGACGAGCGCTGTTCCTACCTGGCGTAATTGTTCCTTGTTACGGCACGCTGTGCAGCGATATTTACTTTCTTTACGAGCGTAATATAACGCCGGCCCGTTGCTTTCTAGCGTGTTTTTCACCTCGATTTGAATCCGCGTACCCGACACGGAATCTGCCCCGTGCACGTGTCGCGAATCTCGATCGTTGTTTTTCTCAAGTTTCCCCGTAACTTGCCGCTAATCGTCCCGCCGGGGAACCGGATACAAAAATGCTCCCTTCTGGCATTAAACGCATAATGGCGCCCGACGTCCACACGATCAAACTTTATGTAGCAGGCTCTGCCTCGGAAACGGACGGATAATTACTATTATTACTAATAAACGTCTTCACTGCGCGAATGGAAACAAGAAGTATGGAAATGCACAAGTAGCGAAGCGTAGATGAAATTCTGTTATTAAGTCCTAGCCTCAAATGTTGGTCGAGGTGTACCGATCTGTTCTCGTGTGGATAAATAAAAACGAAAAGTGTGACAATGAGTAAGTGGTGTGGTTGAAATGCTGTGGTTAAAACCCAACCTCAAATGCTGGACGAGTTTTACTTATGGGTACTACTCTACCCTGTATGTTAAGTGTTCAATAAGGGCAAAACTGAGGACTTATTTTCTGAGGATGATTCCTTTTTGAACTGTGCATATGTTTTAAATACAGAATTAAATCGCATACGATCCAAAGAAAGTTTATTTTTATACGTTCCCTCTTTAAATTCGTGATCTAGCTTCAGTGCAAACGAAGTTAAAATTGTAATCTTGAATAAAATTCGCCCAACTTTGGCGAACGGCCATTTTGTCGGAGTGAGCCTGTTGGTCCTTCGTTTAAATACAAGTCGGCAATTTTCCATTCCCGTGTCGGGACACGGTGTCGTCGAACCCCCGTCCGAAGGAACGTTTTCCTGCGGGTCGATTCCAGGCGACGAGGATCGTGGCTCGTCGCGATCGTTGGGTCCAAACGGCGTGCGTGCTCTAGATCCGTGACACGGTTCTCGCGGTGGGTCGCGGCCCGCCCAATGTCCAGGAACCTCGGTGTGCGTGGCTGCAGCCCGTCCGTGCACGCAGGTCTCCGCCGATGGAGTCCTCGAAGGTGTCTCGGGGAACCTGTTTTGCGACGAGGGGAAGCCCTCGGGTCGGTTCTCTGTTCGAGCGAAGATCTGCGCGTAGAAGGAGGCAGTCGATCACGGGTCCCACCACCCGGTACCCGGCAACCAGTCAGCCGGCCAGCTCGTATCAAAGGCAAAAGTGGGCACCACCCGCTCCCCGTGGATCCCGCTGGGGGGTGGTGGGTCTCTTCTGCCGCACTCAACGCCGAGATCTACGTATATAAAGTGGCCGGGGGAGACACCGGGTTCAGAATTCTCGACACGCTCGATCCACGCATCGAGTCACGCACGCGCGAAGGGACGTCTGCCCGTGGTGTCCAGGTCCGTCCAGGAAGGAAGAGAGTGCCCTCGATCCACCGTTCTACGTATCCCAGGATCGAAATCAAGGTGCGTACCCTGGACGGTTTTTATAACGAAAATCCTGGGTCGTCGAACACCTTTGCATCCTTTCACGGTGGACATTTTGAAATACGAATTTCACGTTCCAGTATAAGGTTCTTTTGCATTCTGTTTGGAAACTTTTCATCCTTTATTTTACAAATTTGTCTATTGCTATTATTAGAATTACGTGACTGAAAGAAAGCTTGACTGGGTCAGAGTGCTTGCAGAGACAGAAGTACATCCTTAATTTTGTATTTTTTATTTTATCAAAATCCCTAATGTTGAATGAGAAACAGTTTAACGATAGTAATTTTTAATAATATGACTTCTTAAATTAAATATTTCTTCTCTTGATCGACTAATATGACGCCCTATCTGAGTTTTGGGGGTTTTGGGAATCCACGAGCTAGCTAAATCTTCAAGAGATTTTGATGAGTTCTTGACAGATTCAAATTTTATTCCCTGACTCACTTATAATATTATGGAAACAATTGTTAGCAATAAAATATAGAAAAATGTTAGTACTCCCAACAGTTATAGAATGCAATAGAAAAACCGTGTTTTGGGGTTCCTGAGAGACCTCCCTTGCAATGTTAAGGGTTAATGCAGCCATTCATTAATAACAAGGGACGATGTAAATGTACGATTGTCTGTTAGGAACACGATGAGGGCAATTCTGGTATATCTGTCGATCTCAAGCCTGGTCATGTGCCTGGCCAATCCGCTGGACAAGCTGGAGAAGCTGAACGTTCTCGAGCAGCAGTCAGGGACGTTGAACGACCGCGCCAAGTACGAGGAGGAGCTGCTACGTAAGCTGAACTCGAATTGCTCGCAGAACCATCTGAGCAGCTGCGTGATGCTGAAACTGGTGACGAACATGAACAAGTTTCTGAAGAAGGCGTCGATCGAGCTGACGGACGACATCGAGATCAGAAAAACCAGCCAGGCTACGGAGGAAGTCGTAACATTCGAGTCTGGCAGGAGCAAAGACGACGAGTCCGAGGTCCTCGACCTTGTCGCGAACAAGGTGTACGCGTTCATCAAGTCCAGGAGCATCAAATGGAGAATTCTGCCCGAGGACGACGTCGTCGTGTCTGCCTCCGAGGATGAGAACGGATCACTGAATCTCAGCTTGTCGATCGAGCGTGCTGACAACGCTGCGGTCCAAGATGGTAATTCTTTAACACGATCTTCTAGTTTTACGAGATTAGGTCATTAGATTGTACCAAATAACTTGACACATAGGCTCGGAACATCTTACAATCTTCCAGACCCATTTCATCCTCAATCTTAACCTTCATCCCCAATCGAGTCCAGAGATCTTAGTTCAAAGTAACACAGTTGACTCGACGTTAGGTCAAATAGACAATAGTTCTCGACACCTATTCCCACTCCGGTTAGGAGTTGTTGCACCTGGCAATTCGGTCACGCCCGACCGGGTGCCAGACTTTACAGCCATAGAAAGTCACCGCGTTTTACCTTCCCCGACGAAAGCGAGAACACGCTGATTCCTGGCATTTGCTTCCAGGTCGTGGGAAGAAGAACAACAACATGGGCCCGTTGATCGCGGCGGCGGTGCTGAAGATGGGCCTGATAGCGGGGCTGGCGTTCAAGGCCCTGGCGCTGCTGGTGGGCAAGGCGTTGCTACTGTCGAAGATAGCGCTTCTTCTCGCGGGCATAATCGGCTTGAAGAAGCTGTTCTCGCAGCAGAAGCACGTCACGTACGAGGTGGTCGCCCATCCTCATCACAGCTCCAGTCACACGGTGAGCTCGGACCACGGCCACGGGGACAGTTACTCGAGCGGATGGGCGAGGAGCTTCCATCAAGGGCCGATCCCCGGGCAGACGGACGCCCACGACTTGGCCTACTCGGCGCACGCAAAGTGAAACCGGACTTATGGCACCCGATGACGCTCCTCAGAGTCTGTTGGGTCTGGCTAGACCCTCGTCCGCCGATCCCCAGCACGTTCTTGCCGTTAGTTTTAATATTTGATTCCCGTCTTCCTGGTCTTCTTCGTTTCTGCCCCTTTCCTTTCTCTTCGTTTCTTCGCTTCTCAGGCGGGCCCGAATTACGCCTCTGACCATGAAACTCGCGACAAACACTCACGACGGACCTGACCACCATCGACGGACGCTACACTCTTCGCTCCATGAGCCTGATCTTTCGTTTTACCGTGACCTTTGACCCGTGGACCGAAAACCGTGAGACTCGCAAAACTCGATTACGCAACGAGGACTCGAGAAAGGTCGATTTTCTTTTTTTCATTTTATCGACCACCGGCGACGAATCGTGAAACGGTTCTGTCGGGTGTTCTGGAATTGCATTCTCACGATTCGTTTGGCAACCGAATCACGTTGACGGACGAGTGACTGACGCGACGCTCCCACTGACACCAAAATGACTCGGACGCACGAACGGGTAGAATTTTGTATCTATACTTCCGTCTCGACATAATTTATAATTAATTTATTCCTCTGCGAAAAGCAGACTGTACCATAATGTTACGCACGTGTTGTTTTTGTTTTTGTATAAATAAATATTTATTGTTTTCTTTTGTAACGCGCGTATATCCTGAATCCGCGCAAACAGTGCGAAATGCGAGCGAATCGAATTTCGTTCCGATTTCTTTCCTCGCCAACAGGTCATCCGCACGCTATGTTTCGATGGACATTATTGGGGTTTCTAATTGAATCATTCCGTTCAGCAGAGAATTGTTGTTCCTTTAAAAGTTCCTTTTCCTTGCTCTGTTGCATTTCACTGATTTAAATATTAGTTAAATTTCACCGATATTTCTTTTTACTATTGTAACTGTAAAATTTGTCCATAAAAGAAACGTTATATTACATTTTAAGATTTATTTTCGAACCACCGATACTTCTAGATACCTAACGATAAATAAAATTCGTCCGCTCACGTGTCGGTACTTTTTTGTTTACGACGTGCGTGAATAATTTCCTCTTCGATGCTATAATATTACGTTACGGCGATATTACACGCCACGTGCAATTTTTTATCCGTCGTTAATTACAGTTATTCCACGCCGTATTTATATCCGATGGAAAAAAGAAAGATTGCGATGAAACTCGTCCGATAGCTACACGGTTTTCGAGCATGACATCGTTTAGATAAATCTTTCTTATTGCGGAATAAATAGTGGAGCGATTTGAAATTGATACGCTGTGAAAAAGGATGCCAAATCGTCAGCACAATTAGTCACTCGAATATGGAAATAATTTAAATGTTGTACTACCGTGTCTGATTGAAGAAGTTCTGCGAATGAATATGTATGGAAACCGTATAATTACGCCATTAATTACGCAGGTCGTTCATTATCTTTGGATTTGGTCTGTTTACTGGAACGAAATCGCTGGAACGAAACTATTACATAGTTACCATTAACAACAATTTTCTGCTGGAGCATAGGTAATAGTCCAAGAATTTTGATATAAACACTAGCAATCACTAGCAATCAGCACTCGTAGCATGACCGATAATTTTGTATCCAACATCGTCTTTTATTAAAAAAGAAATTCTCTGTTGTCACAAAATTTCCCTCGTTCTCTTAATTTAATAAATGTATAGAAATTAGATATCGATATCGTAGCGCGACTAAAATCGCAATGACTGGGGCCAACGCGAAGTGGGTGATCGATGAAGTATTCCAAGCCATACCATACTAAAAAATATGCCGAATGTGTCGTATTCATTGCATCGTGATCCGCTTTGCGGAACTTAGCGGGACTTGAAGGCCAGGTGTGACAGTAACATCGAGCTACTCTAGGAATGTCATTCTACGTGGCAAATATCCAGATCGATTCTGACTGCTCCCAATAATTATTTTATGAAATCGAATCGTCCCTATAAAATAACATCGTGCTCAAAAGTTTTTAACGATAATGTTCCAAAGTTTGAGCCACCATTACGGTTCTTAAACTATCAGACACCCTCGTGTTCAGAATTGTCACGTGTACCAACAGAGGGAGAGTATTTAACTTCGAATATTTCATGGACGTACATATTCCTAAATTAGAGTACTTAAAATCTAATATTTAGTAAGTTTTTAATGCTCTTTGCTAGCTTTTAGTAACAGTTAGGGGTTTAACGAGGTAGCTGCAATAGGAAATGAAGAGAAAGGAGCAGATCACAATACTTTATACATTTTACAAAACTTTATTATTTCCTCAACTGTGTTTTTAAAGAAAAGAGAAAAATTACAAGCCTTTTTTTATTATTTACATGTAAAAAAGTTTTAGAGGTTAAAGGAATAGGTAACTATAATACGAGGTAGGGGTATAGCTGTTTCCTTGAACCTCCCGCTAGGGCGCGCCACTGTTAACGACGCATCAACGTATAGTCAAACTAATTAATTTTGTATTTATCTTAGGGAACACCCAAGCATCTTAATCTCAAATTACAATTTAATGTATTTCTGTTACCTCATCAATGCTTTCTATCGTACAGGTAACCAGTCGAGCTTCCCATACGAAACTATCCGCAATTGATCAGAGTAATTCCTTCTACGAAGAAGAAATAGGAACAAATTTTCGGGATCTCGTAATTAAAAATGTTTCACAGTGGATAACGTTCGAAGGCGTCAAAGTTGATCGAAGGGAAAACTACCGAGGACCTCGCGTTGCACGAGGCATCTTTCATTCAAATAAGTCGGCCTCGTTTCGTCCGACCGCTTTCTCCGCCTCGATTGGGAAGGATCGGAAAGAAGATGACGGCCCGATAAGGGACGCCTTAAGAGAAAGACGGTGTTCCTCCGGGAGATCAACTTTCGGTTTCGGGTACGCGCGGGAAGGAAGCGGGGTCGCCATGATCGTTGACCCAGTTTTCGAACCGCGATCCTCGTAAATCGGAAAAAAATCGACACGTGCCGCGGCGGTTCGCGAACGAAGCCGTCGAACCGGAAGACATTTTGTACCTGTTTACGGGCGGCACCGGAGAGGGAGCCTAACACCGTTCTAACGAAACAAAGGAATCGGGCTCTTTATTTCTTCCGCGCACGTATCGCGTTAATCTCTGCTTAACGATTTTTCTGACTCTTTTTTATGGAAATCGAGCAACGTACGAACGTTGCGCTACTTAATTTTAGATATTTCGTACGAGCGTAATATTCCAGTGATATTTTATCAAATTTAGAAATAGTTATATTTTAGCGATGATTAAATAATATGGAATGTTTCGTATAATCTTAATTCATGTCACTATTTTTCGTTAAGAACTTATAACGAACAATGGACCAGAATATAGTCGCCTATTACTAGCGCCGCCAGCGGAGAAACGATGAAACTCAGCTACTATACTGTGTTAGAGTTGGTAGGTGATGTACGGTATATTTCCTATATAAGTATAGTAGTTTCATCGTTTGTTCGCTAGTAGAACTAATAATAGAAGGGACAATATTTTTTCGCCAATTGTTTAATCTACCTTTCAGGAAAAGCGGGAAACAGAACTACTCAAAGACAAGTATCTTTGTTTTCCATCTTTCAGTAACAATGTGACTGTACTTGATACTTTTCACTATCTTTCTAAAAGAACATAATAACGTAACAATCGATAAAAGTATTACCAGAAGAAATAACAGTATTAAGGAAGTCTGACTATGAGGTCTGACCCAATACTACTCGCGACCCAATACTACTTTTCTCCGCAAGAGTACGTAACTTGGACCGCTTATTACTTCCACTGTCTTTCGGCGACAATGTATTTTCGAGTTTAAACCAATTTTTCTAAATAATCGACGTTCCGTTTCCCGTTCAAGCGGCGCGAATATTGTTTTTGACGGGGACCGTCGAACGAGGATTCTCGATCGGGACCCCGGTTGACCCGATTTCTTTTCAAGAGCACGTTTTCGCCAGGATTCGGAGAAATTTACCGCGAGTGGAGAAAGTGTCGGATATTGATTGAATCCTCGTATTACTGGCCACGAGGATGCGCGTCTGCTTCTGGTAACGGTGTCAGCGAGTCTGTGAATGATCGAACGCTCGGAGCGGCGAAGTCGACACACATTCCCGCGTATCGAGAGGAGAAAACACCTTTATGATGGACTTCTAACGTTCGCCACGCGGTTACGGAAGCGCGGAGAGAAAACGCGGACCGATTAGAAGCTCCCATTTTTACCCGGCAACGAGAAAACTTGCTGCCGGCTCGCATTAATTTATTCGTCGATAAGAAAATAATGCCACGAGGATAATTGCGATCGTGGAAGTTTGGAGAGAAACTGTGCGTTGATTGGAAGCTCGAGTCTTTATACGAGGAGCTAAAGAAACCTTCTCTTGGTATTAAGCTGACCTTGATTCGTTTAACACAGCGTATAAATCAATTCATGATCGTGGAAGTATTCGAGAGAAACCTTGACTCGATTATCCGATTACTAGCGTGGAATAACTGTGAACTAAATTTAATTTTAGTCTATTCGTGGTATAGAGAAATCAGAAGTCTTTTAACATTTCGGTTCGTTCGGTGGGATTCAATATGGCTACTGTAAATGAATTTGCAGTCGTGGAAATAAACTGCGAATCAGTTAGAAGCTTCAATTATTCTAGTCTGATAAAATACATAAATTATCACTGCAATAGTGGAGAGAGACTTGTAAACTGATTAGAGAATTTCTATAGAGAAGAGAAGATATTTTAACTGGGAATAGGAAAAATCTGGTATCTGTACATCTATTTATAAATCGATCTAGAAAGTGCAATATTAAAACTCGAAGCTAGTTTAAAAAATAAATATTATTTTGCCTCAGATTTTCCTAATTCCTAATTCAAAGGATCGAAAGAATGGCTGAGAAGAGAGGTCCCTCGGTACGAGTCGAGATACGCAATCGATCTATCGTTTGCGATTGTTTTCGATATCGAGAATCCCTCGAAACTCCCGTCAGCCCTCCTGCTATCGCAGAAAAGAACGAGGGGAGATCGAGGGAGGCCCCGGATCGAACGCGAGTGTCTCTTCTCGCGTGTCGATCGTCGATCTGGTTTCAAGGATACACGATCGTCCGTGTGGCGTGGCGTCGTCCCGAGGAACGAGCGAACGGTTTCGAATCGGGCCTAGTTATACCTACCAGCCGACGTTACGTATATATATACCGTATCGAAGACTATGCAAAGGGAAGTGGAACAGAAGAGAAAGGTATGAGAAGAGATGAACTAGTTTCCGTTGGCGATCTCGCCGGGAACGATCGAGCCAGACCGATCGTTCCTCCCACCTGTGGTTCCCGGATCGAGGAACAAGGACGTCCAGGCTAAGGGGTTGCTGCCATCCATCCCGTTGGACAACAGAAGAAAAGGGTGAAAGAGGCATACAGGAAACAGGGGGAAATTTAACTATAAATTTATATTCGTACTGTGATTTTTTTTTAATTTTCTCCTCACATTGTATCAAAATATAAATTTTTTGAGATCCACCCAGTAAACTCAGGGACCATCTGAGAGCATACAAGCTTTTCATTCTAGACTCGTCAAGTTCTAGCTTTCAAATATATGGAGAAATTCGTTGTCGATTCACTCAATGTATTTTTAAGGGTGGTTTTTAGATACCCCAAGGTATATTGTTACAATCTTTTGCCACAGATCTCGCGCATCAGGTGGCTCCGGTGACATAAACGCCATCTTTTACGACCCCCCACAGCCAGAAATCGCGCGTCGCGAGGTCTAGAGAGCGTCTGGCCATGCTAGAGGCCCTCCTCTTGCAATCCATCACTGCCAGTCGCATACATCTACCGGCCAGACGTGCATGGATAAGTCACGGACGTGTGCGTTAGAGGGTTAATCGAACATGGTTGAAAGTTTTTTAGAAATTATTCGAGTTACCTGAAATTAAAAACGGCCCGAACTAGGCCATGTTTGGATTCATTTTCACCCGGGAAAACTTCACAGCTTCGTCGGAAACGCTCCCGTAAAAATATCGTGCAAGACATTTTTTTTGACGATGGCTCGAGACTATTCCACGGAGTGAAATTTCAAATTTTTTTACTAAAAGTTATTTCATATTCTATGATAGTATCTTTCAAAGTGTGTCGATACTTTTCACTGGGAGTACTCTTCGTGGCTTTCCACGATTTTTCTTTCACTTCGTCTACGATAACGAATTTCTTCCTTTTTACTGTTTCCTTCGTTCGTAGGAGTAAAAAGCATACGCACGAAGCAAGATCCAGTGAACAGGGTCACAAGAAACCATGTTGTTTTTGCCACGAATCGGATAGACGAGAGAACATGGAAAAGCGGAGATCGGTTATTGGGCCATGACCATGCTTCCCGCCAACACGGATGTTGGGTGAAACTCTGGAAAGTAAGAGTATCAAGTCCGGTTCCACATTTAGTTTATCCTTGAAGATCTATTTGAATAAGTATATCGATCAGAATTAACTAGCTGTTCTCTTTTGATTAGATTTTATTCACACATAATATAGGAATCATAAAGTATTAACAACGACATTTCATCTTTCTTGAGTGATTCTCTTCGATTCCCAAGAGGAAGCCATCGACTCCAGTTTACCAAACAAGGCGTTTCGAATTTCCACGGCCTCTCCATTTGAAATCCGCGATCGAAGTAGGCTCCGCGTATTAGTGCACCCCGTGCGAGCAGTCAGCTCTCTCAAAAAGTCAAAAAACCGCAGGGAAAACGGCGATCCTGGCTAATTGGGCGCGGAAAGGCGCGCGGGAGGTGCGCAGACGATTCGAAATCGGCCACGTTCTCTTCCGCTCCACTAAAGCGCGGAAAGAGGGAAAGGAAGCCGGGACGGGCGGAACAGTATCAAGAGGCGCGTTGATATCCAGTGATCTAGAATAACCGGCGAGAGATGCTACAGGGGATACCAGGGAAAATCGTCGATGGTCGAAGGGGGACGGGATCGCGCGAGGCGTCGTCCGCGTGCGAGACGCAGACGGCCGCTCGCTCGGCCTCGCAGCCAACCGCGGCGTAACGCTCTGAAACGCCTCGAAAACAAGAATTAAAGGAATCGCGAGAGGATCGTCCGAGCGGACGAAAAATTGCAGGCTAATGCACACGCCGGGAACGGAGAATGCCTTGGTTGCTCTGCTGCCCCGATGCTCTCGTTGCTTTTTTCGTGGTACAATCACCGCGTGCAACTATATAAATGAGATTTGATGCCAGTCGCGATGCACCACTCGGACCTCCGCCGTAGGTTCCGCAGGATCAGTACACGGGTTTGGCTTTGTGTTTTGCGTCGCGTGTCGTCCATCGTTCTGATCGAGGTTCGCGTTGTTGTGTCGCACGTTGCACGTCAGATAATTCGGGACTCGAGATGGATTGGTTCGCGAGCAACCCCAGTCTGGGGTCACGACGTTCGTTGGCCGTTTGTCTGGTGATCGTCTGTGCGATGTCCGGCGTCCGGCGGGTCCTCGCCGCTGATGGCGACGACGCCAAGGACGCGTGGAACGGAATCTCCAACGGTTGCTCGGCCACCGACGCGAACAACGCGTCCGTGTCTTGCTACGGGGTGAGGATCGTCAGGAAGATCATGCACCAGCTGTTGGAGAAGTCCAACAAGGAGCCGAACATCGAGATCTTCGACGGCGTCAGCCTGGTGGAGGTGCCTGGCGGCGGGCCCACCAGGAAGGGCAAGCTCATGAAGGGATTCGGGAGCATGGGCTCGTTGGTGCAGTTCTTGGAGGGACGGGAGCTGAGAATCAAGCTGCCCAGCCTTCTGCCGCAGAACATCGAGACTGCCCTGCAGGAGAGTTTGCCGGCTGATCAAGGTTGGCTAGAGGATTCCAGGGGGTTGGTTAGGATCAGGGCGCGGGATCGTCATCGTGTAACTCGGTGCGTCTGTTCTGTTTTCAGCTAGGGCAGGCGGCGGTGGTGGTTATGGCGGTCTGGGAGGCGGAGGCGGTGGCGGTGGCGGCAAGAAGGGCGGCGGCGGAGGATACCTCATTATGGCGATGATGATGGGTGAGAAAGAATAATTTTATTGGCTGTAATCCTGAAGAGAATAAGATTTTAGTATCTCTGGAGGAGTTGTTGACTGGGTCCTCTGAATATTTTCCGCAAAACTGAGAAACAGGTTTTCTGAAATATCGTTGTACTTACCCCCTCCCGTTCTCTGGTACCCAGGAAAAATGATGGCGGCGATGGGATTCGGGGCTTTGGGTCTGCTGGCGATGAAGGCTCTGATGGTGTCGGCGATGGCGCTGATGCTGTCGCTGATCGTGGCCGTGAAGAAGCTGACGAGCGGCCATGACAGCGGCGGCGGCGGCCACCACGTGGTCTACGCTCAGGACGTCGGCCACCATCACTACCGCAAGAAGAGGTCACCCGGCGAGGTGGACCAAGATCTGCCCTACAGAGGATACGCGCACCTGTTCAACGATCTACGGTTGTCCTGATGCTCCTAATCTCCGACGTGGATCCTATTCGCTGGGTGAACAACTTGACACGAGTGGAGACATTTAACGATAGAGTTTAGACACGACAGGACGACTAATGACAGTGACTTGCATCGACGGTGACGAGGGGACGACAGGACGACGGACTCGGACGCAGAAAGTGACGACGTATCGCGTGATCGTGGGACATGTGATGAACTAGAACTCTAGACTCTTCCGGGATCCGGAGACTGGACTGAACGGACGCTGGAGAAACCAAAGTACACGTTCGAACGCCTTATTTATTACTTCATTCTTTACGCTCATCCAACATTCCTTCTTTTTGTATTTATTCATTTATTTATTGCGCAAGCCGAATAAAATGTGTAATCGTTGTGTAAAGGTCGGGTGTTGCGTTTATTGATACCGAAGTCGGTCTTTTACGATGGGAACTATCGAGTATTATTATTTTGAGTATTGTACTTCGATGTAACTGTAAAATTTTCCTCCTTATATTTAATCTTGATAAGGACAATCATAGATTCTTCTAAAACTCTTGCATTAGGTAAAGATTTGCTTCTATCGAGTAAAGATATGTTTACTGATGTTTCTCAAGGAATATTTATAGAAATCGTTACGTTAAAAATCGAGTTCCTCGTGTATCGAGGATCGATGGACCAGACGGGAGCGTGTTCGAGTAATCGCGATCCCCGAGCGCAGGAAAATCGAACATCGAATCGCGCCAACGAGGAAAGTGTGCCAACGAGTCGTCTGGCGTCGTGCGTTGCATATCTTCTTTACCCGAGCGTTTCCGAAGCACGCGATTAAACGGCCGCGTATCTCTCCTAATCGAACGGATTAACGATCGTGAAACTACAAAAAAATGCAACTTTGTCAGCCATCCATTTGTCTTTGTCTGTGGTAAGGCTGTGGTATTCGAATTCTTGAATAGTTTGAGCACTGACTATGTGTTTGGATATTCGTAATATTCGACTAGTGTACCGTGGCCCATCAATCAAAACTTCTAAGTTTATGTTAAACACTATTTGAACACTTTTCAAATATTTGAATACTTTGAATTCATCGATCGAAGAGTGAAATATTTGTTGAAAACTTACATTATTTCGTTTAACGAGTAATGTTTGAAATTATTACTCGAGTAAAGTATTTACCTTCTGCCTGCGAACAGCACGGTCGAGCAACAGAACGCAGAACGGTGGGTGAAGAGCAATTTACTCGTGTGCCGTATTTCCCGACCATGAAATCAGCCAATTAACCGCTCACCAATTAAATGCTTCGGCCAGAAATATCGAAACGTGAGAACCTGAACCGCGTTCTTGAAATCGTAGCATGGAAAATTGCAGCGAATCGACCTGTGTTCCGTGCTCTGGAAAACTTTCCATCGAAGACTTATCATGCTCAAGTGTCACTCAGCGATTCCACCCTAGGAAAACTGATCGCCGCGTTGATAATTCGAGTCTTTCTCGCGAAAGAAAGGCTCGCGACGAAGCTACAAGCTCTCTCGTAGCTTCGAATCGGAGGGGGGACGGTCTTCCTATGCACCTTTTCCCGTCACTGACCCCCCATACCACGTCGCCATCTTCCCCCACCGGTCTCCTCGATCTAGGCCCGTTCACTGCTCTTCTCGTTCGACTGGAGGGGGCAAGACCCACTGGCACACATTCCGACCGCTTCCTTTTTTACGTTTGGAATATCATAAAACGGGAAGATCCCGCTCGAAATCGGCTCAGACCGCGGCTGGACTTCCGCGCAGGCGCATCAGGACGATGAACCTGCGCGGGTGCGACCAGAGATGGACAGAATTCCTATCTGGATAAAGGTTTCCAATGAGGAATAAAAGATAAAGAACTTTTAACTTCGTTGAATGAAAGGTAGAGTTCGAATCATGGGATGAAATTGTATTTCATGTTGTATGTAACAACAAGCTTTTTATTATTTGCATTTTTAATTCATTGACTATTGAATATTGACTATGGTGAACAGGTTATGAGTACGTTCGTAATATTATCAAATAACAGTTGTAAACAGTAGATGCTCTGAAAGTACAGTTTACACCTGTTCATTCTGCAACAAGATCGAACTGGCGCTTTCGATATTAAATTATCGAGAGTAATGCAGCGATTCTCAAACTTGTTTTGCCCTGGTTTCATTTATTAAATATATATTAATGAATGTTAATAAAAATGAGGATACTCATAGTGGTTCCCCATAGTTCCACAATATTATTCGTTTACAGTGTCCAGCCTCTCAGTGACTCCCTCTAGTTCTCCAAGTTCGTTCACGACATCCACCTTCCTGATGACTTCCTGTTCTTCATCTATGCAATCTGATCTTTCTACCTGTGGTTCTCTTACGGGTTAATCCGCGACATTCAACCTTCTGAAGGATCTTTATAGTTCTACTATAGTTTCGATCAAGACATACAACATCTTATTGACCTTTTATACTGTTTCTATGCATTCATCTAGGATATTCTTCCTCCTAATGACTCCCAATAGTTCTACTACAGGTCATAGTCCACGACATCCAACCTTCTAAAGGATCTTTGTACTTCTACCATAGCTTCCATCAAGACATGCAACGTTCTATTAACTTTTTATATTGTTTCTACATTTTCGTCTACAATATTCATTTTTTTAAAACATGTTTCTAATGTCTCTATAATTATCCTCCACGTTTGTCCCAAGATATTCCATCCCATATTCTGGTCCCAACGTTATTCAAGTGCACGGAGTCTCATTTATGAATGATCATTCAGTGCTCCAAAATGGCTACAATCTCCATCGAGACTCGTAAACGCCGAGTACACCGAAAGCCTTTTAACGCCAAATATTTCCCCGTGTTATCAAAATCGGTGATTTCGGTTTCGCGACGCTTCCCCTCGACGAGTGACAGGGACGATTAAATTTATATAGCGCCGTAAACTCGAGCGCGGTCGTCTGACGTCACTGGCGTCGCCCAACGGAAATCGAAAGTTAGATCGTTTTCGTGAATGGACCCGTTGGCGAAGTGTAGCCCAGGAACAGGGCCGTGTCGTCCTCCAGGCCCGTTTCCGGCAGAACGGAAGCCTACGCTGGGAAATTTCTACTTCTCGAAATTCCGGACCACGCGCCAGGTGGCCTGCGGGTCGTTGCAACACACGACCGTATCAAACGGTCGTCGATCGAGTTCGTTCGTCTATTAATATCGCGGTTTCTGGCACAGAAGACGATCCCCGTCGCGAGAGGAGCCGTTACATTCCACGATCATTACCGATCGACCGACGGAAATTTAAAATTCAAATCCACGGCCACCGGTTGTATTGGCCGATTTTTTCGACGCCCAACGTCGACCGCGTCGATGATTCTTGCCGGGGCGTGGGCATTTCGAGCGTTAGACTGTACAGAGGACACTTTCAGAACACTAACGGGCAAAATTTGTGTCAAAACGGATATAAAAATCAGCCACGATCGGAATCGATAAGCAGATGAGTCACTCGAACGTGAAATTCGTCGACCAACCTTGACCGGAGTCGGACCAAATTTATACGATTTTTTATACTCGTAAAATATTACAGTTATGACAAAAAAGAGAACCTTCGATTAATAATGCGACCACCAAAGATTTAATATATTAAATTTTTCTTGTCTCTGACCTTGACCCAGAATCGACTGGATATCGCTAAGATTTTCTCCGTCGATAGCGTCGCGAGACGGGCGCCATTTTCCCTGTCGCTGGCGGAAAATGTCCGCGTCACGAAGAGTAAAACGCTATACTTTATTGACCGACTTCGCGCGCGTACTTTCTCGGCGAACTTTTGGTCCGCGAACGATCGTCGAAGCAGCGACGAAATCACAGGGAATTTGCAAAGAAATCTCGCGTGCACGAGCCATGGTTCTGGGTTAAGGCACGCTGCTATTAGCCGACGACGAGTGTCACCGGACGTTTCTCTGGTCCCGAGTGAAACGCGGTATATTAAGCGTGTTGAGTAGAAAAAAAAAAATGTTAATATCGTCCATAATCGTTGGGGAGGTTCGTCGAAGAAATTCTAGTCCTTTGTTTTTCGCTTCAGATTTTTCAACGTCCACTAAGAAATACTAAGCTAAACTTAAATTTGTCCCTATCCTAGGAGTCTTACTTCCCCTCTTATCGCGCGATAATGGCGAACAGTGCTCACAGTCGACATTTGCATAAAAGGTAAAAGTTTGTAGGCCAAACGAGTCATTCATGAACCGCTGGATAACATATTTTCCTTAATTTCACATTTCGCTTCGCGACGCGTTCACGAATAGAGGTCGTTTCTATCGGTTCGCTCAGGATGCTCCTAATATGTACGTTCTATCGCGTGACGGTTGTCCGACAACCAGGAATTAACGCTAAAACTGAAAGTGGCCGCATCTCGGAACGCGAGAAACTTGCGCGGTCTACTGACACCGTTTCCTCGCGTTCAAACTCGAAAACCTGTTGGCAATTTTGTAAAATCTCTTCCCGTGGCTTCGATCGCGCTGTTGTGGGCCCGGTAATCGCAGGAACGAGTCCAGAAAATCCTACAGAGCGATCCTCCTCCAGCTGCAATTCACCCTAAGGGTGGTTCCAACAAATATTAATAGAGTTTTTGAAAAAGTTTTAGTTACTTCAATATGACAGAATTTATTACATATTGGATTCTAATAACCTCATTCGAGTTTTTCGATTCTCACACTCGATTCTGCTTCTCTATGCGTAAATCTGGATCTTCCAATTTCTACTTTCCAAGAACGAGCAACAAACCAGTTCTACTTCTTATCTTGCCTTGTATTTCATTTCCTTCTCGATCTTCGTTAACGTTGCACTTTGTATAGGCAATTAGGCTACTGAATTTCCATCCTGCGTCGTTAAATTTCTTGAGTTCTGCATTTCAAATCAATATTTAAACAGCAAAAGAAATCAAATTTTACTTCTATTCTTTGTCAGCAATTATCTTGCTTAATTTGTTCAAATATCGTGTTAATTTAGATCTTCCAGTTTCTTTCTGTTTTAGGAATAGACGATAGACCAGAGAAGTTTCTCTGCCTGCCTTGCGAATAAATTTCCATTTTGTTTTTCGTTAACCTACTTCGAGGATTCTCTGGTCCTACGTTATCGCATAAATCCCGATCTTTTTCAGCCGCTTCAGCATTCTAGTCTCACTCCGTCGACGATCCAACGCGATCGAAATCGATCTAGATAAGAACAGCTTGGCTCCGGTGAAAGTTTACATAATCCGTAAGAGCAGCGTGAAACGCGCCTAATTTCGCGATCCCCTTATCGCCTGTGGCTTTGTCATCCTCGCTAGAGTTTCTCGTTCTCGAAGACAGTGATTCTCAAAGGAAGCTCAGCAAAGCTTCTTCGAACAATAGCCAGTAAAACGAATGCAAAGTAATTTATTCGTGATGTTCGTTCGATCGACATATTCAAATTTTTATTAGAATCGCCTTAGTCTCCGGGCCTTACACTAACAGATCTTTACGATCAATTTAAAACGCTTCGACCGAGAGTTCGAGTCATTTTTAGTATTACTAATTAAAATGATTATACAAACGAACCATCTAAAGTTTATTTAAAAGAAAATAAGGAGATGTAACGACAGAACCACCAATTCCAACCAGTCCCAATTCCTCCAGTTGCCAGAAAAGATTCTTTACCCACCCTCGGTTGAAGGAACCCGATCATTAAGCAAGATATTACTGCAATACCTTCCTGACAACTTAAACAAATTTCATGAATCATTATATTCTACAATCTAGAACTATAAAATCGTAAAAACTTGGGATACAAAATTTGACACATAGAATTTCCTTTCAAGATTCCAAATTATTAAAATAATTATATTTATTTTCAAGGGACAGATCGAATAGATTCTGGTTTATGAATGGCAAGTAAACGTTGCTTTACACGAGCAAAAGTTTGTTCGTAGTCGAAAAGCAACGATTTTGTTGATCGAGGCTGGGCGTGTCCGATGGCGTCGGCGTTCCTCGTCGTCGCTCGGCGGTAAAGGAGAAACGTCGGTTTTACTTTTTAAGAGCTCTCGGCGGTCTGCTCTCCCGACGGGAGTGAAGGATCGACGAAAGGATTCCGCCACGGCGGCCGAGAAAGGATGAATGAGCACTGACGTAAGATCGCGCGCGAATTTCCTTTTCATCGGGTGCCTTCCCGCTCCCCGTCGACTCCGGGTCGGTCGAATTAAACGCGATGGAGGGAGCTTCCGTCTTATTAGCGTTGATCGCGCTGCTTTCATTGTCCGTGGCCGCAGACATTTTCCACGCCACGGCGATTATATCAACTCGGTTAACCGAGCCGGGTTACGCGAGACTCCATTGTCTCCTCTTCTCGGATCAAATCGAGGACGTCTTCCTCCCGGCCTGGGCTAAATTTTTTTTCAAAACCCCGTTACAGCCATTTGCTCGATCGAGCATTCCAATTTTTATCTGTGAAATATTTCATTTCATCGTTTAAACGTCTATCGTGCAAAGTAATGTAAAATTGCTAGTCTCTTATTCGTTCGATACTAGAAGTTGTGTATCTCTTTTTAATGGAACTCCATCAGGACCATTTTACCCTTCGTCGGAGACAAAAAGAGTACAGGATTGGTGTCGCAAAATGTCTCTCCAATCGCGTGACGCAGCTTGCAGTAATAAACGAGTGCACTCTACCTCGGAAATCGCAAGAAAGAGTAAGAGGCGTTTATGCAATCATATCGTAACGTATCAACGTACCGTAAAATAACCTCGTGTGACCTTGACATTGCCGCGTATTAGCGATTCTCCACGAGACATACACTTTCTTTGCATCAAGGAGTGTTTGCTTTCTCCTCTAAAAAAATTCAATTTTTCAAATTTAAAATATGCGGTTTCCAGTAGACTCAAGTTTCCCTTCTCAGCTTAAAACTTTTACCAAATGAAATAAGCACCAAATAATAAGCATATACAATAATAAAATGTTTCCTCCTGTTGTATGCATGAAATCCTATTCCACCCTTAAAAATTCTCTGCCTCGGAACAGTAAAACGTCGAAGAGTAAATTTTCTAGCCCACTGACCTACAATGGAACGATAAAACGGTGTATTCGTAGCGTAAATTGCTGTCTAGAGGAGGGTTCAGCAGTTTCCAAAATCAGGATAGTCTCTCCCACGTGGTATCGAGAATTTCTTTCGACGAAGGGTGATCGACGGACTCTCGAAGATGATTTTCCCGGAGCACGATGGTGTCTCATTGCCGACCAGAGTCACGGTAGCCCGGTAGTAACGTCGCGACGACGGTGGAATTTCGATGGCGGGCACAGAAATTCCTCCCGGTGGCACCTACGCTCGATATTTCGCAACCGAAATTCCGCCCGGCCGCTTTGTAACCGCTCCGAGCGAAACGAAAACGACAAGGAACGTTATCGTTCGGGGCCCCGTGAGAGTCGCGCGGGGTCAGAGTAGAAAGTGGTGTCCGCGTGTGCGGCCCGATGAAGGTCGGATCCGGGATGTTTGAACCTGATCTATACCAGTTTTCTTTCATTCATGGCTATCCTGTTCGCCGCGCAGGAGAGAGTACGCCGATTTCTGCTATCTTTTCTGCGTGGAAATTGCGAACGGAACCGAGACGGCTCGTGAAACTATTGTGTACACCCAGTGGTTCTTAACCTTTTTAATAAAGCAACGTTGTTTCAGAACTTTCTCGCTATTACCTTGGTGCGCATCAAAATTCTCTTGTTCCTTTTAACTTTCGATCGAACGGTTTCTAAAAGAAAAAGCACGGATTTTTTCATTCAATATCGCTCTATTACGAAGCTTTCGTTATTAGAAATTTAAGAATTCTAAATTGTTTTTGGTTAGACTTAGAGCTGAATATAAAGTTTTCTATGCCATAAACTTCGGTGCTTTGTATGTAGGAATAATTTATTATTTTACCTGACCAATGACTACTGAAATATAAAATAAAATAGAGGTAAATATACATGGGTATCCTTCCAGAGGCGATTTCGAATTGTTCCGCCTGGATCTTATCCGTTGCGTTTAGTGCTACTAAGCTGTACACGTTTTACCGCTCTCCCCGTAGGCGTCATTAATTGGAGGATACTCGATAATTGGTAGACGAGACTTTGTAATGTTCGTAGGAGCTCGAGAAAACGAGATGCATTAACAACTAAGCGTTCACTTTTTCCGAGGCCGGTGGTTAAAATTACTTGAACATACAATACACGGTATTTAATTAAAGTTGCACAATGTGGAAATATAATAGATACATCGAAACCTCGACTATCTCGACGAATATGATTATAAATGTATACATGATAAATAGTAGCACACGAGAAAGGAAAAAGAGAAAAGGAAAATCCTTTTTTAATTAAAAACAGAAACCAAAGAGAGAAGCAAGTATAATATTTTTCAAAAAGACCATTCACCAACCAGAACGAACTAAATTATAAAGAGTAGCCTCTCAAGAGGTGAGTATTCCGCGATCTTTGATAAATTAAACAGCCTCTAGAGCGTCCGTTGACTGCATCTAGGCCGCCATTGAGTCGTCTTGAGATTCTAGGTCGTACTTGCGTCACCTTCTGGAAGTTCATAGATCCTAGCCATGTTAGGCCTTCGAGAGTACTTTGATTCTTGTAGAACGTTGCATAATGAATTTAAAATCATCTTAAAATTATTTTTAAACCGTCCCCGATCTCAGAATTTTCAATGGATCCTTCGTAGAATCACCCTAAACACCAGCTGCCCCGCAAAAACTAGAAATTAGCCAGATTTGGTTAGGATTTGGTTAATTTTCGGTGAGGTTTTTAACAGTCGGACGTTTTACGTCCGTGGAAACTTCCTAGAGATAAAAGGGAACGACGGAAGAGAAGATTTCTCGCCCGAGGCGAGCCGTCGTAGGCAGGTCGCAGGTCGAGGGGCCCGATGGGCGGCGTGCTGGGGGCCCCAACGCCTATCCGGGCCCGTCGGGCGAATACTTTCGTCGGTCGGGCAGGCCCAACCGGCCGGACGTGCCGCGACGACCGCGACGAGCATCGGTGACGACACTCATGCAAGGCAAATAAGAAGAAAAAGAAGCAAAGAGGTGGGGCGGCGACGCTACCGGCGGTAGAGGAGGGGCCCGCCAAATATAAGCTAAAGAGATTGTACGATGGACCACACGAAATTTCACTACGGACGGGACTGGTTTCGGAAAAAGGGCGGCCCATCAACTTCCCAAAATAAAGTTTTCGCTCTGCCGCGGACACGGAGTATCGAGTTCTAGTTCGAGCCACACTATCTGGTGATAATCGTCATGAAGTTATTCGCGTTTGTGCTGATGACGACCGCGGCCCTGGCGGCCGGTCAGACCATCGACAACTGTCTGGAGAAGGACAGCATCTCCTGCGTGCAGAAGAGCCTGTACAGGCGTGCCAAGGAGTTCTTCGACATGGACAGCTTCGAGATCTTCAGTGGTGTTAGCCTGGTGAAGAGCGCGGACGCTCCGGGAAGAACGTCCAGGACTGGCAAGGACCTGGTCTACGACCAGGAGATCGACGCGGCCAACAGTGTCTCCGACAGGCAGGACGCTCTTGTGAATTTCGTGACCGAGGAGGCTGGAGAGTTCCTTGCTGGACGCAGTCTCAGGGTAAATAGACCTCCGCGAACTTCGAAAGAGACGGTTCTTACAGTCCCGGTGTCGTTCTCGTAAATTCTACGACGTCGATCTGATGCAACTGTTTCTCTACAGATAAACTTCACCCCCATCATCGAGAAGATCGGGACCACCGCGCGCGCCCTCAGTGACTCTGCTCCCGAGGAGGTCAGGGAGGCTGTCGATCTGGTCGTCGAAGGTAAATCTCGAATCAGGTTGACAACTTCGAGCAACCTTTAGAAGTGCATTGTTCAGATAATAACATTGGAAATATCCAACCCTTGGTTACTCTAGCGACTTTGGCACGAGGGCTGCATTGGGGAGAGGAGCATTTTACTTGGATAAAATTATATTCGTAGATTAGAGGTGTTGAATTTCGTTTATGAGAATAATTACAATTTCAGAACGTCATGACGAATAACCGAGGTCCCAAACTTTGCCATTCTTAACACGATCCACTTTAATTGAGATAATTTTAAAAAGGCACTCTGGTACTAAACACGTAAAAGTACATTTTCCTTTCCCAAATGTAAGCTTGCACCGAACTCCAAAGTTCAAACACGAAACGATAGAGACAGTTGCGGATAATTCTAACCTGGTCTGCACAGTGCTTTACGATCCAAAGAGTCGCTTTCACCGTAGTGAAAATTGCTAAATATTTGGTAAAAGTGTTACGACGGCCAAATACCAGATCCTCTAACAGCTTCGTGAATCCACAAAGAAGTTTACTGATCTTAAACACGGTGCGTTTACTCAATGTTTCCAGGTCGAGGCAAGAAGAAGCAGCTGAAGCAGCTGCTGCCCCTCCTGCTGGCCGCGAAAGCGAAAATCGGGGCCCTGGCCACCCTGGCATACTTCGTCACCGGCTTCATCGCTAAGAAGGCTATCTTCGTTTCTCTGATCTCGATCGCCATCTCCGCGTTCATCGGTCTGAAGTCACTCTGGGCCAAGGGAGGTCACCACGAAGCCACCCCCTACCACGGTTGGAGCAGCGGTCCGGCTTCCGGGGGATGGTCCGGGGGAGCCCCTGTCTCGACCGGTGGATGGTCTTCCGGTGGCTCGTCCTGGGACGATGGTCACGGATACGCGCAGAGCCAAGCTTACAACGGCTATCATCACTAATTTTCTAATTAATTCCCGTGAATTTCCTTTCCTTTCCATTCCCCACCCTTCATCCCTTCCTTCTCACTTCTCTCGTCGAGCAGACCGAGCTCCCGCGCCCCTACTCTGAGGGTATATTTATTGTTTATTTATCAGCCCTTTAATAGTAAGCGGGCGAAACCCGATGTAAATAATACGTATCGTGATCGCCGATGTAACGCGTGCACGAATAGAATGGACAATCAAACGACGTCAGAATCAAAACACATAAGAGGCTAGTCGCAACGATATCGGACTCGTTCGTTCGAGCGTGACAATAGTTGTCGCGGCCTACGGCGCCACGCACCATGGTATAACGCCAATACCCCCATTCCCTCATCGCAGCTGAAGACCATCTAGTCCAGAACAACTCAAACGAACTCCGAAATACTCACTGAATCTCTGTAACACCGAGTTCTCCATCAGTTAAATACACTTTTTATAAAGATGTTTACTCCGCTTCATTCACCATTTCCCTCTGCTCGAAGAGAAGATCTCTTCTTCTTTTCATCGTCTGCGTTTGTTATAAATTGACCTTAAGATTAAGTATTAACTACATCGTTGGGTATTTTAATCGACATGGTAAAAGACATAGAGAACGTGACACTCGTGGAATCGATAAATATATGTTTATTCGTATAGATTCGCGTGGTTTATTGCAATTGTTGAATAGTATAGACGACGGGGAACGTCGATAGAACGCGACACGGTGTCTCCACGCGTTGAAATCACCGAGAGCTCGCTTGCCCACGCGTTGAAATCATCGAGATCTCGCTTACCCACGCGTCGAAGTCACCAGCTTCAGAATACCACCAGAATACCGTCCGTATTCGCGATTTAATTGCTACGAATCCGTGCGCGCTATCGATCTGAAATTTTTACAGCGTAATCCAGAAGCCTCCACCTTGCCACCGTAAAAATTTCAACTCTCTATCTCAAAAACTTCCAGGGTAAATAGTATATTAATATCATAGAAATCTGAAAACAGAGGCTGGAGCAAACAGTTCGTCAGCGTTCTAAATTTATCAAGCTAGTTTTACTGTTTGAAATGTTGTCAGAAGTATTTAGCAATCTACAGGGTGGCAATTAAGTGATCGTTGGTGGATGTTGGGCGCGGAACGCGTTGGGATCGCCGTGGAAAGACGAGCGGCCGAAAATCCTCCCGGATCCGCGTCGAAAAGAGAAATCACGCGCCGCCGTCGACTTTCCAACCTTCCAGGAACCTCCGAAACGGTTTCTTTTTTCGCTGTTTCACCGGCGAAATTTCAAGTGCGCGGCCTCGAAACCGGCCCCAGGAGAGGATCTCTCGGCGGCGCGGAGCCAACGTCGAGATGGAAATGCGAACTGCTGCTCGGGCGAGGGGAAAGTGCACCGGCAAGGTGCACATCCGGTCGAACCGGGCTGACGCGCGCGCGCGCGCGAGCACCTTGTGTCCCGCGCGCCTGGAGGTCGAGGCTCGCGTTCGTCATTCTTAATCGGGTCGAGAGGACGGACATTCTACTAAATCTTCCGTCGTCCGATGTCTTTTAAGTCCCAGATAGGAGGAAAATGAGCGTCTGGAAAGGAGGTTGACGTAAAATTGCCGTTTCTTCCATCGTGAGAGGGGTGGGAGGTCCCGGGGGGCCGCTACTAAAAATGATTTTTGCGCGGAGCTTTCTGGGCCAGCGTCGATGCTGATTAGCCGCTGCATCGAATCGATGGCGTATGTTGCTCGTGACGCCTCCAGGGTATCGATGCGTCATCCTGTTACGACGATTGAGCCGTTGATACCGTTTAACCCATTTGCACCTCACGTTTAATCAGGGTACACGTGCCGGACGTTGATGGAAGTTAAAACGTCTCGATCTGTTATCTGTTAAAAATCTTGGTTATAAATCGTCTGGTTATAAAATCAGGGTTAGAATAAGGTAGCGTTTATGATATAAATCGAGATTTATGGAAGCAGGTAGCTCGAAATCAAGGCCAAGGACCAGAGGTGCCAGACGGAGCCACGGGTGCACCGGGGGACACCTCATTCCGTCTGGCATCTCTGCCAGGGACCTATATTCGCGCGAACATTTTTATTGTTACGCGCGCGGAACACAGTAGGTGACGTCAATGATTTCTTCTGGAAAGTCGAAAGCGATTGACGGGTTACAGCGAACCACAATTGCAATTTGCATGAATGTTTATTAACGATGGAAGATCGTATCGGTCGATAGAACGAAGGTGAAACGACTCGAGAGAGCAAGATCGCTAGTGTCACGGCTCGTTACGTCCGCTTGTACCGCGACAGGATCGCGAGGGATCCCCGGGAAAAAAGATGGGGAATTATTTTGAAAGGAAGAGGAGACTTTCGTTAGTGGTGAAGTCACGCGGGGAGAGACACGGTGCATTAATCGCGACTCGGCGTTCAGGCAACCTGTCGTCGTGCCTTTTATTTCCAGAACCGAGTCTCTCCCAGGAAATCGCCGCAGCAAACGCTCCTAGTCCTTCGACAAGTTCTGTTTCTTCCAACATTATTTTTCGACAAAATTTTAATCCTTGGAAATCGTGAACTACATACGTTTCTTCTTTTCTCGCGATTTATTTTTTATTTTACATCATAGCGTTTTCCCTCCGCAGTGGTCCCGTTTTTGCGGTTAGTTATACATTCTGCCCGTTTTAAAGTCCGATAATTTCGATCGTTGAGGGAACACGGGCAGAAAAATCGGAACGAGCTCACGGCGTCCATGAAAACTGTTCGGGCAGAACGCGATGTAAACAGAAAGAAGGAGAGCGAAAAAGCAACGGCCATTGTAAATTGGCGCTGCGCCCCGTGGTCGTCACGGATCTGCAAACGGATGAATAGTGGCTTTCTTTGGATTCACAAAAGCGGAATTTCACCGTGCTCGTAACGCGCGCCTCTATCTCGTTATTAGAGAGTCGTAAACTAAAGTCCCGGGGGCCGAACGAGCGCGGCTCGTATCTAAATCTCGGTACGGTTCTCACGTCACGATTAGTCCCGGCAGTTTCTCATGCGTCACTGGGTTACTGGATTCAACGGGCCGCCGTTGGATTTCCTAGTGCCTTATTAGCCGCATACCGGTCGCTCGATAGTTGTTAATGTCGACGGTGGACATCGTCGGTGCCTTCCGTGCGCGGCCGCCATGATTTCAATCACGATACACCGTGTTTTGGCTCCCGCGGAGCCTATTCAGCCCACTATATACCTATTACATGATCCCCATTGTAAACGCTATAATTTGTTAACCCCATCTCGAGCAGTAACGAGTTCGACACGTATTTCGTATTTTTGAAATATTCGTAAATTCGATTCCGTGCTTATTTACGAGTACAGATGTATTAGAAAGGAACATTTAGGATGCAATTTAGAGTATTCCATTTTGCAGAATCGTATTCAGAGTGAAATGCAAGGAAAAAAAAAGTGAAAAGGTGTCCTCGTTAGCTGTTCCATGCGCGAAGCGAATATCTGGCTGCTCGACATTGGAATGAGACATCTCGATAACGCTATCTTAACTATAAAACGTTTAGACGCGGACTGATTTACTAAGATATACGCTGTATGAACTACGAAACGTTTAGAGGGAGACTGATTTACTACGATACACGCTGTCTTAACTATGAAACTTAGAGTGATTTACTGCCATATACGCTGTCTTCGATGCCAGGATGGCTCTGCCGCGTTATTTACTTCTGACGGCAAAATGTGTCGACGGTGCTCGTAATTTCACGCGTGACAGACATTCGTGAAAATTTTCATCGAAAGGTGCATACATCCCGAGAAAAGAAAAGTTTTTGGATTTATATTCGTATGACTTTCTTCGTCTTTAGTGGGACATCTTGTTTCGAAGTGAAAATAGTTACGAACGAACGTAGGCGTTTTGTAAATATAATATCGCGTGGCAAAAAGTGTTCCGTGACTGAAAAGGTTTGGGAAACTTGTGCCGTAGAATCTGGTAAAAGCGCGACACGGATTCTTTCGTCGATGTATCTGCAGCGGAAGGATCTCCTTCCGGTCGATCGTCGAAAGTTCGACAATTTTTTAAATAAAAGTTCAATTTTCCGAGATCTTTACATAAAATCTGTGCAATATTTCGGAGTGAATCGATTATGCAAAGATAGTGAAAAGAAATCAATTTATTTTCGCATAAATATTTGTCCTGTTTGACCCTGTTTTCGCGTTGTTCCAGTTGTTTCCGTATCTTCGCAGAGAGAGCTACTAGGAATATTCAATGCACGCTGTTGCTTCGAAAGAATGGGTTAAAATGATTCATGGAACATTTTAAAGATGTATACAAGTCAGTAAGCTCGTACATTAGATCTTGTTCGCCGAGTGTAAATACCTGAATGGAATTAGTTATGGTATGCCAGGAGCAGTAAAAACGTTCGCAAGTCGGAAATAAACACTTTTTCTTACTCCGAAAATATTCCTACATTTTATAAACGATTAAAAGATTATTTTATTCGAACGAATTAACTTTCATTTTGATTGAAATTTATTTTCAAATGCTTCGTTTCAGTAATGTCTAAAACTGCTGGATTTTATTATAGTAAATTCTGTGTAGACGACAGTTTTATTATAATATTATACATTGGTTTGATAGTCGGTTGAAGAATTTCGAATGAAAGTTTTCGTTTCTTCGGAAAATAAATCTTCATGGACGTCTCCGCGTTAGTATGCGGCTCTCACGAGGTGTAATTGTTCCTGATCACTCATGCCAGTGTCTCAAGTGCATGGCTACACCTTGAACTTCACCGACTGTTTCGAAACAACAATCACCAGCCGACCGTTACTCTTTCTCACAGTTATGGAGGTAGCGTTACAGACAGGCCTGGGACTGTTCGAATGCTACGAGCAAACTTCAAACATTTTTACATAAATAAACTCTTTTACTTTTATTAAAAATAATCAATAGGCAAGCCTCGTGTCCTCCACTGCGGAAAATCATCGTCGTTGATGAGGAATATTTTTATAATTGAATTTGGGTGTTAGAAAATTGGTAAAATATCGAAAGTTTAATCGCAAAATACGACTCCTTTATCATTTTTAATTCCTCTGAATCGCTGTTGCGGTGTCCAAAGGGCCTTTCGAGCGGTCTCGATCGTTCCTGCGATGTGCTAGAAGCGAGAAATTGGCGGTAAAACATAGAAAATAGTTTATTTGATCAACTACAGGCAAGTTGACCCCATTCGCATAAGGTAAGTGTACCAGTGGTTGACCATTTAAGAGAACATTGTCACAAAAACTTATACATCCTCTTTAGTTCCTAGGGAATGATCGCACGATGATTTCTTTATCATGATACGAGGCTTAAACCTTCGAACGAAGTATAATTATTACTAATATTCGATTCATCAGGGCGTTGAGATATTCTAGAAAAATTTCTAGCAGTCGCCAAACCTAATTTCAAACGACGCGTCTTGCGACGGAAACCGGGGCCTCTAATCGCAATCTCGATGCCTAATGGACGGGTACAGAGAAGCACACTACCCTGTAACACGTTCAACGGCGTCGATCTCTCTCGCGATGGCACACGTGCGTCCAGCGTACTTTCGATGAGCATTTCGACTTTCGGCGACTTTCTTGATCGGCCGAAAGTGTGCTGCCGCGTCTGCTTCTCTCGCACGAGCTGTTAACCTTTGATTCCAGCGTTCTCTAACTATAACGTCCCCGATAGCTGCGACGAGAAACTGGTCTCCAACGACCCCTAAACCAGAGATCAACACGACACAATACGTATCGATACCGATCACAGTGATTTATTATCAAGGTATCGTAGATTTACAGATTGAAGACACCATCTTCTGGAAGGGCAACAGCCTAAAATAAAATAGAAACAGAATTTCTGGAGGAACATCAGTCACAACTGTGTGGATTATTAACGAAATAATGAGTCTCTGATAAAAGCTGATAGGAAGCTAGGTATCAGTGTAATTGGAATTGTATGCAAGTATTCGAATAGTCCCAGGCCCGCAGGAGACATCGACGAAGCGTCAGGTGGATGATTTCGCCTGGAGCGACGTTCGCTCTCGTGGACCGGGCGATCTTGATCCCCGAAACGAGGCGGAACGGAGAACGTCTCTCGAAAGCCTGGCGCGAAAGAGACGCGAGATGAAAAAAGCGAATGTATCGAGGCGAGATGGAGTCAGGTGGAAAAGAGAGACAGGCCAGCCGAAATTGAACGCCCGACGCTCGACCCAGTTGTAAATGGGTGAGTGACCCCGTTCCCGAGATAATATCTCGCGTCCATCATCTCCTGATGAAGTTTTCGACGGCGGATCGACGTCGTCTGCGACAATTAACGATCGACCGTGGTTTCTGTTAACCCTTTTAACTACGACTCGATACACTGGCTCAAAATCCTCAGAGGTGGACTCGTATAGACTTATCTGTGGTGGACAGTAAACGAAAATATTCCAAAATACCACAGTTCTTAATCTATGAAAGATTCCCCACAGCATTGCAATGATTCCTATTTTACTTAAAATCGTAAATTGAGGGACATTACTGTTTCACGTTGGTACGAATGACTCAGTTTTCAAACAAGTCGAGGGTGAGATACGAGTTTCGACTTGTTTTCAGAAGGTTTTGAACAATTTTAATGCTCCCAGCCTGGCGATTTTTAAGTTCCCAGAAAAAGAAGTTTGTCTATATCAATTCTCGGGATGAAGTGCTTAAAATTTCCAGATTTATAGGCTAATAAACCACAAATTCTATAACGAAACAAATAACTTAATAGTATAGTTAGTTTTGAAGGAGAAAAATCGTAAATGCGATTAATGTAAACCTCTGTTCGGGTGATTTCAATGCCTGGTGAGAAGCATCGTCGAGATCTGGGCGTTAAATTGCTATGGAAAACGTTGAATTTTTATATAGGAATAGGTTAGTTCGTGATATAAACCAATAAAATCAACGTATATTAATTTATTACTGACGTTTATTCGATCAAAAATGCGTAACCTCTGGCTCCGGACACGTTGGAAAATTTATAGACAGATTAAGAGAAATTGGTGATAGTTTCGGCTTGGCTCGTAGTGGAATGTCCAAAGTGGCCTAAAACAGCGTCGAATGTCCTCCTCGAGGAAAGAATTTAACGATACTGTATCGCAGTTAACTGTAAGCAACATTGGACCGGTCTAGGTAGCTCGAAGACGATTCTGGAACAGCGTCGACCTGCTCGAGACAACTTTTCAGCCACGTTTGGACGACTCTACGCAGATCGTTCGCATTCTTTCGACCACTAAATTTCAGCAATTCCCTATTCTCGATTACAGTAAACTTCTTCGGTGAAATATTCAATCAATACGTATGGAATACAATTGGTTAAACAGTCCAGTTGCTACAATTTGTTCAATATTTAGCACCCCTTACGTAACTATTGTTTCAACATTGAGTAACCAACGAGTACAATTTGTCCAATACTCGGTAAACCCACGTTATGATTTGTTAAACACTTATTGGCCTTTACAATTGGTTCAACGTTCAATAAATCTCGTGGACGTTCTTCGATTTTTCTGCTCTTGGAGAAAACGAGCAATGGACGACGGAGAAAAGTCTTTCCTGGTCACGATCCACGTGTTCCGTTGTCAACAGTACGAATTTACTGCTGAATGCACGTCGGTTGAATGCAAAAGGGTTATCGGAGTGTGCATCGCAATTGCGACCAGCATTTGGTAATACAATTACAGTACATTCCTGGAGTAATCTATTCCACGCTATGCCAGAGACGCTACGCATCGAATGACATTGAAATAATAAATTATACAGGTGCATTTTAAACGTCTCTTTACTTATTCAAGTAAATAAGCTCCGAATTTATTTTTTAACACAAGTAGAAGTTTCGTCAATAGCAGTCGGCGTGTCAAATTACTTTCAACCACGTAAGTGGCCAGATTTTACTTGCAGTTGGATTAAAAAGCGTAACGTTTTCTTATTTCACCTTTTAAATATTTAATGCCAGTTACAAAAATATATTAAAACATTTCTGCTCTAAAATTTACAACGTATGAATTCTCCAGTTTTCATTACAAGCCTCAAACGGGGTCGCTCTTAAATTCTGTAAAAGTAATAGATTTAAAATTCAAATTGAAGTGTAACAATGAATAAATATTAAAGATAAAGATAAACCTGTGCCGTGGGAACCGCCACGTGAAATGTTAAGAGATTTATTGTAACTATGCAAGCAGTTATATGAACGTAGAATCACAACGTAACGTCGATTTAGCATAAGTATCTAGTTTCTATTATTTCTTGTAGTAGCATTATGCATAGAGCAGAATTTAGAAGATTTAGGATTTCTAGAAATAGCAAGAATAAGGGAAACTAAATGTATACCTCTATCCATTTGTTTTATTTTCTATTTTTTTAGTCCATGCAAAATTTGTTTGTTAAGTACAAAATTAATGAAATGAAGACACGTAGATATGGAATTATGGAATTAATTAAAATCTTCTATTCGTTGTTAAATAACAATTGCTCTACTCTGTAGATAATCAAACCAAAGTAAATAGAAAAAGTAAAAGGACTTACTTCCTCAGTGCACAATTGATTTGGTTAAAACTGTTTTAAATTTAATCAAATCAAATACGAATCAGAAAAAAATACCCCCTCCTGCAAAAAAAACCCATTTATAATTCTTTACACGCGTCGAAAAAAACGGGTTACGTTTCTCGCCATATAAGGAGTTTATTTTACCCGCGAAACACGGATACGGGCCGGTACCCCTCGGGGCCCAATTTGCCCGAGTCTCGATCGACGGTGCACACGGGTCGCTTCCCGGCGTCGATTTAGCCTAATTTTTCGACGCATTAGTACGGGGCAACGTTATAGACGTTACCGGCGTAATAGGCAGGCGGAGAATCGCGACGAGACACGTGAAGTCGTGCGAGAAATCACAAGGGGAGCCGACGGTTTCACCCTACCCCGACTCCCGTGGATTTCCCTCATTGAATCTCATTCGCGGGGCCCGACGTTGGGCAGGGGAGGGGGCGCTCCCTTCTACTACGGGGACCTTAATGGAGCCCGAAGTAGGTCTGCTGCAGGCGGCAAGAAGAAGGAAATGAGGCGCCCGGCGCAGGCAGCCTGGGACGGGAACGAGGAAGAAAATGCAAGTGGGTCCCTCTCGTATTTCCCTGCTGGGTCCCCCCCGTGACCGCTGTCCCCGTCGTCGCTTAGAGCGATTCTTTTTTGCCCTGCCGAAATAACCGCGGAGGAGATGGATGCCCCGAAAGGGAGAGGAGGGCCCAGGCGAGCCCGGGCCCCCGAGGACTCGCTCGAAGAGGGGCCCTGGCGGTATCGAGCGGGGGAGGGGGATCGCGAGAGGAGCATCGGAGACGAGTCGACCAGCCGTAGAGGGGAGGCACGTGAGAGGGAGGAAGAGAGCGCGAGCACCAAGCGAACGCGAACTCTCGGTGGCCCGTGGACTCACGGGGTCTCCCCTCGTGCGATACCTCGGTATAAAAGCAATGGAACCTCTTTTGGATGTAACACACGAGGTTCGATCGACGCATCCTTGCGTCCACGTTCACCGAGCCGCAACAGAGGAAACGTAGCAGAGGGCACGCGAACGCAGATCAGTTGGATACAAAACTATAGTTTTCCTTCTTCCCCGTAAGTTCTACGATCAACCTGACAAGGATCATGGGCATGTACTCGGTGACCGTTCTGTGGCTACTTCCGGTGCTGGCGCTGGCGCTGCCCGCCAACGACAAGCCCGGAAGCGACAACGACCTGATGGCCACCATCTACAGCGACTGCCTGAAGAAGGAGTCCGCCCACTGCATGAAGTACAAGGTATTCTCGTACGTGGACAAGATCCTGGCCGACAAGGAGGATATCACGCTCACGGACGGCATCACCGTCGTCAAGACGTCCAACGCCGAGGAGGGCGCCCCAAGGTCCGTCTTCCTATCGCACTGAAATTTTTTAAAGTTTAAGGCTTTCAAGGTCTGACTCTGTACTCGAGGTCTCGAGGCTTCCGGGATGGTTGTCGCGTTCGTCTTCAGCGATTCGACGACGTTTTGCAAACGTTACAGTCTGCATCTTCGGGGCTGGAGGCTCCAGTTTGCGAAACGTCGGCGAATTGCTGAAGATGGACGCGATAATCATCTCGGAGGCTTCGACCTCGGGTGCAGAAGCTATTAGTTCGAGGATCCAACAGAATTTCCGGTTGGATTTTAATGTTTTCTCGGGTCTCGAGGCGGGGATGTTAATGCTCCGTTGCGTTTCCACAGGTCCATCGAGTCCAGCGACCTGGAGACGCTGTTGTTCGATAGAATGGGCAGGTTCCTGAGGACCCACACGGTTAAGGTCGATCTTAAGGGCACCGACATCCTCGGGGCCATCGAATCCGCTGGTCGTAGCTTCGAAGACTTCACCGACAATGCCGTCGAGAGTCGTGGCAAGAAAAGTGAGTATAAACTGTCCTACAGAAGACGCGAGATTTGTGATCAGTGAAGAATTGGTTAAGATTGTTAGGCCCGAGAAGTTCTCAGATTTTTAAATTCAATTTCTGTAACTGTAAATCCCAAGGTTAGGTTAGGATTCTAGCAAGGTAGGAGGCAGGAGAAATTAGTTTTTAGCTTCTCAATTTGGACTTCTATAGTTGGCAATTGAATCTCAATATTGGATCAAACAAACTCATTTGTAAAATTAGTGGCATTTGACAGTGGTTATTAGTGATGATGATTTGTATACATATAGAGTAAAATAATAGAGTTAATTTACTTTTCATTACGATGTTTCGATTATAAGTTCCTCTTCAGGTGTCATGGATCCTTGCATGATCATTATAGAGACACATGGAATCATTTCTTTGTTAGTAATAAAGCAATGGATTTAGAATAACATAAATTTCTCTCTGTAAGAATTTGAAATACCATGAAAGTTCCAAATAAGGCCCAGGAATGAAAGAATTTTGGGTGCTTTTTACACTGCATTTAATTCTATAATAATTTTCAAGCATTTGTTACACTTAAAGAGGATTGTACCACCTTATGATCGAAACATCGTGCAAAAAAGTTGAATTGAAATTCAAAAAATGTTATCAACTCATTCCCACAATACTCAAAGGTTATATTGTAAATTAAAATTAACAATTCGACCTTACTATATGCATAACATTTTTACACAATCAAAAACTGAAAAATATTTGTTCTGTCCAATTGTATAATAATTAAACTAGCTCAGTGATTTTGCTCAATAGACTCACAGAAGCAAAAGAAATACATTTTGCCACAATAACTTTCTCTCAGGGTGAGCTCCGTTTAGTTTCCTTTTTGGATTCAGAGTATTTGTCGCAGTTGTAGGAAGTATTAATTGAAATCAACAACAATCATTCGTGGTAGTTCAAATGTTTGTTCTTACTTAACTGAATACATTAAATATCTTCAACCTTCAAGGAAGCCATCTTAAAATCAAGTGCAGTGCAAAGAAAATATTAAAAAACACGAGAGAGACTAAAACAACTATACGGATATCAATTTGATTATTTCCACAATAAATGTGCCGCGATTCATAGAGAAATAGTATAAAACTACTTTGACAGATGCTGGTACAGTGACGCAAAAATTGTAATCTAAATCGTGGTTAAAGATAACTTCCTTGAAAGGTGAAAATAAACTAGAATAACACTATCCTCAACCATAAATAATCTATAGACGCCATCTTGTCCTACACGTAAGCGTCGAAAGAGTTTCTTCTCGTTATTCAAAAGATACCACAAAATATTCAATTCCTTCGACTATCATTTCCCCCAAAAATCCTCGAAAGCCAGCTTTGCCGCTTCTTCCTAGAGTTTCGATGAATCGTACCATAGATTCTTCCATAAACCTGATTCTCGAGATACATAATGACTCTACGGTAACGAGCTGCTCGGTATTAGTAGTTAATTAGGAGACCAGGGTGCCAGCGAACCTCTCGGTCCCCGTAATTAACGCAGCGGGGCAGATAACCGCGATTCGTTTTGTCGATGGCGAGTTCCTCTATTAAATGGCGTCGACGACGACGGGGAAGCTGGCATCGAGACGTTGACCCACTGAGGAACTGGTTCCGCTTCCCCTTGAAACACCTCGGGCGAAGAAGAGAGGGTTACACGCGAACACGGAGGGAGAAGGATGGATCTCTCCAGATCTCGCCGCGCGAGATTTTTGACATACTTTCCATCCTGCACGGGGTACATCGCCTTGACCTTCGCCTATTCCACTTCGAAAGATCTTCCTCGCTCCTCCGTGTGCGACGTCCTGAGAAAGGTCGGGTCGCGTTCCTGAGCCGAGCGTGCTTTCGAGAATCTTTCGTGGGAAACGTTCGGACATTGTTCCGCGTGGAAATGACTCTTCGAGAGCGCGATCGCTATCGGTGGGAAACCACGGCCACGGTACGTTGATCCACTGCGCGGTTGAGCGGTAAATTAGTCCGTGAACCCGTAGCTTCTGGACGTAATCCGTCAGCTGGACGCTGAGAGCCTCCATGGCTCTGGAAACTTGGAAATTACAGACATCGCGTTTCAGGGTTAAATCGAATTTTGGGCAGAACTGGTAGAAGCATCTTGGTGGAGAGATCTAGAGCCTGGGAACTGTAGATACTGGTAGAGTTCGGTAGCGAATTATAAATTGAGCTGATAAATGTACAGATGGAACAGAATCTCGTGGTTGAGGATTCTTTATTGGCTGAATCGGCGAGTTAATGTTAGGGACAGTGATACCATAGTCTCCAAATTGGAAATCCTTTGAACTCCAGTATCAGGTGAATTCCATTCCGTACCGTTAGAGGTACAGTTGGGCACGTACCACTAATTTAATATTTCGCGCAACATAGTTCCGAAACCGTGAAACGTAAACTGGTACGAATTCTCCAAATTCAAGAACGATCTTAAAATTCAGTGTCCAATTTACCATTCCTTAGCGGGACTTTCTTCTATTCTAATATTAACAGAAATCCTCTGAATTTCAATGTTGACTAAACTCCACTTGGAAGCAAGACTTCAATTAATCATGCCTAATCGAAATATTGCAAATCATTGGTATATAATTCTTCCCAAACTCCAAACCAAAGTCTTCGTTCAGCATAAGAAAGCAAAAAACACAAATCTAAGTAGATACAGCCACGCAAGTAGTAAAGGAAACAGAGTCTTAAGATTTAGGGTCTCGTTATTTTTTTACACAAAAATTTCCAACATACTTCACGAGTAGTTTATCAAGTAGAATCGTCTCCAAACCACAAGACTAACAATTGAAAATTTACAGAGAAAGCCCAGAAGATCCTCGGTCCGCTGATGATGGCCTTGGCGCTAAAGGCTGCAGCCCTGTTGCCATTGGCCCTCGGTGCGATCGCGGCTATAGCTGGCAAGGCCCTGCTCGTCGGCAAGATAGCCCTGGTGATCTCCGCCATCATAGGTCTGAAGAAGCTGCTCAGCTCGAGCGGGAAGCACGTGACCTACGAGGTGGTGTCGCATCCCCATCACAGCAGCAGCCACGTCGTAAGCCACGACGACCCCCACGGCGGGGGTGGCTACGGAGGCGGCGGCGCTGACTACGGCGGCGGTTATTCCGGCGGAAGTGGCCACGGCTGGGCCAGGAGTCTCCCCCAGGACGCCCACGATCTGGCTTATCGCGCCCATCAACCTCAGCCGCAAGCGTGAAGCCCCCCATCGTAGAAATATCTCATCCTCACTTTCTTCGTTTGCCTCTTCCCTTTCGTTTCCATTCTCTTTTACCCTCCGATCTTCTATCTCCTGCTCTCTGCTATCTATGTATATTTATTGTTCCTAGCCGTTAAGCCCTCTATCGTACCCGTTATCCGTGTCCCGGCCCTCCCCCCCAGGCAACGAACCAGTACCTCTGCGAGATACTCGTTCCATGTATAGCGTCACGCGAGCCTTGTTATTTATTCGTCGCGTCTGAGAAAACACTAGTATTTATTTCATTAAACGAACACCCCCGTGTGCTATTTGTTATTGCCTGCGTTGTTCTTTGTAATAAAGTGATGGCGAACTGGCGCGTTGGCGTCCCGTCCCAAAGAAAAAAATCTAAGCAAAACGAGTGAGTATGCGCCTCCCCCCTCAAAGCGATCGAGGTTCCCCTCGATGCCGGGTGCCATTATTCCCCACCCACCCGGCGCTATTTATTTGAAAACGAGTGAAAGTCGCCGTGTGGATAGCGCCGGTGTATCCATTGATGCTCGTGATAAGACCGAAACGAACGCGAACGGTAGAAAGTATATCGATAACTCGACTTTTTTTTCGAAAAATCGAGAAACACCCGCGAGGTGAGCCTCACCGTCGGAAGTACGCGTCGTCTCCGCATTCACGGCTATGCCCCAGGCCGTTCACGCTTCGACGAACCGCGTCGTAAAGGCACGGGCGTCCCTCCACGATGCCACTACTGACCCAGCTCCGTTCAGCGGTCGCTTAATGGCTCGTAAAAACTCGTTTCTTTCCGCGCTGCACCCTCATTACGCATAGATTACCGGTAACCTGCATACCTGGCTATAACGTGGCCAGCAACGATGTGTTTCATCGGCGACGAACCGACGCGTGACGCGTGCCCATCAACGGGCATCGCGATGCAGAAAATCACCGGCGTCCAGGACTCCCGCGACCGGAAATGGAGGACTCGAGCCGACCCAGCGGGTTTGGAAGGTCGTTGGAATTTGACACGGAACGATCGGGGCAATTATAATTTCAATTTCTCTGCTTCGAAGTCGATGGAAAGTTTCTATCTGGCATTCGCCGATCGAAAATTCTATCTAGATGGGACCAATGGTCCGCATTGGTCGACAAAATTTGGGAGATCGATGATTCCACGGAACACTCAGAGGATCGTGGAAGAGGGAAAAAGAAATCGGGCCCGGAACAGGGCCAACAGCTCTCTCCCCCCCCGAAATTTCTGTCCTGGCTCGGTGGTTTCCGACGCTTCACTGCGTTCGCGGACCCGAGCATTAAATGCCCCCCCACCCCCTCCCCCTATTAGCCAGACCTACGAGTATATCTACGTGCAACGTGTTTTCACTTGGCACGACCTAGTTACCTACACCGACGCGGTATCGGGCAGGACGAAAATGGCAAGGATGCGGCGGACTTCAGGACAGGGCGAGAAAACGTGGCTAACCGGGCCGACTGATAGCGTCTAACGGTACTAATCGCATTAACGAGTCGTCGTCAGTCTATTTTCAGCCGCCTACAATTTGTCCAGAGATCTAATCGTACGCTCGGACCTGATTGCTGAATCTATAATAATTTGTCTCGCGTCGAGCCAACGCAGCAGGATCTTTGGAGCGTTCTATTCGAGCTGAGAACTTCTATTTTCATTCATGGTTGGACATATTGTTAGTTTAGGATTGTATATTTAATTTTGTTGATTTTTCGTATCAGGATCATTTCGTCTAATTACCAAGCTATATTTTTAATGGGTATGCAACCCCAAATCGTAAAGATAGGGTAGTTTTTCCTTCCAAACATGGATTAACCCTACCAAAAAATTAACTTTGCTCCTGGTATACTGAATTTCAATAAAGTCGACGCGTGATACTTAAGCAATATTGTGATATTGTTAGTCCGTCATCCTGACGTCAGGTGTGCCTCGTACGGTTAGCCAAAGGAACATGGTGAGGATCGTTTCGTTCGAGTATGATTAGAAAGCAGCAGATTTCTGTTTCCATTCGTCAGAGACCAGTCCTTAAATCGAATCGACCATTCGAATCTAATTACAAGATATAGTCTGTTTCGTTGAAGTCAGGTTTCCTCCGGACAATCAGCCGAAGCGACAAATCAGGATCATTTCATGCGCCACGGATCTTACTTCGAACCATTTGTTTCAGTGACTCTTACAAGCAATAATAAATATAAAATTTACCTCCAACAAACAACAGTTTAAATATAAACAGATATTTTATGAAAGCACAATTGAACTACAAATTAGGTGTATTTTTTGGGACTATTTTATTTAATACAATAATAATTAAAGCAAATTAAGTAACCTATATTTCTCGGAATATAAGGAACAGCTAAATAAAATTTCAAATCGAGCAGGAATAGCAGGAATCGTGGTGAAATCATAAACGCATAGATTTCGAATTCTGTATTAATAATATAATACTGTTTCGAATAACGTTATTTCGTACGACGGCGCAACGTGGCCGACTTCACAGCGCTGGTATGCCACGGAACAGTGATTAAGACTCATCGGCCTATTCAGACCTGTTGTAGATTGCACGATACCAGTCAATCTTCCTTCAAGCCAAACGTCTCATTATCTCATATTTGCATGATCATTCCTTCTAGGCGTATTTCACACATCTCCATTCAAATCAAAACTCTCATCGGGCACATATCCCAGGTCATACCGCCTGAAACATCGCGTTGGCGCCCAAATATAGGCTACCTTAATACACGGTAGGCTCGTTCCCTTCAAATATGACAGATCCCCTCCTCAAATTGATCTCAATCCCAACATCCTTCCGCCCCAACCACCGGGACACCACAGTGCAAACTGTAATTATCTATATGTAGATCGTTTCATCTAACCATGATTAGCAAGCTCCAAACTGTGAGCAATTACAAGACCCGGTTCCTCTAAGGTCAAATTCCAAACTAAATCGTCCAGCGTGTCTTTTACATACCCCCACCTGGGGTACTCGTGAGACGCGTCCCCTCTCGCGAGATCGTGCACGGTCAACAACATCCTTTCTCCTAAACTACCGATCCCGGGTGCTCCGATCTCAGGACAAAATGGCTGGGAAAAGCGAATCGCCCCGCGGTCGGGATTCGTCCCAGGCTCGCTTTCGATTTCAGGCTTATCGTGATTCGCCGATAACGCGGGTGAAATCGGCAACAAAAGGACTCCGCGTCGCGCATCCGTGGTCGAACTGCGCGCACGTGGCCGTCAGACGGAAAACGCGGAGGCGATCATTCCGTTCTGGTTAAACCGGTCGCCGTCGAACGAGATCGAGCCGACCAGGGCGAGGTAGCGGCGAAACGATTCGCCGGAATTGACAGGTTCGGAGGCTGGTGGGATCTCGTGAAAGAGGGTGGGGGGGGGGCTGCTGTTGGCGAGCAACTCTGGCTCCTCTGGTCCCCCGTTTCCCCCCCCGCCCGGGTGGTAAGCGAGACGCGATCCTCTCTCAAGTGATCCTTGGCAAATGAAAATGCTCCCACAATGGTTCTGAACGTACGCGGCCGGGTGGGTGGGGATGAATATCGCCGGCCACGGAGGTACACCTGACCAGATATATAGAGCTAGGGCAAGGCTTCCGCTGCGGACAGTCCAGTTACAGTGCTCTCTGTACGCACGCATCTCGCGGCGTGGGCTAAAACGAGTTGTGGTGGTTTCAATTCACCCGGACGTCGGTCGCAACACCGATCTCCCGCGAGACGGACAGAGGACCATCGTTGTCTCAATTCGCGTCGTATCACGTGGCAGATACTCGTTCGGTAGGTATCGTGACCCAGAGAGTGACATATCAAAGCTCAGTCACAATTACATCCGGGTTTGGGTTAGGGTCTAGGCTAGACGAGTCGCCTAGATTGTCTTAGGGGATTGTGCAGATCGAAATTGAGTCACGTCACGATTAAATCCGGGTTTGATTAGAGTCTCTAGGCTCAAAGAATCGTCTAGTGTCTTAGGGGACCACGCAGATCAAAACTGAGTCACGTCAGGATTAAATCTGAGTTGGGTTAGGGTCTCTAGACTCGACTAGTCGTTTAGAGAATGACTTACAGAGATAGTGTATAGAGGGGAAATTAGGATCACACCGGGTAGGCGACTTAGGGGTGGCGGATGTTGGAAGATTAGATAGATACGAGTTTCGTTCGAGTTGAAATTTTTGACCTAGAAAGTGGCTGGCAATAGCAGCAAAGCGGCAAAGAAGAAATGAAGCCTATAAATTTACGTCTATTTTGTATAAATCTACAGGTTTCATTTCTTTTTGTGGCCATGCTCTTAGGGGTGGCGAAGCTTTAATCAGGGATAGATCTCACTCTAATCTGTACGTGTTAGATCAAAATTACACCTGGGTTAGTCTTGTTCGATAAGTCCCGGTGACCCAATTACTCGAAAACGGTGTGAAAACAGTCCCAAACCTGGGGACGTTGTAAGTTAGAGAGTTAATTAAGTCAGAGCCTGAGTCTGGGTCAAATTCCAGCGACTGTTGTGACCTAGAAAGCGACTGGCTGACGTCAGAGATTAAATCTGAAGCTGGTCCCCGGATCCCCGATCGCCAGGCGTTGACGCTTTGTCGTTTCCAGGCTGTCCAGTTGATACAAGATGAGACACTTTGGCCACCTTTACGCGTGCCTGGCCTTCCTGCTGGCGACGGCCTCGGCAAGGTCAGCCGAGACCAACCCGACCGCGAACTCCATCGACGATCAGAGCGCGAGGTCGAGCAGTAGCAACGTTCTGGGCGACCTGAAGCAGGTGTACCAGATCTACAAAGAGTGCTCGGACGAGGAACTGAGCCCATGCTTGAAAGTGAGGCTCCTGTCCGCGGTGGACAGGATGTACAGGAGCATCCAGTTGAACGTGGCCGACGGGGTCACCTTCGTTCGCGACGAGCAAGTCGTCACCGAGGAGGAGCCAGTCAAGTCCCTGCAGGAGATCGAGGCTAGCCTGCCCAGGGCCCTGGACGACAAGGAGGACGCCCTGAACACCATGATCTTCGATAAGGTTGTCAAGTTCTTCCAGAGCCACACGCTGAAGCTGAAGCTGCCCAACGTCGAGGAACTCCAACGCAGCCTCGTGGAAGAAGGTGAGGAAGGCTGATAATAATTATCGTTGGAATTCGATTTACCATGGGCTAGAAGGGGTCACGGTCGAAGCAGTCATCCGAAAGGAGGTTCCAGTTTCGATTTCCCGGTTCAGTAGACCGTATGGCCCACTATTTCCCTCCGTACTGGGTGGCCGCGTCGAATTCCTTCGATTTTAGGATGAACCGAGAGGAAGATTTTGTCTTTAACGAGTTTCAGCGTTGTACTTGATTCTGACAAATTTGAGATTTAAGGCTTTCGCAGCCTGAGTCTATACTCGAGGTCGAGGCTTCCTGGATGATCGCTGAAGACAGACTCGACGACCATCCAGGAAGCCTTGACCTCGAATATTACAAATTGTAATGTTGAAAGTGTGTTAGAGGGACAATATTTATTACGAGACACTTTGACTGCCACGTCACCCACATATGGGTGACAAGACTTTTCCACTATGGAACCAAAACAATTCATTCTGAAATTGAAATTGAAATAAATTCGAACAGGACGAAGTGTAGAGAGTAAAATCTCGTTTTAAAGTCTGGTAAAAAAAGATTGCACGGTTTTAGCGTGGCAGTCAACGCGTTAAACCTGAAACACTCTGTATCCTCGTGGACGAAATCTTCCTCCCAGCTGGCAAGTGACGCGTGAAACGTATCGTCAAGACCATGGTAGATAATTGGACGCTCGTAGCGGAGAATTCGGTGTAATGGCGCAAACGTAGAGTCGTTGCCCCGAATGTTCACGCCTGGGCGATCCAATTCGATTTAGCGAACTTCCGTAACCGTGTGCCCGGCGTCCCAGGTCGCAAGAAGAAGAAGAACATGGGCCTGTTGGCGATTCCCCTGTTGATCGGTGGAACCCTGGTGCCCTTGGCGTTGGGCGCCCTGGCCCTGCTGGCGGGTAAGGCGCTGATCGTGAGCAAGCTGGCGCTGGTGCTGGCGTCGATCATCGGTCTGAAGAAGCTGGTGTCTGGCAGCGGCGACCACGGCCACGAGGTCGTACAGGTCGCCGGCGGCGGTCACGGATCGAGCGGATGGGCAAGATCGAGCCACGACCTCGCTTACTCCGCCTACAAGCCGTCGTCGACCTAGGAAGAATAATGGCCACCGGAGACCGTCGACCAGTCTTTTCAATCTCATCGCACTTCGCTTTCACGAAGCTCATTTTGCTTTCCTCCTCGTTCCCTCGAACTTCGCGCTCCTCTTCAACTTCCTTTCTCCCGATCGTCTAATCCCCGTTCAACGACCATCCGATCGTATCATCATCAGTATTTATTGCTGCGCGGCAGCCATGTATATTTATAGATATGGAAATATATTAAGATCAATACTCGTACTATCGTCCAACGACTTGTTCTTGAACCGATCCCCTGAACAGCTAAAGAAATAGGCTATACATCGTCGTGAACTTAATAATTATAACCCACTTCTCTAGACGCATTCCTCCAAGATCGACTAATAACCCACAAAACGCCACGTGTCATTAACGATCTTTCGACTATCCTACTTGCTACGATCGACAGACAACCCCCAATTAAAACACGCTAACTGACCCGAGTTGCAGACCGTGCTAAGCAGTGTTAACACTGATAAGCTAACTGCAAGCTATGCGGAAACGAGTCCTGAAACTTATGGGGGCACAGAAACAATTATGGAAGATGTCGATGTTCCCCAATATTTGTACATTTCTGTCGAATGTTCTACAGTCCTCTTTTCACGACGAAACTCGCGAGAGAAACAAAGTTCCCCATCGAAAGTAACGTTTTGAACGCGCGTTAGAGTCGATATAGTTCGTAATGGCGGTGGATGCAGGCCAGGAGAGCGAGGTTCCGCGTGGTGCGCAGTAGCCACCAGAGGAGACGAAATGCGGCAGAGTTACCTACATACTGGAAACGCGCGAGCACCTTACGCACTCTGGGGGCCCGTGGGGCCCGCGTGTGTATACGAGACACGCGTCTGCCGGTGTACCCGGTAAGTAAACCAGGTCGAGTCGACCCGGCCAGCATCCGCGCCGTGCGTTTCCAAGGTGCGCCTAACACTCTCTACCGTCCCGGAGAAAAAGCGTCTTTCCTCGCCCCTGACCCCGCCGCGGCCCTCTTCGATCGATCTCCCTTCCGCCTTGCTCCGAGGTTCATCGATCCTCGGGTCAGGTGGTCCCGTTCCGGAGATGCCGGAGCTCTTGGGTCCTCCTGGACCTCCGAAAGCCGTCCCCCCATCTACCTTCGCCTCCTTTTTCATGTGAAACTGAACTCTATGTTTCGCAATACAAATTTTTATATTTCAAAATAGCAACGAAGGAAGGCAGATTTCAATTTTCACTGAATTTTGAGGAACGCCCCTCTAGATCTGACATAATGCAGGTGTCATGTGAATTATAAAATTACATTCCTTGGACGTCTTGAAGCATCGAAATTTTGCTGGAAATTTTTAAGAATTTAGAAAGAACAGAAAATTTGACTTTTCGATATTCTGTACTAAGTATTTATGGGGTATAAAGTGTGGATCACGCATCGAAAGAGATAATCTTTGGATAACGACCGAACGAGGAGCGTAGAGCATTTAGAAACGTCATTCGGGTGATTTCAATGTGTGGTAACGCTGTCTACTTTGATCTCCGAGCGTTGAAATCACCAGCGCGCGATGTGTACCGCTTAGTTAAGCTAATACCCGTATTCCAGAAAGCCAAGTTTATTTTCTACTGCCTACATATCGTAAATATATGGTAAAGTTAGATTTATTGACGGCATGGGTCAGTTGCTCCGCGTGCTGGACTTTCAAATCTGACTGGGAACAGGAACGCAGACGTTTCGGTTACACTCTGTAAAGTATCAACGCTGTAACGTTATTTTGCTCTGGTAATTATGCAAGATAATATATAAATAAAGGTACAGTTACTTGGAAATCGCGAGCAACGGCAGAAATTGTTTAACTCCGTCGTTAATGAGTCGATGTTCCGTTTATTGGCCCAAACGCGCGTTAATTAATTCAAGATGCTCGTTATTTTCGTTACATTTCAATAAAATGCAATGCTTCGTTTAAAATACGGAGTCGAACGAATAAGAACTATATTCGTTCTTAACCTTGCGATCCGTTATGGGGAATTGTTAATAATTGTGTGTATGCGGACTACCAAATTCTGATATTCGGCCGAAATTGATTGAAAGCGGGTCAGAGGCGGTCGCATGTGGGACAGGCTTAGTGGTAATTATCGTTCCGATGAAAATACGCTCCTGTCGACGTACCCCGCTTTCTTTTCGTAGTTCTGTGGGAAATTGACGCGCGTCGCGCCCGTATTATTATTATTAAACGTTTTTCTTAACGGGGAATGTGCATACAGGCTGCGCCACAACATGATAGATAGCATGAAACACAGAAATAACGAAATAAAAAAGTAAGAACATCCTCTACTAGGAGGATCACTCGTGCTCGTACTTTTTCATTTGAGAATTTCTCGAACTAACGAACTCAAAACGATCTTGTACTTGAACTTTAGCCACTTATGTAGCTCAAGAATTCGTAATCACAATTGCAAAATCCATTTCAATAGATTGGCATGAAAATTTGATTTTTATTACAGCGATATGGATCTAATTTGGTATTAATGTCAGAAAATTATTGTGATCTATTCGTCTCTGTTAATTTGCTTACTGGATCGTTGGTTCGGTCATGCTCGAGCTCGAGGATTAATTAATGCTCGCGCCAGAGTAACGTGAATAAGAAACGCTGGAGAATAAAACGGGATGGGACGAAAAAAAAGAACGAGGTATCATTCATTCATGCCGTCGGCGTATATGGAAAGTTACGTGGTTCTGTCTCTCTCCTCGTTCGGGCGCGGCGTCTTCGTTTCTCAAAGAAATAATTTAGATTCTAATTTGTATCGGACAAATAACTTTTAGTCGCTATTCGGAGTTTCTAAGGAGGAAATTTATGGATCGTAGATTTTTTAGATTATTCAGGATACGCGGTGTTAAAACATTTCAAACCTCTTTTCACTCGTGGATCCACTTTATCGTATAATCACTTCCGGTAATTTATATACCGGCTATAGTGCCTTTTTCATGTTGGATGTCATCATTCGAAAGTAAATCGCGCGTAGCGCTGGAGTCCAATATAAATAAGTGTAACATTTTACTTTCATTTAGCATTAATTATTCAGCCAATATGATTATTATAATGAGTAGGTGCATTGGTAGAATAATTTATAACTTCGTCGCGTGAATGTGCATATTCTAATTTATGTCGACACTCGTGTTATTTATAGAATATTACATATTTCTCTTCTTATTATCGCAACTTTCCTTCGATGAAATTGTTCCTGTACGATTTCCATCGAGTGTTTTATGTAATTGATCTTGACTGCTTATTACGTTTACGTATTCATTTTTTATGAATGATTACACACACTCTCAATGGAATCCATTATATTGTTTTTCAAACTGATTTCAAAGTAAGCGAATCAAATTTTTCCACCCTGCTCGAAGCAATATTTCAACGACGATCGAATATGGCTGCTGTCGAATTCTAATCGTCTAAAATTGAACGAGATGGTACCAAATCCAGAAAATTCTCTGAAACGTGGACCAAACGTTCGACCAGGTATCGAACGAGAAATCATCGATGGAGAAGAAACGGGAGGGAAGAAGAGGGAATACCGAGGAGCTCCAGGCTTCGCTTCGTGGGGGCCTTGACTTGACCTCGATCCTCCGGCGAGTTCACTCTCACCCAGTCGTCGAGAGGAAAGTGTTCCATTACCAGCCACGCTCGTACCCTCCCCGCCGTGGGATTAGTGATTTGGTCCACGAACGTAGCTCCTCGTGATTCCGTCACTGTGTCACGTGCTGCCCACGCGTTCGTGACACGGTTCGACGATCGTTCCGTCGATCCGCGAGGAATCCGTGCTCCCTGGCCACCGGGAACGAGAAAAGAATCAAAATTGGCATTCGTTAGTCGACGCTGACGCGGATAAAGTGAAAGTCCTCGGGATGTAACGCCTGCGATTCTCTTCGCGTCTTTCTTTTCCCGTTTCGCGTTCGCCAGCAGTTCGCAGACACTTTCGTTTTATCGGGCGGACGATTTTATAGAACTCGTTTGCCTAAATGGCTCCGTTTCAACGCGTTGACTGAAGATACCATCTACAGTCGATTGGATTTTAGCGCGAAAATAGGAAAAAATATTAGATAGTTTAATAGAAGAAGACTCAGTAGAGAGCAACGTAAAGATATTAACAAAATAACTGTGCTATGCTACTGAATGAAATGAATTCTGGCGAGAATTCAACGAGGTTATAAAAACACCTATGCACCTGCTATGATAGATTTTCAGTTATGCAGTTTTCGATTGTCTGAAAACAAACCTTTGGTATCCTGGACAACTTTACGAACTCTGCAATGGTTCTTTAGCGACTCAGCAGTTATATTGACTCGTAGGAGGCCAGTTCGATGTAAATTGTTAGTAAAATTGGATGAGTTGTTAGGTAGCTGGGGCCTGTTGCACAATTATCCTGGAAGCGGCGTCTAAATTAAGACCTGAAGGAGAACGACAGAGGAGGAGCGTGGAATTCGAGGTAACCTCGTGTTACCGTCTTCGACCGCGGAGAAAGTCGCGCGATCGTTCCTTCCCTGGTCGGTCACGACGATCGGAAACGACTCGGTAGCGTTCGTCCTGCCTTCTCATCTGTTTCTTTTTTCTTTCTCCGTGTTTTTCTAGGCGAGACGTCTTCGGGGTCACGTCGAGGCGCGGCTCGGCCCGCCGCGAAGAGGTCTGGCGCGGACCCAACTCGTCCGCGCACTACTCTTCCCCATGGACATTCCATGAAAAACCGTTAAACGTTACACGCCACGCGCTCGAGCACATATTAATCTCGATAAATTACTAATATTCATAGCCCTTCGTTCCTAGAATTCTATAGGATCGTCGTCACGTAGATTTCCTTCTTTTTAAATCCAATATTTACGTGTACGTCTTCAGATTTCTCCGAGAGAAACTAAAAATCAGTGCAACTTTGTAGCACGATATTATAATTTTATTTTGCATAAGGCGTTAGGAATGTAAAATTTCGCGAAAGCAAGTTCGATCGAATAGCTAATCGCGGTGTTACGTAAGGTATATCGAGCGTTCCACTTTTCTTGGGGCCCGGGCGTATTAGACTGGCGAAATTTAGCACATCTGTCACATTAATTTCAAAGACGAAGTACGGGGGACGACCTCGACCGGTGGCATTCGATTCGAATGAATGGGCCGAAGAAATGGAAACGAGATGGGGGAGAGAAGGGATCGGGATCGAGAATGGCGCGCGCCCGTGGTCTTAGCTTTGAAATTACAGTTAGCGAGAATAGTCCTAGAATCGTTTCCAACGATCGATCGACTGGCACTCGTTATAGACGAAAATATTTTACCAATAAAAACTAAACTATCCACATTACTCCTTCAATGAAAATTGAAATGAAATACTTCACAATGGAAACATACGAATTTAAACATATTTAAGAATACTATATTGTGCAATATTCCGAACTATTGAGTAAAAAGGAAAACATGAATAGATTACAGCTTGGAATTAAAATTTTAAAATTCGATTGGAATAAATTGTCGCGTCTTACGGGATATCTATTATTTGAATAAAGTTTTGCTTATCTCCGGTATTCGATTAGGCGAGTTTTGAAACGGCCGGGAGGAATTTCGAGTCAGAGGTGCCAGAAAAGCACCGACGGTGCCCTATTCACACATGCCAGATCACGCGTACGTGAGCTCGTGGAGTTACGGAAAGTCGACAAAGGCAAACTGACGCATGCCCTCTTTCTCGATTCTCCGAAGCTGCCCGAAGTAATTTCGGATCGCCTCATGGGAGTCGACAGAAGAAGGCTCACATTTGCCTTCTCGCTCTTGGACAACTGAAAATCGACCTCACGTCGACGGCATACGATTCCAAGTCTCGACTCGCCCAGGTATTTTTTACTTTCCTCTTGGCCTCGCTGGCCTCTGCCGACCACCGCTTATATTTCTGACAAGGTATAACGATTACTACTGACTTCTGCCAACCTTCGCTGCACTCTGCTGACCGCTGCTGACCTTTTCTGGCATTTCTGACAACGTATAACGATTACGACTGGCTACTGCTAGCCTCTCCTAGCCTCTGCTGGCCTCTGCTGACCACCGCTTATATTTCTGACAACGTATAACGATTACTACTGACTTCTGCCAGCCTTCGCTGGCCTCTGCTGATCGCTGCTGACCTTTCCTGGTATTTGTGACAACGTATAACGATTACGACTGGCTACTGCTTGCCGTTGCTTGTCACTGCTTGCCACTGCTGGTCTCTGCTGTCCACGGCTAGCCTCCACTGGCCTCTGCTGACCACCCCTGATGCTTCTGACAACGTATAACTATTACTACTTGTTACTGCTGGTCTCTGCATGCCTCTGCATCCCTCTGCTGGCCTCTGTTGGCCCCTGCCGACCACTGCTGACCACTGCTGACCTTTGTTATCAACTTCTGACATGATGTATAAGTATTCAAGCCTTGTATAATGTAAATTTATGGCAATAAATGATATAATTTAACAGAATTCTATGTGTTCTCATCATTTTTACCTTTCTTTTCCTCTCCAAATCATTGCCTTAGTTTTAAGAGACCGTTTTTCCGGTTAAAATTGGATTCCCAAAGTGTCCAGCTCTCGTACTTGCTGCCAAAATCAAAAATTAACTTTAAAATTTTTTTTCAGTAACCGTCACTCTCGTACCTGTTGGCAAAATCGAGAATTCATTTTTTTCGTTAAAAAATTTTTGCTCGAAAATTTCGCCGATTTCCCAAAAAGCCCTGAAACAACTGGAAAGTCCTGAAACAGCTGGAAAGTCCTGAAACAACTGGGAAGTCCTGAAACTCCTTGGAATTTTGGAACCAACTGGAAAGGCCTGAAACAATTGGAATGCCCCGAAACAGCTGGAAAGTCCTGAAACAATTGGAATGCCCTGAAACTGCTGGAAATCCCTGAAACAGCTGGAAAGTCCTGGAATTTCTTGGAAACGCCGGAAATTCTTGGAATCCCTGAATTTTTAGCAAATTTCTGAGTTTCAGGACTTTCGAGGTGTTTTAAGACTTCCTAGTGGGTTCAGGGAAACCAAGGAGTTTCAGGGAGTCTTATAACTAAGGTAATGATTTGGAGAGGAAAAGAAAGGTAAAAAATGATGAGTACACATAGAATTCTTTGTAATTATATCATTTATTGCCATAGATTTACATTATACAATGTTTTAATACATATATATCATGGCAGAAGTTGTTAACAAGGGTCAGCAGTGGTCAGCAGTGGTCAGCAGGGGACAGCAGAGGCTTGCAGAGACAAGCAGAGACCAGCAGGGGCAAGCAGTAACATGTAGTAATCGTCACACGTTGTCGGAAGCAACAGATGTGGTCAGCAGTGGTCAGCAGTGGCCAGCAGATGCAGGCAGAAGCCAACAGAGGCTGCGAGAGGCTGGCAGTAGCCAGCAGTAATGGTTATACGTTGCCAGATGTATCAGAAGTGATATCTGAAATGATATACATATGTACGCTCATATATAGGAATAATAAAAATGAATTAATTTTTTTTCAATAATTCAAATATGATCAGGGGGTCTTAAAACGTGTATTTCCGTAAGAAAAATGTCATAAAATGTTTTTCATTATAGTATCTTGCTTATGTTCGTCTATATACATAGGTCGGAAAATAAATAATACCTGGCCAGTCGAGACTTGGAATCGTATGCCGTCGACGTGAGGTCGAATTTCAGTTGTTCAAGTGCGAGAAGGCAAATGAGCCTTCCTCTCTCGACTCCCACGAGACGGTCCGAAAGTACTTCGGTCAGCTACGGAGAATCGAGAAAGGTGGCATGTGTCAGTTTGCCTTTGTCGACTCTCCGAAACTCCACGAGCTCACGTCCGCATGATCTGGCATAGTGTGAGTAGTGCACCCGGTGCTCAATCCGGCATCACTGTTTCGAGTATGTGTGCCGTGAAAACGTTCGAAATCCTGTTTGATAGGCGTCGGTCGAACGACGAGGAAAGTTGCGGAGGCGTGAGATCGAAGTATCTTCTGCATAACGCGAGGCATTATACGGCTTGTTGAAAGCGAAACCGCGCCAGGCATCTTTCGCTGCGACTTTCCGCTGAACTCCGCGCTCATTTCCCGGCCGGTTTCGCGATGAAACGTCGAGATCGCTTTGAATATCTTAGCACGCAAGATTCGGGAGATAGCGGGGAACGTTTCACGCCATTTTTAACTTTGTTTGACCGGAGAAACGACAGTGAAACTGCCAAAGTTTATGTACTCCGTGAATACAATTAACCTCGATTTTTTGTTCAATGAGTACACTTTGTTTTAGAATTAATTATATGCTTCGAAATTTTAAATAATCAAGCAACACAGTCGTGTAAATATTTTACTATTCAATGTCCACCGTTTTCTAAGTCGATGGTTAAAAATAATGCGTTTACTTTTTGATAGTTGGAAATTAACCGAGTATTCCGAAATATGGCACCGAAGGTTTCCCATCACCTTCCGTTTCATCCATGTTGCATCAATGTTTCATTCTTTCGTTTGCTTATATAGTTAACAACATGTCCTAAACTTCTTTCAGAAGTGAGAAAATGATACAAATCTGTGCCCCTTACGTTCAAGGACTTACTTTTCTTTAACTTGGTTGGTTCTGGCAATAATATACTTCAAATTAGCAATTATTTGCATCCAAATGCAAAGGTGTCATCTTTAACAAATGCTAGTGAGGGTTGGAAAGGTCTGAGGCCCTTATGCCCAATAATTACCAAACATTGCATTACCCAACAATTCCATTCTAAGCAAACACAGGGTTACTCATTTCAGCAACGAAGGTCTCGCACAAAGTCAGCCATTTCATGATCAAATTCCAAGGACCAAGGGCCTTATGCCCACTAATTACCAAATATTTCATCACCCACGAACGTTCTCCACCAAATTGCCCCCCGAATTAATTCGAACAACGAACTTTATATTTTATTTCATCGGGCCCAGCGAGTCTAAGCTCGCCGGTGGATCGGGCCCGCTCGTAACCGGAAACCGGTGAACCTGTAATCCGCGTTCCATCGGCGTCGTACGCGCTTTAACCCGCGCCGAATGTTCACGGCTGGAAAAGGGCGGCTACGGAGACGTCCGGCGCAGCGATTTCCCACTCCGTCCCCCCCCGGGGGCCCGTGGTCGGAGCGCGTGGACGCTGGGCCCCCAGGAGAGGAGAGAAGCGAGGACCAGCGCTAGGCCTTCCGAGGCGCGTCAACGGGAGAGACCAGCGCGACAGAGGAACACGGGGACGACTCCGGCCAGCTGAAGAGCCAATAGCTCGTACAGCTTGTAACCCGTGCGGGGTGGGGAGCCTTGGGGGGGACCATCGGGTCCGGTGGGGGCCATCAAAATTTCAAAAACGTACGCGGGCCCCTTTCGCGACGAGGATAAAAGGCAGCAATTGTGATTCTTTCGGTCAGTGTCGATACGATCGTCGCAGTTGTTCGAGTCACGAGTTGCGCAAGGCCCAAGGGACTGCGAGAGCCAAGCATCGAAAACGAGTCAGACGGTTTACGCTCGGTGGAACAGATCAGAAGAGAACACGATGGTCAAGTACGCGATACTCGTTGCGGCCCTGGTCGCGTCCGTTTTCGCCGCCCCCACGACCCAGGATCCGCCTGGTCCGCCGTCGATCCTTGAGGAGGCGATGAGCGTGTACGCCTCGTGCTCGGGCGAGGAGAGCCTGGCTGTGTGCTTGAAGCTGAAGGCGCTCCACTTCGTGGACAGGGCGGCCAGGTCGGCGGACATCGACGTCGTCGACGGGTTCAGGATCGTGCAAACCGAGGAGGCCAAGAGCAGGTAAGGTGAAAGTGATTCCGCGAGGACCGAACAGTGAAACTGGATCGCGAGACGCCCGAATCGATGGATGGAATTCGATCAGAATTTTTGGGGATCGTTGTCTCGATAATCGTACCGCATGAAAATGGATCATTCGGGGGGTTGTGAATCGTTTCGGAGTAGTTTGATGCCGGTGGGTTGTGATTCACGCTGGGATTTTACTTTCCAGCCGCGCTGACAACGCGAGGTCATTAAACGACATCGAAAGTACCCTGCCGACCGAGGTCGAGGCCAAGGAGACGGCTATCAACGACGCCATCCTCGACAGGACGGCCAAGTTCCTTTCGACTCATACCGTAGAACTGAGCCTTCCGGAAGAAGTCTCTCGATCGCTCGATGAAGGTAACGCCCATGAAAATAACTCCTCAACCCTTAAGTGGACTCTCAATCTCGACTGAATTATTTTGAAAATCGACTTTCCTTCAAAGCATTTAAAAAACAACGAACTAATGGAGGATTACATAAGTTTTCAAATAATTACATTGATACATATTAAAGGTTAAAATTTCATTACGTTGTAACTCCTCTATTTCAGTCTTATTTGCATTGAAATTGATGCAGCGTAACTGTAAAGCCTTCTCGTATTTACCCACGGTGCCGCCAGACTTGAAAGTCTAGCAATGGTCGTAAAATATGAAAGTCTACGAAAATGACTATGCGCCACATTCGGCAATTGGAAACGGAAAATGGAATTATCGTACGAGCGTGGTACACGAATCTAAAAGCCCCCTTAATCCAGACTGGAATATAATCAGAGATTATTGTACTATTTTAAACGACAATGCACGAACAGCATAATTCAGAAAATTGCACTGAATTCATACATCGAGTCAGTAGTGTTTATGGCATCCTGCGTTTTCAATAATGGGTACAATGGGTTACGTAATACTGGAAGCCCTCAATTTGCAAATTGATCTCTGAATAGAACGCCAAATGCTTCGTGCCACGGGCAATTTAGAAACAGTTGAAAATACTGTGTCACAAACCCCTACTATTCTCCATAAACGTAACGAAACTACATTAACCCTTAAGTGGACTCTCGATCTCAACCGAATTACTTTACTTAATGTTGATTCTGAAAAATGGAAGTCACCTTTCCTTTAAGATACTTAAAAAATAACGAACCAATGGAGGATTACATAAATTTTCAATAAGGGTTAAAATATAAAATTTAAAAATGCTTGGAGATTATCGAAACGACAATTGTTCCATTGCAGCTCGTGGAAAGAAGAAGAAGATCGTGAAATCCCTTCTGCCAATTCTCCTGCTGTTGAAACTGAAGGCTGCAGCGCTGATCCCCATCGCCCTCGGTGCCCTGGCCCTCCTGGCCCTGAAGGCGCTCGTGATCGGCAAGATCGCGTTGGTGGTCAGTGCCATCATCGCCCTGCAGAAGCTGTTCGCGAACAAGCACCAGAGTTACGAGGTGGTGGCCCACCCAGTCCACTCCTACGGTCACGAAGAACACCACGACCATCATGGTTGGGCGAGGTCGGCCGGTTCGGACCTCGCGTATAACGCGTACAAGCCGTCAGAATAGTCTTTAAGCCATCACTTCCACTTCTCTACCTTCAGTCGCCAAAGTGATCAGCCGCCGCGATCACCCTGAGGGCGGCGCGACTTGAGCCCGTCGATCGCGTCGATCCGACGCACGAAACCATCGACACGGACTATCGACGACTTGGACAGAGACTTGCCTTGCTGAACAGAGCCGATCGTACAGCTCGACAAGTTTAATCAGACGCCAGGGTTGCTAGAGACGAGCTAGCTGACCAGTGTTGGACGATTCCGTTCGAGGGATTGTGAGCTTGTTGAGCTGGACGGGACCAGTGACCTTACGCTACGAACTGTGACGAATGATTTGACGCGCCGTGCGGACGATTCGACACGATCGATTACGGTCGCCGCGATCGAGACGTTGAACAGACTCTATTTAACACACTCTGACAGTGAACGGTGACAGTCGCGCACCCTCGACCACCCCCCAGTGATCCAGAGATCCCGGATCGGACGCGCTGGGACTCGTAGTCAGTACCTGCAACAGGTCCACCAGATTTATCCAATGATTATTTATATAACACCCCCGCGCGCACGGGGGTTGCCATGTAACTTAACGCATTATTTATAAATAAATCTTAATTTTATACGATGTTCTCGCATTTCTTCACCACCGTGTGTCCTTACAATCCTGAGATTATATAATTATCGTAATACAAAATCTTACTTCCGAATCCTTATCCCAATTCTCTCATCGAAAGAGAAATTTTCTTCCTACTACGTGGAACAGTTTAGAAGTTTATTTAAATTTATTACACACTAAAAGAAATTCAGATTTAGAGACCATGAAGATTTTATTCCTCTAAAAGCACGACATTAGTATCAAGAAAATTACAGTTTTAAGTGCTTCCGGGCCATAAAAACTCTATAATTAAGGACCCCGATAATTCACGCCTTGCTCTCTATTACGAGCAATTATGTCAAATTTTCTGGGAAGACTCTAAAATGTTTCTACCAATGTAGCCATTTTTAAAGAAAAAGTGAAATTGAGGTGAGTAAAACCTGTCGAAATTTTTTATAACCTACATTTAAAACAGAATACGACAAATTAGATGCAAATTTTAACTTTTGCTAGCCCACATTGGGTGCATTTTCTCCAACCGTAACGAATAAGAAAGTGACCCTGAGCGGGCAAAATATTTGACGTGCACCCAGAGCTGTCGAGCGCGTCTCTCGACAAGCGTTAACCGATCGTAATCGCGTTAACGCTGTCCAGTATTTGTCCAGGTTAACCCAGCGTCTATTGACCGTCGCTGGGGGGACCTTTCTCGAAGGCAAACACCTTCTTCTTCGTCTCGATCTTTTTTTCGTCGAGACCCGTCGACGTTAGAATTTCTCTTTGTTACGAAGACGTCGCCCCGACGTTTTGACGGCGAATCTTCTCGGGTGCATCCGGTGTATCGAGGGGCCCATCCGCCACGAAATACAGGCGAGGTGGACTTTCGCTGCTTGTAAGATCCGTCGAGTGAAACCGATTGTTCCCTCGTGTGCGAACGGCTATATAGCAGCCTGAACCCCGGTGCTGGATCAACAGTATTGTTTCGGATCTCGACCACTTTTCTCCCGCGTTCTTTCCTCGAGAACCTCGCGAACTCGAGTATAGATTCAGTGTTTCAACGAATAATTCGAAAAAACCTCATGATGAAGAAGGGTGTTAGGTGAGGGGCAGGGATCGGCTGAAAGTGAAATTCTTTGCTATTGTTTTATAACCAGTGAGCAACAATCTAGTTTGGACCTAAACAAAGTGGATATAAATATTGTTTACATCATCATAGATAGTGTAGATATTCAACCCTTTCGATCACTTTCTTTCTTAATGTATTCTGTCCTACATAATCACTTTAAAGCAATAATATCGTTGTGTTTCTTTAGAGATGCCCCTTTAGAGGGGTCAGCCGAGTATAAAGGGTTAAGTGATCTTTAGCTATAAATACTCCACATACCACGTGCTCCAGATCACTTAAATCTTCTTATTTGAATCGAGATTTCTGTTTCCCCAGATCGTTCTAACAATTCCTCTTTCCCACGAACAACAATCATCGACTTTCTCGACGATCCATCCGGTGCACTCGTCATGAAACGAGAGTTCAGCGCTCTGTGGCTGCTGATCCTGATCTGTACCGGGATCACCGGGATCATGGAGCCAACGGAGGATCCGGTGTTGACCAACGAGAACTCGATCAGTTTTGGCGAGGCCTTCGGCGCCTGCCTCTCCAGAAAAGAGTTCGGAGCGATGGAGTGCGTGAACCGCGGTGCCCTGAGCACTCTGCAATCGCTGAACCACAAAGACGACCTGGATTTGGGGGACGTGCACCTGGAGAGAGCCGACGGATACGGAAGGGAGCTTTTGGATTGGGATTACGACCCGAAGGACTTCGGGAACATTGTGACAGCGGCTACCAGGCTGATGGAACGCAGGAGCCTCAAGTGGAGCCTGGACAATTTGTATCCAGGGCTCCAGTTGCGCGCTGGACCGATGTTGAACGGAAACGGGATGCTGGAGTTCGTGCTCAACGACCGGCAGACGGTCTTCGGGGACAGACAAGCTGGCCCAGGTGAGATGGCCTTTCAGAAAGGATTTACTCGAGGAATCTTGATGGATTTTAATTTTGAACTTAGGAAGAATAGTTTTAATGGTATACAAGCTTGTGTGTCAAGGAATTTTCATCCCTGCGCTTGGCGAACAAGGGCAGTTATTCCGACGCCTCCGACTAACAAGTTTCAAATACGAGTCTCTCTCTTACCAGTATACAATAGCACAACACAATAATCAGTTTCTAATCGCATCATATCAGTCCTTCGATCACTCGCATATCAATCCTTATTAGTACATCTGCGAGCACGTTTGCAGATTCGCTATAAGAGTGTCGACGGCCTTACAGCCTGTCACTCGAACGACGCTCAACAGATAGAGTGAGTCACGAAGTATATGGAAGAGAATGAATGGAGCATAATTGATTCCTGGGTCCGTTCGCGTCGAGAAATTGAGGCTATGGGCCGGAGGAGCCGCTGAGTCGCCATCAGCTTGGAAACGAACCTACCGTTCGCCAGGGTTCGCGTCTTTACTACGCGAGCTGCTTAGTGGATCTACCTCCAGTAGGCAGCACGGTCAAGGCCATCCACTAAAACACTATGTCGTGGGATTCTAGAATGCTCGAAAATCTCTAGAACCCCCCTAACGACTGATCGTATAATTGTCAGTCTTGTGCAGACTTTAACATAGTCACTCAAATGTGATTCCATTCATCTGGCTCACATTACGAGGCTATTAAATTAAAATAAAAATGAAGTTACCCATTCAAACACTGACCCTATTTTCATTTTTTAAATTCAATGTCCCCGTCAAACTAGATAATCTGATTAGGCTCCTTATTTAACGATTTCTGAACGATTCTTCTTCCCAGGAAGGCAAATGATGAGACACTTGCTGATACCCTTCCTCCTGGGGTTCAAGTTCAACCTGGCCTCTCTGATACCACTGCTCTTCGGGGTTCTGCTCCTGGTCACGAAGAAAGCACTGCTGCTGACCAAGGTGGCCCTGTTCGTCAGTGGACTGTTAGGCTGGAATTCCTTGTTCTCCAACGCTGCTACGCATTATCCAGGAACTGGATTCAATGGAATCCCTGCCTACGGCCAGGAGACTCCAGCAGGAGGGTTCCCTTACCACGAACACCACCATAATTTCCAATATCGACCCTACAGGGGGTACCAAACCAGCGAGTTTGGACCGTACAATCAACACGTGATCAGAGAAGTGGTCGATGTCTACGACAACACCGAAGAGACGAAGAACAAACGAATTGGGAAGAATTTCGCGTGGGCCAAGGGTAGCTGATGCCACTGCGGACATTTTCTCAAACTGTGATCGAGATGTTGATTTTATTGAATGTTTTTGGATCTGTACTTTCTAGTATATTGAATTTTTACTTAGCATTGTACAGTATTGTTATTATATTCTTGGGTATCATAGAAACACATGTTCATGTAGATATAAACAATAATGGAGGTTATAAAACCGATCGAATGTAACACTCTGTTAATAAATGAAGAATCTTAAAAAAAATAAAAAATTAGAACACGATAAAATAAAGATATAAATATGGATCTCGAGCTATAGTTGGAAGAGAAATCCTGATTACAGTGAAAATCTAATTTTGCTATCCCAGATACAGTAGACGTAACTGTACCTCGAATGTATCAAAAATTATCAGACCTGATCCAGAGACGACACGAATCACATGATTGGAATTCATTCAAACGTAACGCAGCCCTAATCTACGCTTTGCAGTGTAGGTCACAAGAAAACGAGCGACTCTGGGACTCGATTGCTTAAACGACTCATGCTGTGGTTCGTCCAATTTCTATTTAATCCTCCTTTATCAAAATAGTGCATACACAAATTAGAATTTCCTGCATACGAGGTAGAGAAGCTTCCAAGGTGCCGTTTGTCGAGGATCCAGCGTGTGTCGTTTCCTCACTGTCGGTTTCACGGCTCCGCGCGGTCAAGGATCGAGCCCGCGATGGCCGTTTTCACTCCGCGGAGCCATTAGTCTCACTCCATTATCACGTCGCCCTCTCTTTCGGTCGTCTAACTGTTCCTTCGTAGGCGGAAGGTGGAACAGCGACGTAAAATGCGTCCGGGAAATGCGTTTGCTGGTAAATGGTAATGGCCAGCGAATCGCCACGGTCCCGTGACCGCGCCGTACACCGCCACGTGCTTCTAACTCCTTATGTCAAGTGTAACAATCAAGGTGGAGCATGTATTACGGCTTGGGGACAGCCAACCGTAAAAGTTCCTTGTTTTCCGCCACCGTTTCACGGCCCCTGCGTCGCACGAGAGCGACTGCGCTCGACCGCTCGGGTTTTGCGCACTCGCCTGCCGGCGTCGAACATGCGTGACGTCCGATTTGTTACAATGTAACGGTTCGTGTTTTCTTTTTCTCGGAATTTACATTATACTTTATACATACGGGGTGGCCTGCAACCGTGAACGAAGCTACAGTTACGCCAGACGACTCCTTGGACTTTGGAGGAACGTGGTACCGAACAAGAAGAGGACCTCAAACCGATCACCTTCGATTTTAATGTGCTTTTGCTGGATGATATATGCGGAATATTATGTGGAGATATTCGTTAACTTAGAAGATATGTTGGATTAACTTTTCTTCAACTATGGCGGATCTTGGACGATTTAATTGTCATTCGAAGAATAAAGTTAGGCACCATGAGTGTTCAGTAGGTGATTACTGTTCGAAAGTAGTATAATTTCCAACCATTATGTTGGTTAAACAATATTTCAGCTTTTCGTTTCGAGTACCGATAATTTTTCGAGCAGACTTGGACAAATTTTAAATGTAGACTGTAAAATATATTGGCAAATATCGTTGCACGGTTTCGAAAGTGTATATGTATACTTGCCACAAAAGTGCGAATATGTATTGTACATCTTAAGATTATTGACTTAAAGATATCGTGTGTGTCGAGGTCCCGAAAGGGTTGATCGAGGAAATGTAATATATCAACATAGAGCAAGGAAGTTTACTAAACATTATCAAATTATGCTTATTATTACTATTGTCCAGTGTGCCTAGGTGTGCTCACATTTTCATAGTAATGTCGAAAGTAACGTATCTTCGATTAAACCTTGTCGTTTGACATCTGTGGCACGTTGTCGTTTGGAAAAGTCATAAATGATACCTCGTGATCCAATATGGATACCTGGTTCGTGGTTTCGTTCGCCTGTAAATCCACTTTCTCGTTCCCGATAATAGCTGTACGTGGAGATCATGCTCCATTCTCATAATAGAAATTCTCAATAGGAGCTTCGTACAACGAAAATATTATTTTTCAAATTGCTTTTTATAGAGATTTATCACGATGGATAAAGAGATCCACAGTAATTTAATTTTAAACAAGCTATAGTTTTGCATTTTAATTCTCAAAAACGCACCCCAGTCTGCTTTCAATTGATTTTCCCTGCTTTCTCGCATGCAAAAATTATTCAAATATTTCCAGGATCGATATTTCATATTTCTACACGTATCTACATTTTTTTTTTATACAGTGTGGCTAACACGTATTCTGTTCAGCGCGAAGTAGGGTAATTGTGATCACTGCCTGTTCGCAAGAACGATAAGCGCGGAAAAGAGTGTCCTGGATTTTGCCGAACGCGACCGGTGGACATGTTTAATAAAATTCGTGTGGACGTAATTGCCCCGGTCATTTGTCGAATCTGGCGCGTCACGGTACGTAATCCGTGTCAGATTAACAGTATCTGAGCTGCATTAATTAATTCATACGGCGATCTATCGAACAGGCCACCGTAAACGATCAAGACTCAAGCCGGAGAACAATGCTCGATCCCCGAGATCGATCTTGACGATTGCAGACGCAACTTTCACCGCGAAGTACGGGAACTTTGTTCCCCGAGATTCGTCTTCCCCGTCATTAAACGCGTTCCACGTGTTAAACAAAAAATCAACGATCGCGAACTTTCTCGAGAAACGCTCGTAATTGGCCACAATTTTAATTGAAAACTTTATTCGCGACCAGACTTCATTGTTCGACTTCGACGAGGCCCAATTTTAATCTCTTCTGAGTTTCACAAAAATTTTTAAGATTTGTGAAATCTTTTAAATGCAAAAATACAAAAAAAAAATATTGATTTAGAATATAGTAGGATTACTATACCCATTCTGTATACCGTATCATTTTTAAAACAGATGACTCAAGTAAAAAACCAGTGCAATTCCAATGTATTACTTGCCTATAAAATAGCTTTTTAGCAGGAATAAATCTCCGAAAAATTTTAATTTTATTGTCACTTCCAACTTTCACGAACGACAAGACAATGTTTCATTTTTGAGACGCTATGCGTTTAAGGGTTAACGTTCTGGTCTTACACAATAAGTGTTCCGTTTTCTAATGCCCCGACGTAGAAAAATTTCCCTCGCGAGAACGCTCGAAGAAAAAGAAATTTTCCGGCTGGGAACCTCTGTAGATTCTCGGTAATGGAACTGGCGTTCGATTCCCCATTCGCTGGCCGTTCCTCGGTGGTTTCGGCTTCACTTGGCAACCAGGTCAGAGGGATACTTACTTACGGGGCTGTACGACATTGTTTTGGTTCAGGAGACCAGTCCCTCCTCCCAAAAGGAGGAGGCGTTAAACAGCGCGTGGATCAGGTGTGAGCCTCCGTAAGGACGACCGTCGGGGCTCGATGGTAGGAGAACGTCAAATACCCTTATAAAAGAGCCAGCGCGGAGCAACTCGAATTAGTTCGCGGCATTTTTCCAGCGGTCAGCTGGCCGCGAAATAGATCGGTCCCGTAGGCCTCGAGAGTCCACCATTAAACGCACAGAGGATCGTACAGGTTCCTCTGGACACCATGACGGGTACCAAGGTCGCGGGATTCGTTCTCGTTCTTCAGTTGTCGCTTCTGCTGCAGCTGGTGGATAGCAAAAACGAGTACACGAAGCTGTTCGACAGATGCGCCCGCGAAAGGAACGCGTTCGATTGCCTGAAGCAGAGGGCCCTCGAGATCCTGGACTCCGCCATCGGCGACGACTCGGTGTACGTGCTCAACGACTACGTGACCATCGCCAGGGACCCTGCATCCGCTGTCAGGGGCACCGAAAGATCGCTCAAGGACGAAAATGGCACAGAGCTGACCCTGGACCAGAAGCTGGATAACAAGTTTCACGAATACCTGGCCTCCAGGAGCGTCCAGCTCACCATCCCCGGAGAGACTTTCGAAGGTTCGTGGGCTCCTAACCATCCACAATTCTAGTAAAATTATCGTGTCTCCTTAAAAGGATTACCGTTCCATAAATAATACATTTATATTACTTACATTGAAAATGTATTATTTAGTTTGGAAGATTCTAAGTTCGAAAGTATCTTTGAACTTCTATCATAGAAGCAGTGGTAGAACGCGTATAAATTTTCAAATTAATTCTCCAGGTCGACGGAAGAAGAACAAAGGTTACGGTGTGCTGATGATGGGAGCCCTTGCAGTGGGAGGTGAGCGAAAAATTAGAGTCTCGCCCGAGAGATTCTCAAGTAAAAAAGTACGATACCTGAGACGGTATTTAAAATTTTCAAGGCGATCCAGGTTCTTACTTTTCGACTTGAGAATGTCAATGTAGTAGGATCCTGATGGGAAATCGGTTTTTTCCAGCGATGATGGCGCAACTGGCTTACGGGAAAATCGCGTTCCTCGCGGGAACCGCGTTGCTGACTGCCAAGATAGCATTGGTCCTCAGCGCGATAGTCGGTTTGAAGAAGCTGGTGTCCGGCCAAGGAGGCGGTGGCCATGAAGTCATCTACGCGACCGGCTCTGAACACCACGGAGGCTATGGGGGCGGCGGGGGCGGGGGCGGCTACAGCGGAGGCTGGCAAAGAGCTCTCGACGGCCTCCCACCCACCTGAGTCCAAAGATAGAAAGTTTAACTTATTTCGCGGTATTTTATTGTATTAAACGTCGATACAGAGTAATTATGGCACGATGATTCGTAAGATGTACGATTTGTAACCCTTAAGTAGGCGCCCTCGAGAGTCTATTTACTATAAATAGTTTTTAATTAAACTGAGAACAAATTAAATACAACCATTCACAGGCCAAAGATAAGGTGACCGTGGTATTCATTTATTTACAATCTAGAAAGAAAATATATTGAGTTTGGCGGATACGAGTCTGCTTATGTTAGAAATAAAAGTGTAGCCTACTTGAGGGTTAGTAACCTCCATAGACGAGTAAGAAGAATAGACGCGATTCCGATTATTCGTACGTGCAAAATAAAGCACGAGGATATGGTTACACACCATGATTGTGATCGATGTTAACGAGACACTTGGTACGTCAATTGTGACAGAAGGTATTAAGGCATTATTTATTAAAAAAAAAACTCGAAAGTATTTAATTTTAGTTACCCGTAGTGAGATATTTATTTATTCCGTGTGGCTGATAAACTGTATTCTACCAAAAATTACTTGTATTTATTTTTTATTTGCGACTTGTGAGGCTGGAGTTATTTGTATGTATATTGTGTAAAAAATGGCTGATCTTTAGTGTTAAATAAAGGTTACTTAAAAGGAACATCCTGTTTACTCATTGAAATTTAGAACAATTTCGACGTCGATACCGTTCAGTTGCACTTTATGCAATCATTAGTAGTCAGAAGATTTCAAAATTTAGAAAGCGTTCAGAGATTACATATTTTCACTATTCGTTTCGTTTATTAACTACTTTATATGTTCGTGGATGAGAATAATGTACATAACGTGCTTGTTGTTATTTATTTCAAGAACAAATATACAAATTATTTTTTAAATTCGTTACGCGGAAAATTCTTTTATTTTACATAAAATTTCTTCGCCGTTTCCGGTATTCGTTGTAGCGCTCGCCGAATCCATCGTGATGATCGAAATCGACGCTCGAGCTATGCGTGTGTTCGTAGCTGTGATGCGGATGTTTGACAATCTCGTACAAATTGTTCTCCTTGTGCTCTGAAAATAATAATTAATTTCCCTTGTATCATTTCTCGCATTTTACGCGAGAAAACGCGTTGGAAACGGTTCTAGAAATCTCGATGATAATAGAAAAAATGGCTCACCGAACGATTTCTTCAACGCGACCGCGGTAGCAATCGCAAGCGCGACTTTACCAACGATCAGAGCTTTCCCAGCGATCGCAGCAACGGCGTTGACTAACAAATAAAGCATCGTCAGCTTTCCCGCTCCCAGCAAGTATAGCAACAGCTTCCAGTACCCTCTGTTTTTCTTCTTGCGCGAGGAGACTAAAGAAAAAGAACATAATTCACTCTCGGTCCTTCCGAGAAGATCGAAACACCGTTCGATTCGGGGGACCAATTCTGTCGCTGCAATCTATACAGAGTGACGAAGAAAAGGCGTTTAAAAGGAGCTATAGAAATAAAAATAACAGAGCAACTTGCAAGCAGATTTAGTCTATGTCAACGTCCCATAATTATTTTGTTCGTGGACATTATTCGTTCTTAAAATAGCGGGTCTTTAAGGGAAATCAAATTGAATATCTCTGTCTTACTCCTCTCGATGACTATTGTGAACCTTAGACGTTGATTCTGGTCACCCTGTATAAAGAAACAGTGATAAAAAGGACTCCTTGTCACGCGATGCTCGAGAGGGTCGCCAGCGGGAAAAAAAATCACGAGTCCGCGATCGTCGACGAAGATTGCCTTAAGAGGAAACCACAAGGTGTTGTTAATGTATTGCGTTAATCGACTAATTAAATAATTAGCTACCAGTGCGAGCAACAACGTAGGTTTCTTCCCACGAAACGATACTCTACATTTTCACGAAGCGTGCTCCTTGGGAAGAACTGTATCATTCTAGTTAACTGAACTACAAGTCCGATGCAAAAACTCACTCTCATGGAACTTGACCTGCGCAGTGTTCCTTGGAAATATAAATTAATCAACAGCTAGCTCGTAGCATCTCTAACAAATTTTTCCATAGCATTAAAAAACCATTTAATCTGACCTAACGGAACGATTCTCTTTATAAGAATACTTCTTTTCTTTTCTGGGGATCTTCCAAATGAAATTAAACTAGATATTTGGTATAGAATCTTAATATGACGCACAGACGACACGAAGTGGCCCTTTTCATAAATTCTCACGACCTCCTGACGCTTCTTGGGACTCACAGATGCACAAATCCGACAGTTCAAGGACCTAGCGAACTCACCCTCTTCGACACCCCCGTCTCCGTAAGCAAACGATCTCCCATCGAGGTTCCTGAACCGTCTGAGCAACGTCCTGTTGGCTCCAGACTCAACGTCCTGTACCCTCGTCGCGCACGATGACGATCTCTCATCTTTTCTGCAATCGATCGGAACCGACAACCCAGACTGAACATCCTGACGGGCCGCGACCGAGCTACAAACGGCTAAAAAACCGCACAGCGACAGAACGAGGAACATACGTCGACGCATGTTCGACGCGTACTGGCCGCCCCAACGGACAACCATTTTTATAGGGGCAGCAGCAATTAGCGGTTACGCCATACAGAGCGTGAATAACAACACGCGGAATCGGTCTCGCGGAGTGTTTTACCGATCCGTCATACCGGGCAACGAGCAAAGCTTAAACGCAGCTACGCGTTCAAAGGCGATATGGGCACGTCGGATAATGTTTACAACTAGCCATGGTTGAATCATGGTCCACGGTCGCTTGTAATTGCTTTGCGCGTCCAGTGTGAAACGTAAACTCAGCTGCAACCGAAACGAAAAGGAATTGGGGCTAATGGCCAGAGTTCGAGGAAAGAAGCACGTCAACCCCTCGACCGTACGATTCAATTACAAGCGTATTTCTAATCGTCCACCATTCAATTTTGCTTAAATTTGGTCGCAGAGGGTGTAGATATGGCAAAGATTGTACTATTGTTTATAATATGAAGCGTGGGATAATTGAAAAACCATATAAACGCACCAGCGAATTCGAAACAACATGGCGGACACTTTGAAGCCGATGCGCAGATGTTCTGCGCAACCGAGATGGAGGAATATGAATATTTTCCACATAAAAATGTAATATTGACTACGATCGATCGAATAAATTTTATTTTCGTGTTATGTTTATTAACATGGAGGCAGTAGTTTCTGTATTTTGAAAAGAATTAGTAAAATCGAAACGTCGAACGATAGCTAAGTGGAATACGTGTCTCATCGAGCAAAACATTGTCGCTAAACTGAGATGTCACGATCCCAGTTCTGCCTCCCCCGCTTCTCACACGCTGGGAAGTAGAGAATAAGGTCTAAAAGGCTGCATCTTTTTCCGTGGTGGCTTTGTGTGCCACTGGGCCGATCGAGCATCCTCGATTCACTGCTCAGAAATATGCAGAACCATAGTCTACGAAGGTCCGCGGACCACGACTCGAATCTGCGAAAAGAAGAAAATGCACGAAGTTCCTGTACCCTGATAATTAAGTTCCTCTTCGTGATCACGAATAAGCTTGTGCTTTCACTGTGTTCCAAAGACATTTACTATCATTCGAAGCTGTAAATGAACGATAAATGAATGATAAATGAGGTGACTCGAATGCACAGGTCTGTATAATGTTGCAATGCCAAGTATGTTCCTGCCATCGACCCCGTGGGTTGTTCGTGTATTTCATGCTATAATTTGAAGAAGTTTTGCGTTCTCAGACACGAAGGCCCGACATGACAGTTAAATTGTTAAATGATCGCCACGGGGAACACGCCGCGAAGAGTCGAGGATTTAGTGTACGAGTCGTGGAACATCCCCGCGGGGGAAATCGAACGGAAGCTCGACGGGCATATAAATTCGTGCCTTCGGAGCCGTGGTAATGGGCTAGGTCAGAAGCTAACGCGCTGACACGGCCACCTGTTGCGGATCAGATGACCTGAATCTAATAAAAGAGAGAAACGAGACGGCACCTTATCGATAAAGCATCTCCGCGGAGGATCGCGCGCTTTCTGTCTGGTTAACCCATTGCCTCACTTCCATTGCTCCAGAAACCGTTTGTCCCTGGTCATTCACGTTTCCGTGCTGCGTAAAATTGCGTAAGGGGAAACACTTTTCCGTGGGATCGTTAGACTGCACGGCACGCGCGTGTAAAGTCAAGCAAAGTGGCAATACGAACGAGCCGAACACCGAAAGTGTCACTTTAGATCGGTTGATAAATGAAAGGCGACGCTTGTCGCTGCCGGTTCCCACATTTGCTTCCGAGATTGAATTTGCGCTCGAATCCCTGAGATAGAATAATTATGAAATCGAACGTGCTCGAGAACGTTGTATTTAATATCGAAATTAAAAAGTAAACGCTGTGGGAGTGGAAGGGTCCCGTCGAAATGTTTGGGAATTTTTCTGACGATGTGGGACGCTGTATATAAATTGTTAGTAGAGTTATAGTAAAAGTACACAGATTGAACAATACTTCTGCCAATTTTTATGAAGCAGTGACAATTTGAGTAGAAAATATAAGCCAGACCCAGGTTATTGGAATTTTCTGGTCGAATGACGGGGTGGATTTCTCTGGCCCCAATGGCCAGAATTGAACGAAATCATCGTTATTACAAACTTGCTGAATTTCACTGTTGCTGCGCTCAGAGATTTTTGAAATACTCCTTTCAAAAGATGGAAAATGTAAATTTGGAAAGCCAGCTTGAGATGTTTCAACGAGGATGCGTTTAAGGATTCAGGATGGGTACGAATTTCTCTGGAAACGACGCGTGTCAAGCCTAGTTGAAGTAAAATTTGATCCCCGTGGAGGAGCTTGGAACGTAGTCTGTGGGAATATTCATGTCCCGGTAATAATGCATCCTCTTAGTAATTCTTGGTGTCCTCGTTTGGGAGCAAAACAACTCTCTTTTGTAACAAAGGAGAACGTGTCCTCGAACGTGGCTACGTGATCTCACCGAATACAAATAAATTTGCATGTGAATACGTAACTCTTCGAGAGGTTGACTTCTTTGTATCCTAAACAAAAATTCAGGAGCCAATAAGTCGAGCGACGTACCAATAAATCAGTTGCACTTCGAAACGACGGGGAGAAAATCGAATTGGGGTGCACGAAATCCAATTTGATCTAAATCGAGTTTGAGTTCAATTCGAATTCAGTTTAGCCGCCCGACGCGTGGACAATATTTTGGCTAATGCAAATTATTGAACTTGACACACTTTCGATCCGTAGAATGTGACATGTTTTAAAGCGTACGGTCGAGTATGTCGGGTGTGTATACACGAGAATCTAGTATTACTTTTTGCGATAAAATAGCGGGAATTCGATATACAGATTTCCATATGTTTTACGCGGCAATATATTAACTCCGTGCCTCGAGCTACTAAATTCCTTCGAGATTCGACGGGTCGATGACACGGTTTAACAAAATTTACCAAACTCCCGAAACCTTGAACGAACGAAGAAACGTTCTCCAAATGAAAAGAAGTCAACGCATCGTGCAATAAAAAATACTTCCTCTTATGGCATATAATTCAATTTTCAGGCTTATTAATTTAATGAGAAATATATTGTACATCTTATTTTAAATTCGAGCAGAGACGGTTTGAGATTTAAGTTCGAAACAGAATTTCTAGGTCGATTCCAGCTACGGGAATTTAAATCGTTGGTGTCGTCCATCTTCTTGGCGAACGCGCGGCGCGCTCGCTTCGGTTTCCGACGCAATTCGCGCGTATTGTTCGCGATGGAATCCGTTTCTCGCGGCTGTCGTGCGAATTCACTCCGCGTGCCGCGAATGTGGCACGCGCGTTAACACTGTTCGGCTCCATTCGCGGCTTGGGCCTTCTGCTATGGGATAATCGCGAAGTAGGTAAGCCAGCGTGGAGGATGCACCGTCGTCGCATTAGAGATGCGTTAACCTCGATCGAGCGTGGCAGCGTTACGCGCACGGCAACTGTGAGATCGGCACAGTGACACATACTATTCGACGATTCCATTTCGAGAAATATGCGCCAGCTTTCTGCCTTTTGGCGCTCAACACTGAGGGAAAATCGTAACCTCGTTAATTCGTCAACCGCGACGAATTTTTTGACTCAGATTTCCTCCTGTTCCAACCATTTCTTCGAGAAACCATACGCGAATCGACACTTTCCAGACAGGCTCGATTCTATCATATTTTCTTCATCTTATCCCTTTGCAATAGAAAAATGCTTCATGAACAAGTTGAGAAAACATAAAAAATAATTCAGCTGCAAGGTCGGGAGATTTGGAGAGTGTATTAAAAACGAAATTTGTCTGAATTTTATTTAAATCAAAAGTAAAACGAAGGAGCCATTTTCCCCGAATAAAATTATTCGAATTCTTCGATCCTTCCTACAGAATTTGATGCATATCATTTTTAATCACAAAGAATATGGTAAAATATAATTTTTGTCAAATTTCTCTATAAAATGGCGTTCAGACGTTGCGGAGTTTCGTAATCGATGCTCGAGGAAGGCGTTTGTTTTCATCGGTGGAACGCCCGGCGAGCTTCGGAAAAAGAAGAAGTCAGCGAGTGAAGGTGAGGCGCTTCAGCACGGTGCAACGGGTAAAAAAAGGTGCAATCGATGCAGCTCGCTTTTAGAGAGGCGTAATCCTCTCGCTATTACGTGTTCCATTGCCGAGTGACCGCGTCTCGAAATCGCTCGAGCAGCCAACGAGAATTCGATGCCACGAGTACCGCGATCCTCTCGATCGACGTCGACTGAGACGGAAGTCGAACTCACCTGGTCACGGTACCGGGGTCTCCTGCCTCGAAAACACGACGAAACTAGCCAATTTCACCGTAACCCGTGGCTGAAAACTGAATCGAATCGATCCACGGTCCGACGACGGACAGCAATCGACTTTAGCACAGAAAACAACGCGACCGAATCAATAGCATCGAAGAAATTGCTTCGAGCCAAAAACATGGAACTTTAGAGGTCTATATTTATTATTAAATTGCATTTCAAAAAACATTTCGTCATTGAAAATTTTCCTATGAGCACAGGCACATGTATAGAAATTAAATAATAATTCGCTTCAATGTATTTTATATACGTACTTACGTACATTCTTAAAAAAGAGGTAATACTATGAGTTGGTGAAGTTTGAAATGTTCAGACCCGTAATTATGCGGAACTAACGGGACGATGAAGGATTAAAGTCCCAAATCTCGAATGATGAGGAGGCAGATAGTGGTCAGAAACTTGTAGGAAGTATACCAAGAATGCTCAGTTTGAATGTCTTACTGTGTGATCACAATCGAACGGCAACGGTCACTCTCGACGGCGAACGCAAGTAAGAATGCCAGTTATTATCGCCTCGAGAGGCTTTTATACTTTACGTGCCGCTTCCAGTTTGTTAATTACGTTCCTGGGACGTCGTTTGACATCGATATTGTTAACATCCTGCTGGCACGTACTCTAAAACATCGATATATCGTCTGATACATCGATGTCAATATCGTCGACGTGTTGATATGACCTTTTGCCCTTGACAGCGTCCATATTTACCGAGCACGTCCTTCGATGCCAATACTGTCAACAACCTGTTGATGTCATCTAAAATTAAATTTTAAATTACTAGTGTTGTCTTAGTTTGTTTAATTTTTTTCCTTCGAGAGTTCACGGGACCAATTACGGGAAAAGGGGGACAAGTGCCTCTCGGTAAAAATTCCACGTAATTACTTATCGCGCATCTGCTAAGCTCTAGCTTAGTAAGACGATAAAAGAATAACTGTCACGTGTTTCTACGAATTTGATGCGATCTTTCCGCAGGAACTAAAAAAGGTATATAAGCTTTGTCAGAATGAATCTTTAGAATGGTCAACGGCTGACACACTTATCTCTGATAATTTTAATTTTTTCGTGGACTTTCAAATTTTTGCTGCACGCTTCGAATCAAACTTTCATATTTGCTGATACAGCGAAAATAGGGTAGCGGTTTTCTCGGTTATGCAAATTTTGATTAAGACGGACATATCACAGGAGACGTCTTCTTAACGTGTAACGAGGATTCAATGAAGTATGACTTGCGCAAAACGATGTGCATTACCGGGCACGTACGATGCATACCACGGTAACGTATTAAGTAATGGATTATCTGATACGAGAAATTATTAACGTTTCTTGAATAATTTTTCTTCCACATTTTCTGTAAAAGTTGCACCGAAATTCGAGATGTGAAAGAAGACATAGAAGTTTGATTTAAGCCGCGTGCACGTGGAAAATGACCGGAGGCAAAGTTCGACTCCAATATACCACGAAGAGATATTGCATTCCTCGCTCATTATTGTCACCGTTTGAAATTCCCTGAAAGTGTGTTTATACGCGAAGCATCGGTAGACAGCAGATTAGAAAACTGTTTGTAGCATACGGTATTTATAAACTCGTGAAATTTTGTGTACATATTCCATAAACGTCCATTTATGGTCGAGAATTTACTTTAACCCTTTTGCAAATGGTTAAAAATAATTTACACACTTTGCTCGTAAAAGTAAAAGTTCGGATTGCAATTTCCATACTTTGCAAAGCTTCCACGGAAGTTCTAATTCGAATAATACCTCGTCGCTAATAGCGACAATAAAATATAAATATTTAAATACCATTACTCGGGGTAGCAATACTCGACTACTGAATTCGCTTGGCCGGTTCGTGCGTCGCGTCCGTCGATTTAACGCGAGATCGATTTTCACTCGATCAAATCTAGATCGTTGCGGAGAGGTGGATGCAGACTCGCGAGAGTAAGGACGCGGTCGGTCCGCGACCTAAAACTACTTCCAAGCGTCACGACGCTAGTCGAAAGGTCAACGGGGTCTCGGTGCCAGGCGCGCCAATGGGACGCTTCCTGGTGCATCGTATCGCCGCCCCCCGCCGCACGTCGGGCGAATCGCAACAGGCGTCAGCGAAACTTAACGACCGACCACGGGCGTTCTACCTTCTTGAGTGGGTCTCTGTGTCAGGATGGGTCACATGCTCTATGAGAGAATCCAGCGTTGTCTTACGGTCAACGGAGAGAAAGAGGGGAATCGAAGGGGGGACGCGAGGGAACCGAGCGTGGAGAAGGTTTGTTTGGATGGTTTCAATGGAGCCCGAGGGGGACGACGCGGTTTCGCGTGTGGACGCATCCTCGGTGTTGGTACGGCTGCTGACGTGGGAGACGGTTCACCCCCGTTCCGCGAAGGACGACGACTCGATGGTATATATCAGCCCGGACGCCTCGTCCTGGCGCCAGTTCTCTCTAGTCGAGGATCCTAAAGCCCGCGTAAGTGCTCTGACCTCGTCACGGTGAACGTCTACGTTCCGAGTGTCCAGTTTCGACGTTGCCCACGAGCCCCCCGGGTCAGGATTAATACCGTGCCACCCCATCGACGACCCAGGACGACGATAATGGATCTGTCCAAGTGTGTGTTAGTCTTGTTGGCGTGCAGTGCGGTCGGCTACGCGTCCACGACGACGAAGGACGACGACAGCCTAGTGGACAGGGGTTTCAGGGCTATGTACCGGGTGTACGAGGAGTGCCAGCACCGGAACATGGCCGTGTCGCCTTGCCTGAAGAAGAAGGCGATCGCGTTCTTCGAGAGACTGGGCAGGATGCGCGTTCTACCGTTGTCGGAGAACTTCGAACTGATCAGAACCACCGACGAGGCGCCCAAGGGCTCCACCGCGGACCTGGAGGCCAGCCTCGGCCGGAACGCGGGCAGCAAGGACGAGATCCTCACCGAGATCCTGCTGGATCGCGTCGCCTCGCTGCTCAACAGCTTCAACATGCAGATACGTCTGCCGAAAACGAGCCCCGGCGAGCTCAAGAGAGGCATGGAAGAGGGACGCGGCAAGATGAAGAAGATGATGGGCATGATGATGATGGGAATGGCCATGAAGATGGCGGCCCTGGTGCCCCTTGCCCTGGGCGTTCTGTTCCTCCTGGCTGGAAAGGCTCTGATCATCAGCAAGATCGCTCTGGTGCTGTCGCTGATCATCGGGCTCAAGAAGCTCCTCAGCCAGAAGCAGAGCCACGACCATGGCGGCTGGCAGCAGGGCGGAGGGGGCTGGGACAGGAGCCTGAAGACCGTTCTTGGGTCCACGGACTCCACCACGACGGAGGCCACGCAAAAGTACGCGCACAGCCTGGCCTACTCGGCGCGACATCATCACTGATGTCCGGATCCGGAGTCGGCGGTTCAGAGTCTTCGGGTTCCGTTTGCTAACCGGCGTCTGCAAAATGGCGTTACGCTGCCCATCGACCGTTCAGCGAGTCGATCAATTGGACTTGTTATTACGAAGTGACCACGCGCGTATTCTCGTGGCTAAGCAGGGCTGTTCTTTCGTCGTAGTAGAATGTTTTGGTACATAGTACATATAGCTCTCGAGAGTCTGACGAGTCAAGGGGGTATTCTACTTTTGGTAAACGTACTTGCAAAGGTTTGAGGATGGTCGAACTTTGAACACGTTTTTATTATAACTGTGCTTTCAAAACCGGTGTCCACGATGTTTAAGAATCTACTCGACAGGCTATTTTATAAATTTAAACGCACAGTAGATAAGATTTTTATTTAAAATAAAATAGATGAATATGGAGAATTGTTTCTTTTCTTTCGTACTAGTATCTATCATAGCCAAACTCGGCGGATTTCTCGTTTCAAATAAACAAAGTAGTAACAATCCTGGACACCGTCAATTGTAACATTTCGTGGCTCCAGTGAATTTGACTGCGAAAGATGTCATAGTTTCTTTGCAAAAAATAAAATTAAAATTCACGCTAGAATACCCTCTTAAAGGAACTGATTTTCAACTCTATTTCTGGACTATGTACGACCTCTCAGGTTCGTTCTCTCGAGATCCTAGTTGTATCTGCAATTAAGGGCACTCCAGGGAGATGGGAAGAACAGTCTCGAGGAAAGTTGCATATCGTACGGGGCCAAATATTATAATCAGACTTCGTAAAATCTTTAATCGGACAAGAATTACCCGGGACTGATTTCTCCAGATCTCAAGAGTACTTTCGGTAGACAATCCTCTGTTGCATGGCATTGTTTGTCTACCAAAAAATTATTTATTCATTCTAGAGATATAATTCATACTCAATTAGATATTCAAGAAAATGCAACAGAGGGTCGGAGCACACTCGTAATTAATCTACGATCCATCTTATAATCTCCCATTGGAACGCTTCGATTCAAATTTTCCATTCACGGAATAATAATAATAACAACAACAATGGCGTCTTTATTACGCGTGTATATATGAAAAAATACAATTGAAAGATAGTATCTACAAGTTGCTGGCGAGACCTACTCTAAAAGTTACGATATCAGAGCATATTCTAAGGAGGAAATGAAACTGTAGGATCGCAAAGGGAAAAGATAGCTTTGCCTTGTTCCGAAAATCGCGACTCTAGCAAAGAAACTGGACGAACAGGAATCGATACGCGATTGCTTTCTCAATGAGCGAACGAGCCGACTGCGTGCAACTGGAGCAATTAGAACGCGTACGTTGTAAACGCGAGTACGGTTGTGCCACACGAGAGATGTGGCACCGCGTCCGAGCTGTCACTCATTTTGAATCCCCAGCCGACCCGGGAAGCAATTCGACGCGATACACGACGATTTCCAGGCACGCGAGTTTCTAACGGAACCTTAAAGAAGACGCGTCTTTTTATGCGTGCGAGAATCGCTTATAAAGCAATCGACCAGGAGAACCTGCCTGATCTAGAAGGGACGCTAGAGAAGGTCAGAGTCGAAATCCGCAATCGTTTCTCGACACCGTTTCCCATATTTATAACCTAGATGCGTAAGCTCCAAATTGAAAACTATTTATTCGCCGAACGCCATTTATTTATTGTCGCGAACTTAACGCTAGGGGGATGTACTTCGCCCCTGATTTCAACATGGTCGCCCGAATCGGACGAGGACCGATCGAATATGGAGGCACCCGGGGGATCGAACAGACAGAACGGTTCAATGATTCGTTCGTGATCGTTGCTCTTTCTCTTTTTTTTTTCTGCGGCAACGATACGGTTATACATTCTTGCCCATAAAAAAAAAAAATAATTGTTTTCTCGATGATCGTCGGTTACGCGAGCCGTTTACGAAATAAAGTGGTATGTCAGTCTCACTTTGGAGGAGTTCGTCGTCGCGGAGGTTATCGAGAAACGTTCCGTCAGCGTACTTTCAGCCCGAGGACCGCGGCGAACAGGGCGAAGAAGAATCCCGCGAGCAAGGCCGTGGCCTTCAGGAGGATCAGACCACCCAACATCGTCGGGATCAGGGCGAAGAACTTCATCTTGTACGCCATCAGCAGCGCCATCATCGTCCGGTCCATTCTTCGTTTCTTTCGCCGAGGACGGTCTGCAACCAACCGGGGACGACGTTGATTATTCTCTGTTCTGTGTTTTTATCCGATTAATAAATGTATCGATCCAATTGTACTGGGTTCTCATTTTCTATGGCCACTTAGTTAAGAAACACTGAATGTGCAGAGTAGAACAGTAGTTCTTGTAAATCAAATTGAATTGCAATGTTTACAAAATGGAAGACTATTTAAAATTAGTTTCAGTATATTTTTAATCATTAGAATTCCTCAAACCAGCCAGAATTTATGATTTTTTAAATATAAATTTAAATATGTGGCACCATTATTCAAAATTAAATAGCACCGAAATTGCTCAGATAAGAGAGTTGAACATCCACATAACGAAGAATTCAAATTTACTTTAAGTTACGTCAGTATTAGGAGAACTTAAATTTCAATATTACGATAAGAAGTAGAGTATTATAGATACTTACCAAGAAAAGGGGTAATCTAGGGCACTGAAAGTTTACCAGCAAATAGAAACAACTCAATGAAGTGCACCAACATATATTAGGATCCCATTAAAAATTTGTAACTTTATAAAATTGATAAATATTGCACTTTGAAATTAAAACTTGTATTTGGCTCTGCTATTTGAATTTTTTAAATGTTCCAAAAGTTTTCGTCTCTGAAGTCGCAATGAAAAGAAAATATTTAAGGGATCAAGCATCCTTCTATGAAAGATAATTTTATTTTCTGACTTCGAGCCATATTACCTCGACTCTGCAGGTAGTTCTTCGAGAGAGGCAGGACATTGTTCCTCGTTAAGGTCTTGACGAGCTTCGTTTTGTCGTTCGCGTGCAAAAGAATCGCATTCAGAGGCACGACTTTGGTCTGAGCCTCCCTGAGAGCCTTCTTCACGACGTGCCCCTTGTGGACGTGCTTCTCGTCCAGCTTCGATGGCTCCAGCACGCGGACCAGGCAGTTCAGGGTCAGCAGAATCGCAACTAGATTCACTCTCGATCTCATCTTCTCTTCGGATGGGTCGATTCTGCCGATTAGTCGCGACTCCCAATCACATCTTCAAGGCGCCCTCGTGTTCTCCAGGTCACGAAGCACCCTTCAGACACCACCAGCCCTAAACTCATCCGCCTCCCCGAATGCTTCCAACTACACCAAGATCGGGCGTCTCGATGATGGAGGCAGCATGACTTTTCCTAGTTCTGCTCCAGGTGGTTAAAGTCTGACGAAATCTCTGAAAAGGGATATTTCGTTGAAAGGTGACAGATTCAAAGAAGAAGCAACTCTGAAGAAATATAATTCCAAGGTACATAGCATGTTCGTTCGAACGGAACTTTTAAAAAACAAGTCTTCAGGCTACAGGTCTTCAGCAAAAACGTTAGAAGGCCTTGCCTGGGGCGGAAGTTACGTCAGCCAGACAAGAACTACAAGAAGCTAGATTCCAGCTCGACAGAATATTAAGAAGACAAATTTAGAGACTAGCTGCGAACAACTATGATTTAACTTCATTAATTATACTAGATACCGGTTTTCGAGGAAAGTGTTGCAAAGTTATCTTCTTCAGAGTTCGAATAATACAAAATTGGGGCGTGTCGTGCGGTCAAAGTCTATTTACGATCCATGTGCTCTCGTCACGGATCATTGAGCCAATCACTGAGCTCGTGTCATGGGTCACTGGTCTGTTCTCCGGTCGAACGATTGACAAAAGGAATTTTCCACGAAGCTAACACCCAGAAGCTTCAGCCAACACCACGACAGGTCACCCCAGATACCAGAAAAATGAATTTAAGGTTGTCCAAGTTTCAGACATTAGGTGAACGAGTGGAAAAATCAAAAACTGATGCTCCGAACGACCCTCCTAACCCTGAGCTCCCCACCATCGGAAAGAGTCCCAAAGATTCTGAGGAAACGAAACTTACGATGCAACGTAGGCTCCGTGAATCGGTCCAGGCAGCTGGTTTCCCCAGTTCCAAACCGATTGCACAAGGTTCTTCCGACAAATGCAAATGACGAATGGCCTGGCGTCGGAACGGACTGAACAGCGACCGACCGCGGACTAACTGACGCGCTCTTGATTCCTCAACGACGATCCGAGGGGGGCTGGTCGGGGTACCACGCCGGGCACGCTTCAGTTACCAGGAAGATCGACAGTCCGTGAAAAATGAGCACCGCGCGACGAGCCGGCAATATATGCGTGCGGTAGGTAAGTACTATGATCCAAATTATTGCCAGCGATATATGTGTCAGGTTATATTGTCGAACGGTACAACTCGTCGACGTGCACTCCCCTGCACTGCCCGCGTAGGAGGGAAGAAACACGGGGTTTCTGGTAGGGGGGCCAACGAAGTACTAGCGGGGTGCAGGGGGGAGGATAATAACCTGGTAGACGCCCGACGTCGACCACTTTGATTTTTGAGTTACGCTGCACAGACAACAGGGACGTCCTCGAGACCCCTGATCGATCGACGACCACTCGAATCTGGGTGGCTCGATCAAGAAAAAACACGATTACGGTTTTCCAACTAACAATCCTGATAATAAACGACTTGGAGCTACTGGCGCCAAAACTGAAATTAAAATGAGGGAGGACCTACGGAATTATTTTCAGTTATTAGTTAGTCTTTATTTGTAAACTTTTTACAAACTACGAGTACAATGGTCCTTGGTCCACGTACTTGGGACCAATACGACCCAGGATGCCCTACAAAGAAGTTTATATCGTTGCCACGAGCGTGGAGCCCATTTTCAGGTTTAAACGGAGGAAAATTTCGGGGCACTCTTTGCCGAAACGTTTCTGTAAATTGTCCAGGAAATGACAAGTTGTCATCGAGCAATTGGTTCAGAGTAATTCTATTTTTTAGGGCACCGTTTTTGAAACTCGTTCGAATCGTAGTTTGTCCACTAAATCGTACAATTTTTGACTTCTCTTCGCATTTAATTTCGTCCCATTTTCTTTCCATCTGTAATAGTTCTCTGGCCCCGCCCAGTTGCGTGAGACGATAGAGATTGCAATTTCGTACACCATCTTAACCTTTGCGTGAAATACCTTGCGTTTATAGCGTTCGCGTTCTCGATTTTTCAGCCCCAATTTCAGCGATTCGACACCAAATCCTACAACTTTGAAAAGACCATTTGCACGCGATGCAATTTATCGCATCCTGGAGTACCCGCATTCTATGAAAACCGAATTTATCCACCGTTTCACGTAAATACCTTCGTAGAAAGTTTCCCCTTATCAATTAAAGAGCTAATGATAGACTTGCCAGTTCGTTTATTGTTCCCGACCTGCATCTCGACTTTCATCGTTGGGCGCGACGATAAAAAAAATTCTACATAAACCCATATGCTCGCACACAGCCGATAAATTACGCGCTAATTGTTTCTGGGCTGCGATATCGGACGAACCGTTAAACAATAATCGTCGACACGAGTGAACTGACAATGGCAACGATGAGAACATTCAGCGATAAAATTCAGGATTCGGAAACTCCAATTTATCGCTACTTCTTGCCGCGCAAAAATCTATCTCCGGCGTCGATGATCGATTTCTTTGAGTTTGCCTGAAAAACTGTTCTCCTCGAAGATGTTCTTGCGTGTTTTTCTTTTGAAAGTGGATTACAGTGGTCACAGTACTCGCAGAAAATCATCGAAGGTACGTTTAATCTCGAAATCCTTCGCATTTTGTTCGAGCACGTTGGCCAAAAGTAGCAAAATTGCCGCCATTTGCGCAAAGAGGGTTACCGTACCGAGGTATCCTTTTTCGAAATCATTATCCAAGAGAATGACGCTCGCATTAGTTGAATCCCTCGCGTATGAAGCGAGGAACCCAGATGTCGGCGTTTCATTCATGTGCCAGCTGAAAGAGCATTGTGTCGCTTCTCGAGGAAGCTAAGGATAATTTCGCTGCTTCCTGCGCGAACGCGGCCCGCGAATAATTGCGCGAGAAACGGGACAGGGGGCAGAGGCGGAAAACCAGGGTAACGAAAAAGTCTAGGCATGTTGAATCACTATCATCATTACCGGGGGCCCCTTTCGTCCTTTGTTTCGGGGCTCGTTGCATGTCGCTCTAATGATCGATGCTGCTATTTCATTTTCAAAGAAAGATAACGGTCTTAACCGTCCAAATGGTAAGAAGCACGAGAACGCTTCCGCGAAAATCATCGAAAGCACGAGCGCCGATAGATCGCTTCGATCGTGGGAACTGTCCACTTAAAAACAATATCCGTTCGATCAAAATTACTAATGACCCTCGAAACGAATCCCTCTGGCGATAAAAATTGTATCAAAATCAATTTTGAGGAGATGATTGACTATATTTATATATTTTTAATGGAGAAAATAATTTCTTGAATTTCTCAGACGGAAATAAAATTAAAAAGGATGAGTATAGGACTTTTAAGGTTCGAGTAAAAAATGTACCCAGTTATAATACGCTGTTCTCAAAATTATTAATTAAAGTATACACGAATTAATTATTCTGTCAAATTTTGTTGAAATCGATAAGGCTCTCGTCCGAGATTTCTCTCGTGAAACGCGTCGGACGTTAAACGTTTCGCGATTTATGACCGTGAACATGGCGATTCCGTTGGCTGCAATTTATTCAGTGATTTAGCACGACGTGGTGGGAGGTTTATGAACTCTCCTCGTTACGCAACCGCAATTAGGAGAACGTTTCGCGGATGTTAATTGAAACACGCGCTCGTTCGACGCGAAGACGAACCGGGCAATTAGCGACAATGGCGTCCGACGACACCGAGATTCTCCGTTTTTCTCGCGACGTTCTCGGTAACGGGACAGAGAAACGCCCTTTTTTATTTGCGCGACGATTTACTTGTTACGAAGAAAGAACTCCAGAAAGAGTCTGGCAATTCTTTCTCACGAAACCGACGCGTTAGGACTGCTCTAGCGACGGCTATAAGCTGATAAAAGTTCCGTCATTTTGAGCAATCTTAACTCCTAACCCCTTATCTTTATATGTATTTTATAAGTAGACATGTTATACGCTGCAAAATTCAAAATAAATATTTTGAGAAAAAGGCTTGATATCAAATATTATCCATGAGTTCTATTGGAGAGAAAAGGGCTAGAATCTACAAAAATACAATGGATACTGGTACCAAACATAAAAATAGAATACTTGTCGAATTTTTACGGCTACTCAATTTCTGCAAAACTCTGTCCAGAAGTGTGCAAACCCCGAATCATAAATTCCAAGTTGCTATGAAAATTCCACGATTGATCCCTCGATAAAGCGTTTCTAGACTCGAAGGCCCCCCCATACGATGGGAGGCACTGTCAGTTTCGCGTTTCGAGGATTATCAGAACGTTTCCTTTCCCTCTCCGTGTCTCCCTCGCAATGGACGTCGGCGTAACCAGGCCAGAGATGTACTTGGCTGCTGCTAACTCATCGGGCCGATTACTCGAGTGTGAAACGAACCTGGATGGTCGATCGACGCTCACAGCTACGTTTCAACGGGCACGTTAGTCCTCCATCCTCCTGGAAATATTCGGGGGGCTGCTCTGTCCCGCTAACGACGTCGTCCAATGATCGGAGAGAACAGTGGTCGGAGGCGGACGGGGGATGGTAGACGAATCCTTCGTCACGCGTCAGTACCAACATAGATGGTCTCCTTCCCTGGACTTTTCGCGATCCAGCTATATAAACTAATGGTCCGGCCTAGGACGAATGTCAGTTGACATTTCAATTTGCTAGCAAGCTCGTCCGTCGTCCGTTGCGATCGGTCCCCGTGTCATTCCAGCTCGGGCCAATCCCCGTGCTACCTCGGAACACTCCTCGTCAAGCTGCCGCGAGGTGCACTTCCTCCACAGTACGTGACGTTTCATCCGCTCGTGACTCGTGAAAATTAACATCATCCCTAGGTCGAGCCTCTTTGGGAATCGAAGTGTACCCGACGTTTCGTCGATTTGTTGGTTGATATTCTGGCGCGACGCTGGTGAACAGCGCCGGATGCGACAGGAGGATGCTGCTGCTGTACCCGCTGCTCTTCCTGCCTCTGCTGACGGCCACGGAGACCACACGGCCCACCGTGATGCAGGATGTACGGAGGCTGCAGCCGGATGACACCAGGAGCCCCGCGGAGTGGATCGGTGACGGGATCCTGAACGTCGTCGACACTGTCCTCCCTGCATCGTCCTCCGTGGAAGGTACATGAAAATTAACTGTAAACCCTAGATAACGCTAACACTGAAACCTGAACGCCGTCCAGGCCTGGAAAGAAATTTAGTTGAACTGGTAAACTCCAGTAATTGGGACGTGGTCCCAAGATAATCTTTGTGAGATGAACTCCTGTGATTCTGAGATTAAAGGGGACTTGATACAATTTTTAATTTGTTCGAATGGAGTAGTAAAGGAATTTTAATTTTGTAGATAATTGAGTTGAATAGAACTTAATCTCTATTTTGATATCGAATGCAAATATTATTATTATTAACGAATAATTCTGTTAACTTGAAACAATTTTAAGTTTGATCAAATCATCGTACGATACTGTGGATAATAAATTTGTAGCGTTGCAATTGAAAGTGCAAATAATTGCAATACACTAAAAATTGCATTTTACGATTCCTAACGATGAACAAAATGAATAAATCGAAACTAAAGTCGTCGATTTAATAGATCGAAATAAATTATCACACGTGTTCTGGATCCAATTTACCATAAAATAATTTTCTATTTGAGTCCAGAACTGGTCCTTCCAAGAGATCCAATGTCCGTATTCACGTTCGAATCATGAATTATAGTTCTTTAGACGTTGACAGGAAGTCCTAGAAAGCGTGTGAACTTGGTTCGGTGTCGACTGATCAGACCTCCATCGGTAAAATCGTAGGAAATTACGCTGAAACGTTAATCTCACGATGCTAAAGGAGCGTGTAATTACAGAGGCTTGTTACCGGCATCTAATGCATGTCGTAATGCGATACCTGATCGTTCACGGCACGTGGCCGGCCGACACAAAAACCATAAGTGCTTTCCACTCCAGTTCACTCTATTACCTTGTTCATTTTGCTAACATGGCTAATAAGGAGCGCCTCCTTTTTGTTCCTGGTGTTCCCGTATCACCTGATGCATCGCCGAACCCATAAAAACGTAACGCAGTTTTATTGCATTCTGTCTAATTAACAGGACAAGTCTCGCTCCAAAAAGCTCTCCTCTCGGTTGGATAAATAAACGTTCGATTTAATGTCCTTTTAATTTTCCTTAACCTCGAACCTGATCCCCGTTTTTCATTTACAGTAAACAGTAACAGGATGTTTCGCAACTTTCTACATCCGGACGAATTCCTCAAAGAATTCTAATATTTAAATTATGGTTTTGTTGCAGCTCGCAAGAAGAAGAAGCTGAAGTTGAACAAATACCTGATACCTTTGATCGTCGGTTTCATGCTGATCAAGTCGATCCTTCTGCCCATCGCGCTGAAAACCCTAGCCATTCTGAGTGGCAAGGCAGTGGTTCTCAGTTTGATGAGTCTGATCTTGGCAGCCATAGTCGGGCTCAAGAAGGTCGCCCAAAGTCACTCAGCGGGCGGCTACGACGTCGTGAACGTACCCTTGAGTAAATACAGGAGGCAGGACCTGTTCGAAATGGCGGACGAAACGGCGGAATCCGAACCTTATAAATATTATAGAGATCGACATAAAAGGAAGTAAACAATATCTGTAATTATTCAACGTCTTCTTCATTCTCCTTCCCTGTTCCTCCTGGTCTCAATTATCAAATAATTAAATTAAGGGTGGATAGTAGGTCTTCTGTAATCGTCTTATTAATTACCATGATTAATTCACTTTCTCCGCGGAACAAGTATTTTTAGCGCTCAGTATTGCCAAACATACTTGATCTCCGGAATTAGCGTGAAGAAGATTGGTCTCGGTTGTAGGAGCAAGCTAACCATTTGAACAAATAAAGGATCGTGCTTGGAAATCGTGCGCAAACAAAAGGCACTAAACCATAGAAAGTGTTTCCAATCAGCGGCACGCGATATCATCTTGCGCGAGTCGATTCCGTGGAAACTAGATCGAACAATGGGAATAACGATTGATCGACCCGAGTTTCCAACAGCGCGTTACGTAATCGTGCCGCGCGGAGAAAGTTCATCTCGAATACCGAGAATTACAAACCCACGTTTGGAACTCGTGTGGCCAGTGTCACGGACCTTGAACTTAGTCCACTATCGCCGAGCAAATGTACAAAATTCAAATATAAGAATCTTGGAATTCGTCTGTGATTATTTGGATTAAGGATGTTGTGAAGGCTTTGATACCTCGTTTGCATTCAGTACACCTTGCACCGTATGAGAACAGAACTATGTCGACCTAGAGTCGGGCCGTGGGAAGGCTGGATTCGGAAGAAAGTAATTCGGACGCAACAGTCGTCGGAATTGAATCATCGTCGAAAGCAGCGTGAATAGCCGCGAAAAAATTTCTCTGTTTAACGCTTGCCAATTAGCATTCTGGATCCCTGTTTCTCTTTCACTCTCTCCGTCTGCAAACGACCGTGCCCTTTTTCGGGATACTTTTTTCCCCCAAAACCGATCGGAAGTAAGAGACTTCGTGGACGGACGTAACCTAGAAAACTGTGAAAATCTTTCGTTTCGAGCACGGGTACCGTTAAGAGAAGAGACGACGTGGTTCCGCGAGACTGTTAAATATTTAAAGAGACCCGGAGCGAGACAATGGAGGCGGCTCTCGCGAATAAGGCAGTTGCCATTCCGAGGCGGTTGCCGTACGACAAATGTCCCCGATGAGATACGCATTGTTGTACATTGTTTGTCAGACGCGCGACATCCTCTGGGCTACTTATCGACGATCGTTAAATTACGCTCGCGTAAGACGTTTCAATTAAAACGGGGCACGTGTTTGGATACTGAAATGATTCGAGGTTAATTGGAATTACAGCAAATCCTCCGTTCTACGAATCACCGGGCGCCTGAATGCTCTATCATTCGAACGAGAAGGAGGACAGGTGAAAGTGATGATCGTAACAATTTTGGCGAAGTCACTGATACATTGTAGACCTAGAAAAATGTATAACAACACTTCTATCTACGGTTTTTCCTTGACTAAACAGGTTAAATTACAAATTCCAATGAGGATAAATAAATGAAATAATCGACAAACCCGGTAGATCACCCATTACTATATATGATCGTTTAGTGTCAATTTATATTTGATATAACGTTTTCTTATCCAAGTCCAAGGTAGAAGGAGACGAACGACAGTCGCGACGAACATTATTAACAAAAAGGGAAATTGTTCGAATGGGTGTTATATCAGAGAACCCGTCGATGATGTAACCCGTGATTTCAAACGACCAACGTGTCTGTGGGTCAAGGTGAACAGCTCGATGCACGTGGAGTTACCTGAATGCACCGACCTCGTCCGTGGAAGATTTTCGATTCTAACGACCGCGAGTATGGACGAGCGTGGAAGAAGTTCGAGGAGAATTACACACGTCCCCGAAGCCTCGAATATATTCAGCTGTCCAGAGTCCTCTTCTTCGTTAGACAATAACCATTATTAACGGCAGGCTGCGATAGCCGCGCTTTCAGGCTTTAAAATCGTTGGACAAACGTCGCTCGTTTACCTGTCCGCTCGTAAAATCGAACCATTCGCGGCGTACATCCACCAGAGATCTCGACAACGAGGTCTGGAATGCAAAGTATGAATGCCGAGGCATTTGATTTCTCGACGGTGACTAAACGCCAATGAATTTCGATTTAATTATTCGTCACGGCTTTTAAGTGATAAGGACTGGTTGGGGGGAATTTTTAAAGAAGGATATTCGTTAACGACGGATTTTTAATCGTAAATTCCGGAAGGATCGTCGAAAGTTACTGGATTCTATGACAAGTCTGAGTTAAATATAGCTTTGAAATATTTGTCGAGGAACAGGAAAGTTGTTTCGTACTGTGAATCGTCGAGACAAGGTAAGGGGTGACACTTTTTGGCCCATTGATCTGCTAGTATGGTTTGAATATAGATTAATAAGACTGTAGTAAAATTTCAGAGGAATATATCTGCTCGATTGACGCCTAATTCTGTCGCGAGCGCTGACAATAGCTGGAGATTTCAATGCCTGGAACGCGGGATCATGGGAGATTCCAATGACTGGGAGACTCCCGTGATCCCGCGTACCAGGCATTGGAATCTCCAGCTATTTCCAGTGTTCGCGACGATATTAAGCGTTAATTGAGCAGATATGTTCTTTAGAAATAAACGATGAAAAGGTTTTCGACCGCCAACACACAATTCTCTTCTGATTCCAGATAAATGCAAAATTTTATTACAATTTCCTTAAGCTATATTAACCCAGTGATCCACGCATTGAGCAAACAAAACGAGAAAAGTGTTCTCTACGAAATTTTCGAAAGAAACAATTAACAAACTCGAATCCCCGTGGAGTTACAATGACAATTGAATTTCTCTCTCGCTACAAAACAACTTTCTTCCAAATTTAATCCACGCATGCTGCATATAATGCCTCTCGAACGGCTTTTACGTCTCCCATAATCTCGCCCCCCTCTCATCCGTCGTCTTAAACGCATCAACCTCGAGATGCACCCAAGTCCCAGACGGTCCCTGACTAGGTTTCCCCTACTGACCCAAATCCCGGGGACCTACGCGGACCACCAATATCAGGGATCGCCTGGACTAAGGTCCGCCCAGCTACGACTGCTTCGTCGACTCACGAAAGAGTCGGTCGGCCGTTTGTTTAAAAAATTATCGAAGAAAGTTCCCGTCTGCTGGAAGGTGGGCAACGCGACGATGACGGCCGACGTGCCTTTGGCCGTTTGTCGTCGTCATACGCGTCATCGAACGGAGTGGGGATATTGGGGAGGGTCCCCTGCCGGTGCACACCTATAAAGATAGACGGTACGGAAGGTCAGATCACACTTTGCCCCGAAAATTTTCCGAGCAACGTACTCCTCAGTCTACGACGCGTGTTCTTTCGTTGTGCATGTTCCAGAGGATACTTGTGACCATGAACAAGTTGGTGATTTTGGGACTTCTGGCGGCGTCCGCGATGGCTGTGCCCGCACCAGAATCTAACCACGCGCAGACGAACAGGGATCTCGATTGCCTCGAGCAAGAGAACGCGCTGTTCAGCTGCATCTTCGTGAAGACCGTCAGCACCCTGGACAGGGCTGCCAGGTCCAGCGACATCGACATCGTCGACGGCGTGAAGTTCGTGCGGGATACGCCGAGTGAGTCTTACACAGGGATTTCGAATCGATACTTGCATGAAGACACTGTGATAAAAATATTTCATGGTTTATTTAACTCCATCGGGGTGACAGAGTTCCGAAATAATACTACACTTCAGAGATAGATTCTACACGAAAGAACAGTAACTGAAGTTCATATAAACGTGTGCCCTGTTCGACTCCATTTCCAAGTTATAACGAATCTCTTCTTGAGAATATTGTACCTATTTACCTTCAGAAAGAACACAGTTTTGAAAGTGTACCATTATTAATTACAGTGGAACGCAGCGGAAAAGATCTGAGGGCCGAGATGGACATAATGAACGAGCTGCCGAACGACACGTCCGATAGGGCAATGAAGCTGATCAGCATGCTGTACGAGTCCGCGATGTCCTTCATGAAGTCCCACAGCTTGAAGTTGAGCATGCCCGAGGACGGATCGATTTCCCGCGCTCTCAGCGAAGGTAACTTTCCATCTTCCGCTATGATAGAGCCTGGTTACGCAATGCTTCCCTCCCTTGGACGATACCTCGACTCATTCAACGTCACGGATCCGCGGCGTCATCGAATAAACCGAGCCTTTCACCTTCGTGATATCTGTACTCGTCGCCGGGGCAACCTGTTCCGGATAAACTCGTTCCTCGCGAGCCTACCGATTTTCCCTTTCCTTCTGAAACCCTGCTCCGCGATACGAAAAAGGACGCTGGTCCTGTTCCCTGACTCTAGGCGACTCGTGCAAATACACTTTCGAGTGTTTGCGTTCGAACGTTTGCGGAGATCTTGACATTCTTCGGACTTCGGTTCTCGCGAAGTACACTTCGGGAATTCTTCGTTGATTCGAGAAAATTTGGGGTCGGTACTCGGTAGATTTCTATCCCCCGTCGATGGTTCGAAGAGCGAAGTTGTGGAGGATGTTGGCCGGACGAAGTATCTTGGCCTAAACTTTCGTTCTAGGTTCACGGTTTTCAGAGATCCGTTAAAAGGATATTGACGAGAGACTTGAGCAAGAATGTGTCATTTACCCAGAATTAACCCCTTAACTTACAATTTATTGGTTACGAAAAATATAGATTTGTTTTGCAGAAATAACGAGTGAATGGCTTAAATTGTGAAACTTGACATGAAGAACTTGTGACGAGTCAGACACATTATTGTATGGCAGGGGATTAATTTCTTGGACAACATACCTATCTAAGCGACTTTCTGTTCTTGATCTTTGCAACGCGATCATAAACCTCTTTACTCTAAGCAGATTCAAATATTCATTCCCTAAGAACTTTCTAAACGTATGCGACTTAGCCTCTTCTTCGTCTGCCCATTGTCAAATACTCTGCAGTCGAACTCTGGATCTTTGCTTTCACAGTAACAAACATTCAAACGATAATGCAAAGTTCTGACTATTTAGGAGTCTGACGGAAGATTTATCCCGTTCCTGATCAACTCGAAACCCAAATTTACCATTTCAACGTCTGGTTTCCAGGTCGTGGTAAGATCAAGAAGATGATCCTGCCCCTGATCGCCGTCGTGGGACTGAAGCTGTTCGCTCTGGTGCCCATCCTCCTCGGAGGTTTAGGCCTCCTGGTGTTGAAGGCTCTGTTCGTTGGCAAAATGGCGCTCCTATTGGCCGGTGTGTTGGGTTTCCAAAAGCTGTTCGGCAGCAACGGCTCTGGACCCGGTGGTTTCTTCAGCAAGAACGCCCAACAGACACCCGCGTGGCTGGACAATACTGGCCAAGCCTGGTCAGCCGGTTCAGCAACCGGAGTTCAATCTCAAGGCTACTATAAGCGAAGCTTCGACATCGACGATGGAAAGGACGCCCAGTCGATGGCGTACTCTGCTCAGGTACCGAGCATGAACGAAGCCCATTAGGGCAATATCGACTCTACGATCGGTGGCAACAGCATCCACCATGGAGGCCATAATTCGAGCCTGGCTCGTCCCTCAGGACTGCTGGGCTCACAATCGACTGCTAGATTAGTAATTTATACAACACGTAAATTATTTGGTACTCTTCTGTATTAATAAATTATTTCTATTAAGAATGTCTTGGATTTTTCCTTCTCCACGCAATATCCGTAATATACAATAGAGTGAAAGATGCACTCATGCAAGATGGAGTATTTATATTATTCAGTTTATTCTGCGTACGTTTTTTTCCATACTGGCAGGTGCTAATAATATGTAGAGTTGGTGGTAATTATTGATAATATGCTGAGGTAAACACAAGATGGATTAGGTGGATAGTTGAGTCCAAGTTTTGAGCATTTTGATACCAAGTTGGATCATCGTTCTAATACTGTGGGAGGATCATGTGGAGGGCTTAAAGAATAACCAAGTAGCCATCGAAAGTGGGCCATGTTGCAAATACTTATTCACGAGGAAAACAACTGAGTCTATAAACATGACCCTAAGAATAAGAATCTTGGTGTAACAAATTTTATCTCAAATAGTATGAAACACCTTCCCTCTGCCCTCCTGGAAACCCCTAAAGAGTAACTAAATGGTAGCTATCAGAAGACTGCCATATTGTTGGATCTCGACAAACGATTCCAAAATGAAAATTGCACACTCATGAAATTATAAAAAGAAACTAGAATCAAAATTTTAATCTACAAAAATACGAATATGAAGATTAAGGAACCAGTTTGGTGAGATTAGGATGGATTTTGAGTAGAATGAGCGCTTCTGGTTCGATCGTTCGGTGTGTGGCTTCGTCATAGCGGTGTCGATCGTCGAAAGCAGCGTCGATTTCTAATTTGAAGAAATTATTTATGCACGGTTCGGGCCGGCAAGGCCTCGGTGCATAGAAAACACGTCGTACGTGATTAGTTTCAACGGGCATGAAATATCGACATCTTTATCGCGCCGCGCGGCGACGATCGCCGAGGCTCATATGCGATTCCGATCGGTCCGCGGGCATACCAAAGCTTCGTTCTCGCTTCCACCGGCGGCGCTGTACTCTCTTTTTCCCGGTGTTCTCCTTCCCTTTCTTCCATCATGCACGCCGTTCCATTTCTCTCGTTCTCGCTCGCAGAAAGATTCGGGCCACGCCGATTTTGCATGCCGCTACGCCTCACACGACGACCAATGAAACCTAATTTTTTACCATAATCTCTTTATGGCGGGGCACCTGTTTGCTTCGAAGAAAAATCAAATCTTTTTTCACGTTGCATGTTCCGACACTTCGAGGTTTTCAAATTTCATGCTCGACAAGATGAAGCTGCCGAAAGACTCACAGACTCGAATGGAACGAAATCTTTTTAAATTGGTGGAGCTAATTTGATATCTTATGCTGCTGTTATGTGTTATGTCTACTAAAGGGTGCTATCCAGTTAGTACCATATGGCTTCAACCATTTAACAAAAAAAAAGTAAATCCCTCTGGAAGAACATCAGCCACAACTAGTTTAAAGACTACTAAGTAATAATCTGGCTCGAATTAAACTTCCATTAGGAACTTATTGGCAATTGTCCGGCGACATTCACCTTCGCAGGATGGGCAATGAAACGCGTGGACGATGAATTTTGTGGAGACACGGCATTCTGCGCGCGACAAAGAACCATTGTACCTGTCGAACGGATTCCACCCTTTATGCTTCCTTCTGCAGCATGAGATCCCATTGTGTGTCCATGCGCGACACTGTTTCACGTTCTGAGTCACGGTTTATCGCTTTCTAGTCGCGTCTGGTGGACTGGTTTTGTTTTCCAATTTGGACGAAGATGAAATTCGATCGAACGACAGATCCATAGCTTCCGACTATCGCGATCATCTATTATTGCCATATATAATACTCTATAAAGTTCTTCATCGACTTTTCGTTCTAATGGGCGCTCCCCGGTCGAATCTAAAACGTGTACTACTCCGCACGTGACGGTATAACGAATCACGCGTATAATTCTAAATCAATTAAGAACCCATAAGGGACCACCGAACATAATACTGCCACTGACGTTGCGATTCGCGAGAGGTGCGATTCCGTCGACTATATTTATTTTCCTTGCAAACAATGCTTCTGACGAAGGAACTGTGGATCGCTCGAAAGTGATCCCGGGTAAAAGGAAAATTAGTTTCTATCGACAGACTCTACGTCACGAGACCATCGGCGTGCATGCCACGGGGAGAGACGTTGGAATTAAAATTCCTGACACCACGGTCCTTGCACGTCGCTTGCCAAATGGTTCAAACTGGCCCCACCATCGATCGCGGGCCGACGTATAAAAGAAAAATAGCCCCTGGGGGCAAACAGTCAAAATCAGAGCCTCGACCTCGCGATAGCAATACGATAATGCACGGGAAACTGCTGATCCTTTTGGCGCTGACGGCGTGCGTCGTCGCTGAGGATGTCACGGTTACGGGAACCACGGAGACCAAGTTGATCAAATCGATGGACGAGCTGAACCAAAGGAACAGTATTGGGATCTACGGCGACATGCTCACCCTGGAGAAGGTGGACGTGGACGAGGACCGTGAAACTATACTCAGCGACGACCCCCTCGTGAGCAGGATCGAGAAGTTTCTGAGGACTCGCAAGGTTCAGGTACATTTCCCCAGCGATGGATCCACTGCTGACGTCTTTGGTCGCGCTCTGGGCCAGAAGGACGTCGGGGTGGAACTTAGGGCACTGACAACCGGGGCTTCAGAAGGTGAGGTTACGTTCGAAGGATTTATAGATTTTGCGACAGAATTCTGAGTTAGAGAGTTTTTAATTGCTTGGAAAGAAAATTCTGATCTTGTGGAGAGTTTAGTTAGATCTCTGTTGCATAATGTAACCGATCAGTTCAATTTTATGGAACCCTTCTCAAGAATTAACGATGTCATAAATATGTAATTAAATGATAACGACATTTTTTAATCTACAAAAATTAACTTGTAACCCATTGGAAAGGAAATATTGTAAAAGTGTAACTTAGCACGATTTCCTATTTAAAAAGACGAATGTTGCGCCAACGTTTCCTAGAGGGCGATATCGTCCACTTCAGGAATTGCTGACTTGGATATTGATGCTACAGAGATGTAACAAACATATAGAATCTCTACAGAAATCTACAGAGAGAGAAAAAGGATATATTTGAAAATACTGCTAAAATTACAAGCCAAAATAGATATAAAATATAATTTTTTCCTGTGAAATTCAGTAACAATCCAATGTATGAATTACACACTCGAAAAGATGTCAAAATAATGGAAAACAAGCATACCAAAGACCTCAAAAGATAATTCAAACCCGTGACTTAGTAATCAAGATAATTTGACCAATAAATCTGTCCAATTTGTACTCTTTAAACCCAATTAAACTCGAAGGCATAAATTCTGTTGATTGCACCATTAATAACCATGAAAAAAAATTAAATCAACGGGTATCAAACGGTCATAAATAACAGGATAAGTCGGTTTGGAATCGCATTTTACGGTTCAGAAGTGCATTTTATGCATCCCAATCCATTCTACAGTATTCGATAAGAGTCCATGAGAGTATCAGTATCGATAAAAAAAAATTCAGCATTCCACGGAATTTCATGAGATATTGAGTCGACGTTAAAAACGTAAAAATCTCCTGAAAATTCGTCGGTTTCTACGCATGATCCACGAAGCCCACGAGATCTCGGTTGGCGCCAAAGTCACGCGAACTCGGACGCCGCGATCTCCCTTGTGAATGGACCGCGCGTCGATCGCGATCTTATAGCAGTTCGCCTTTCGAAAGTGTCTCCAATAAGGTGGAAGTAAGTCACCGCGGTAAACGACGATTGGCCGGAAAGTGGCACTTCCGGTGGCGCGGTTTCCGATTGGCTGCGCCCACCGATTCTCCCGTTCCTCTTTCGTCGACCCGTTTTCACGCCGGCTAAATTACCTACGGACTTTTTCGCGTTCTCCCGACGAATCTGGACGCTACGCCGTCAGCGTCTCGACGAGAGGCGACGCCAAACCGTGAAGAAGGACGCGAAGAGGGGGAGAAAGTAGCGTGTCTCGAGCATAGAAAGCCGCGAAGACGCGTCCCACTTCCTCCGCATCCGCGTGAACAACGACTGATGCAGGGAAGAAGTGGGCCACTATCGGGATTCCGGGTTTCTGGGACGGCCGTAGAGAGAACACGTCGAACGAGGACCTTGAACGAGAGTGCCACATGTCGAAGAAAGTAGACTCGCCGATAAGTGGCCATTAGACGCTCCTAGAAACCCCTACTCCCCGCCAAAACCGTTCGCCCAACGACGAATTTCACTTAATCCCACCGAATCCCTCGAGTGTGGGCCGCGTTTGTTTTCCCCGAACAGGACGCGGTTCATCGAACAGGGGAAAAAGTTCACGATCCGTCGCGATTAATCACTGAGAACCACACTGACGTTCAAAAGCTTGGAGCGGACTATATACCATTTTTTAGTATTCGAGATTTTATGAAGGATAAGCCGTAAAAAATACAAACCCCCTTTGAAAAGTTAAAAACAAAGTTCTGTAGTGCTCCATATTTGATAGAAATTAATACAGTTATCTTGAGAAATGGATAATTATACGCATGAAAGGTGCAAGTTCTGGTTATTGCCTTATTATACCATCGGTAACAATAACAATTTACGATTGAAAATTGCTATGGAGAGAAGTTTCCAACGGTTTACACGACCGACCGCGCAGTTCCTTAACTGTGCAACGTAGAAGGGTTACACTAACGCCCTCTGTGGATCGATACATCGCCCGCCATTTGAAATATATAAGATATGATTTTTAATCCTCGGAAAAGGGGATTTGATTATAGAGATTTCTGACCCCCGATATTTCCCTTTCGTTCCAGCCCGTACCAAGTTGAAGAAGATCCTGCTGCCACTCCTGCTGGCCCTGAAGCTAAAGGCCATAATCGTCCTTCCAATCGTGATTACTATGATAGGCCTGATAGGCATGAAGGGACTAGGAGCAGGCTTGATGTCCCTTCTTCTGTCGGGAGCAGTGGCCCTCAAGGCTCTCCTGTCGCCACCGCCATCTTACCCTGCCAGGGTGTCCTACGGAATAGTGAAACCCGAGATCCATCACGAGCAATGGCACAGGTCGCAGGAAGAGGTCAATCAACCTTACAGGGGTTGGGCTCCCGAGCTCGGTTCGGACCAATACCCCTATCAAGAACTACCATGATCCATTCTTCGTCATTCTTCATCCCCTCATCCCTTCATTTTATTTATTGAACCCCCTGTTATATAATCGCTGTGTTGAATAAAAACATCGTGCAGCCTCTTTTTTAATCTAGCGTTTTCATTCGCATACCCAAAACCCTTCAATGATTTATCGCTTTGGGATTGGACGTGATCTTTTCTTGGTATCATCTGGTACAAAATTAAAAGACTAAACCACGCTCTTCCGTGCTCACAATGGTCACTAGATCGCCCATTTTATACATTTAAAGCACACGCGAAACACATATGCAGAACGTATTTCATAAATTGATACAGTAATTTTTCACCACTTTCCCCTCCACCGATGGCCAGAAATAATTAAACAAATAATTCGAAATCTATAATCACGCGGGTAAGCAGGTTACCCGCGAAGGAGAAGGGTAACGACCTAAATAGAAGGCGACGCGGGAGAGAATGCAGCTGCAGGTGGGAGACAGTCGAGCAGGTGGGGGAGTAGGAAGAGGAAGGAAATCTGGGTCACTGTTACGAGAAAGGTGGGGAACCCGACCGTGGCCCCGATTGGCCGTTCCTCTTTCCCCCACCTCGGTGAATCCTCCGGATCAAGGTCAGTGGGTCGTTGCCTCCACGTGGACCCCCACCATTCTTCGCGGCCCACCACGCGCGATCGCTGGGTCCCCGGGAGTGGGGGAGTAACGGGATCGGTTGTGATCGCGTTGGGCCTTGAACAGGCCTGGAGAGGGCAGAAACCTCGGGTATATACGGCCCCGTCGAGAGGACAGCACCGTCAAGAGCTCCGCGGCTCCGGAGGACGCTCGTTCGGCTGAAGATGCATGACGGGTCCTTTGAGATTCGAGTCCCCTTTAGGCCCCCCTCAGGACTCTTTGGACGAGTTTCTTCCTTCGAGCATCCGTCCCACTTCTTTTTTAGGGCGAGAAGGATTGGATAAACGTTAGGAGCCTCGACTCTTCGGAAACGATTTCTTTTAGGGGTATGGGACGAAGCTTCTGTTTTTGGACTCAGTCTGAGAGATAAACTTTCGAAATTGTGTCTAATAAAACATGTAGAGCTACAGAAAATATTTCACAAATCTAGTACTTTTACTATTAATTGCATCTTTCTAGAACCACTGCTAGTTTCTAATCACATGACTTATTTTATAATTCCACTAGTAAGGAACATCTTTTAACTGTTTTAGTCCTTTCTCGAGACTTTTGAGGTATTTGAAACACGTCTGGTTAGTACCAGGGAACAATATCGAATCGACTGGTCTCTTTGTTCGTCGAGTCGTACAAGAATTCGACGCCTGACCCTAAAAAGAATGCGAAAGTACGAACGCGCGCGGTGCATTTTGAGCACGTAACGGATGCTCGTTCTCGAATTAACGAGGTCTCTGCCCAAGTGGCCAGACATTTTTCTCGTTCCGGCGGACCCACGCCTCGATACCGCGAGTGCGTTCGCACAGAACGGCCCGCGATGCGTCGCGGAAATATTAGACGCGTGAACCGACCGAACGCACGCGACCATGAACTCATAGATACCCGAGAATCGATTCCATCATGCGAACGCGTCTCAGAGTCCTGTTTTTTAGACGCATTAACACACTGGCTGATTTAACGGAACGTTTTCCGGAGATAGAAAACACTATTTCCACGCAAAAACTATCGTAACGCTTATACGTACGTTTCTCGTATTAATTTCTGGAGCACAAGAGAAGATGTACTGATCTTCCCAGGGTGTGGAAGACGGGAATCGATTCTTAAAAATTTGCATGGGGAGCAAGAAAACTTAGAAATTTTGTTGAGGGTAATTTTGCTGGAAATTCAATGCTAATCGAGATATAGCACATAATGTGGGTGGGGGGGAGCCAAAACTACCCTTGATGAGATTTTGCAATATGATGGAAGTTTGATTTTAAAATTGTGGAGGTTATAATTCTGATTTAATTTGGTTGACTGTGCCTGGAATTTCACGTCTCAAGAACGCAGTAGAACGAGTCGTTATGGTCAGACGCTCGGGCCGCCCTTCGTTCTTAACTACTGCGGAAGGCTGCACAAGTCGCCCCAGATTTACGTTCACGAATCTAACGAAATCCGTCGTTTCGTCCATAATATAAATATAAATAATATCATAGATTATTTTATGGAATAATATTACATATAGTCTCCTATTACTTCGTAATATTACCGTGTTCATCGACATCTAATATCAGTTTGCAAATTTACAAACGACCAATAATATGTAGAATAATTTTTAAAATATATGTATCAATTAATTTATCGAAACAACCATTGAATTGGTTGACAATCTCTCTCCAGAGCGGAGACGGTGGACATTCGAGCAGCTTTCCGAATCGCGTATCGCTGACCATCTGTTCCGTTCGCGAAACGATCGACGCGTTTTCTTCGATCTTCTGCGACGGAGGGACGGCGGGAGGTGGGAACTCTCGCAAATCGATCGACGGGCCGCAACTTTCTCAGAGCGTGTCAATTTTCGAACGAAAATGGGCTAACCGTCGAGCTCGATGCAGAACGCTCGAACGCCTAATGCCCGTGCAATTACGTTCGCCGTTTCGAATGTGTAATACGACGGTGGATCCGCGAACGATCGAGAGCAAAAATCGACAAAAAAAAAAGCGACTGGCCCGGAACGCGAGCTGGCCTGATTGCGGCGCAGACAGGGACAGTCGCGTAAAATCGTAGGTAGCGGCTCAATGGAAGCCACTTCCGTCGACTCGTCGTTTTTCTGGTTTCCGTGTTAGTTTCTACGAAGCTGAAAGCCCCGCCGCGGTTAACCTGGATACCGGGTGAATCGATTAGGACTTCCACGCGCGCGAATAGACGCGTTTATGCTCTTTATTCCATTCTGCATACCTTTGAAACCTTTACTACCAAAGGATTTCTCTCGATACGAAATCGTTATTTAAATTCACCCCTTTATCGAATCGTGAGCATTCTATGGATTTTATTAATGACTCCAATGTCCAAAGTACCAACATCTGCTGGAAGAGAATCATTATACGTAGATTAAGGTATACTATCGAGTATCTACGTTACGTTTTCACGCTATATCCGTGTCTGATCTCGCACGAATTCGTGATCAGAAGCGTGGCGACGGAACGTGACGAGAACGACACGGAGGACGCGAACGTGAAAACGCAAAAACGTTGCTCCCCCTGGGTGATTGTCGGAGAAACGTCGACAGACGAATTAAGGACACTTATGAAATTGCAAATCGGCCGGGAAACGGTCCCGTGGCGTGTTTTAATTTTCGCTTTCGCAGCCTTAGAAAGCGGAGTTGACGTTGCCGAGTCATTGACGTTCCGCGTCGCGCGGAATCGCGTCGCCATTGACGGAGGATCAGCCGCAAAATTCGTCCGTGCCGGATACGCTCAGCCGAGTTACGTGTTCCATACGCTCGGAGGATAGTAATAGTATACTCGAAACAGTTATGGGGAACGAGAGGAACACCCATTCACGTTTTACTTGCGGCACGATTCGACTATTGTCGATCCGGCGACGATTCGAAAGGCGTGCCTCGATCATCGACGCAACATTCAAACGAATCGAGTGCATTCTCTGTTATCTACGCCACAACTGGATCGGAAAAATTATATTTCTGCAAGCCTTTCGTCGTATAAATCGAAGTTTGAATCGGTCCTTTCAAGAACCTTGTCTCAAGATCAACTTTGACTTTATAGGATAATAGTTCACTGGAGAAGATTTGTATAAATAGCATATCAAAGAAGAAGGCCTCACGGTTCAGGAAAGGCCGTTTGCAAATTTTAGTCGACCGACGAACTCTGGTGGCTAGCGTCAGAACTCGCGATAAGCAGTATTTACTCGTTTAGAGCTCGATTTTGTGTACCTCCTACACGCTAAGAGCTCGTTCATTAGATTGCACAGTTATTTGACTGAACTTTTAATCATTCAATGTGAAACGTAACTCGATTGTACGAAAGAATAAATAATTTTTCGGCAAAAACTAATAAAACTGTATCTCTCATCAGCAGTAATTCAAAACTTTCTGAATAATTAAATATTACACCGTGTGTACAATTGATAACATACTCAGTGTTTCTATAAATTGTAACCATATGCTCTCATATTGAGCTTACGTTTAATAACAAATTTAGAAAAATGAATGAACGTGTTTGCTTTGGAGGGAGGCTCCATGAGCATCGATAGCGGCCCTGGGAATGATCGCTTATGTGTCTCGGAGCGAGTGGCCGACTCTGCGCCGGATAGCCTTGCGAAACAGGAGCAGCTCGCCAGAGATCGTACGATTATTAACGAAAGGAAGGCGTTGCGGTAAAAGGAAGTAACAAGTCGCGAAATAGATGCCTCGAGAAGAAGGCTAATCCGCTCTTTTCCGACACACCTGCTGGCCGAGCATGCGAGCGCATCGTCTTGGCCGCGCGAAATACCGCGCCAGGAATTATGCACCGATCGCGCTGGTCGAATTCATCGCTTTCGAATTACACTACGACGAATGGAACGCAATGTAAACAACCTGGAATGTCCGTGATAACTACGCACAAAGTACATCGTGGGTTCTACTTTGGCGCTAGATTTGGGGCGCAAATCCAACGACACGTGTTTAGAACTCGGTTTTAAAAACCAGATCGATGAAATGGTAGCCCTGAAAGTACAATGTTTACGAGGTCTGTTGTCTAAACGTACATTACATAATTCAAAGTATTTCTTTGCAATGGATTAAGACAGAAAGACTGAATTGAAGTTGCTCCATTTTTTAAACAAAAGTGGTATATTACTGATTTACGATTTGTTCCACGATTCTCTGAACATCGACCAGAAAATAGTCCTGGACGTAGTGAAATTTAATTGATTTGAATTGTTCCGGGAATTGAATAAAGAATTAGTGGACCTATGTTGAAAGATTCACTCTTAAACGATAAAATAATGTTTTAGAATTTTATTTTTCCTCCAAGATGGCGATTGGAATGCTGAAGCGAAGGTTGGGTGGTTTTCGAGGCGCGATCGCGGCGTTAGGTTCGAATGGCAAGCCTCTCCCGCCGCATCCGTGAAAATTGGCCGCGCACTTTCTCGCCGTCAGATCCGTCTGAAGCGCTGTCGTTCGAGCGTGGCGCGCGAAAATCCGATCTCCCGTCGAGCTAACTGGGCTAATTTAAAGTAGGCCTCCGTCTCGTTTCGCTCAGCCGAGGGAAATAATGCGATCCCCGAGTTTCGCGAAACCGGCGAGCTTTTCCGCTAGAAGCCTAATCCCGGATGTCGACGCCGCGACTTTGTCTCATCCTGCCACCTCGGTTTCGCCGTCGAGATGGAAAGTGGTTCCCCGATGGGTCGCTCGACGTTGATCCGAGATTTATGGGAATTTCAGCGAAATACGATCCCCGTCGAGATTTCCATCATAAATAAAATAAACGAAGACCGCTCCGTAACTGATCGAACTATAAATTCGATCCCGTATCGGTCATCATTCCTCGAGAAGACGTTAAACGTTCGTCGAGATTTTTGATCCGGAATAGATTGTATTTTGAGAAAAATAAAATAAATAATTCGACATTTGTTATCTGTTAATACTGTCCTTTGGATCTTCATCGGTAATAAATATTGAGAGAGGACACTTGTTTCACGAAACAAAAAGAAAAGAGAAAGTGATACGGTCGCGTCGGGGAAAAGAGGATGAAAATCTTTTTTGAAGAAAGTTAACGAGAAAGTAGGAAAACATGGATGCCGATCGCGTGAAATCGATAATTATCTCACCCTTGGGCCAAACGTGTTACTATCTTTATAAACTCTATTATTACCGTATGTATTTATTGTACACTGAAGTACAAAGTATATATATTCAGGTTGACAAGTCAGACATAAGCTACACGAGAAAGACGGTTAATTATAATATATTACCAACGATTTCTAACCTAACCTCGCAGCTATCATACAAACACAAATAAGATAAACGAGGAACAGAACTTGAAAATCTAAAAAAGGAAAAGTTTCGATCCCGAGTGCTCGTTTTATAGCATCCGTTATAAACTCAATTCTTGCAATTCCAAAGACGAACTCAACCGGGAGGTTCGAAACAATAGACTGTGAAATTTGTACTTGTTTTATTACATCCACGAGCTGGTATCATTAATTAATTATACAACGCATTGGCGAGTAAACGATCCGATGCTACGTCTCGAAGCAGAGTAGGTTGGATGATCGCTAATTTCATAGGGGTGGGGGAGTGTGATAATGAGAAGAAAGGTAGGAAAATGAGGCCCGGAATTTAGAAGTATGGAGAAGTGGAGTAGAAATAGATATCTGTCGACGGGCAAGACGAACGATTAGAGCGGATGAAATTCTGAAACCAAGAAGTGTATCGGTATTATGGCACTTGCTCCAACGAACGATTCACCTATTTATTAATTACGCTTTCTGGAATCTTTCTATTAAAACACTGTACGGGTCAAATCTTTAAATTATTGGCACTGGTTAAGCTGGAAATTACCAATGACTGTTTTTAGAAACGGAATTCATTCACAACGCGTTAAATTGCGCTAAATTCAGGACACAACTCGACCTTTCTTCGTCCAAAGCCCTCCATTTTCTTCTCAGGCACCCTCTACAAAACCTTTCCACACACTTCCAGTCCAAACAATTACTAAATGATCGTACCAAACATATCGTACGTAATCGTCGCGTCTGTCTTGAGCGATTCACCGATTCAACGTCTCCGATTTGGAGTCTCCAGCCCTGAAGATGCAGACTGCGACAATCTGTTGATATCTGACGAAGCCAGAGCCCCGTCTCGCGAGGGTTGTACAAACAAATTCGCGAGCCACTCGACGCAAAATGGAGAGAAAAACCGTACCGTAAAAACCGATACGCGATAATTCGCAGACCTTTCCCCGAGATGGCCAACAGCTGAACGACAACGACACGACGATGATTTTAAACGACAGGCTATAAAGCCTCCGATCGCCGCGCGTAGTGCAATTAAACTCGACGTTGCGGAGCGCGCACGCGATCGCTGACGTCCCATCGAGCGTGCTCGTGTGCGATATTAACCGTCGATAGTTTCTAGAGCACGTTGAATCGATAATGGAGGAAAGTCCCGAGGCGGTGTCGCGTGGCCTCTGAACGAATTCCACTGTGTACCCCGGGCCCGGGCGTCACTCGTCGCCCTTTTTCCACGCGTAAATTCGACAGAGATTCGAATTCTCCGCTCTATTTGACGCTCCCTCTCGCCGCGTGCGAGCGGCGCGGCGGCGGCGGCGGCCGCGAGAGGGCCCCTCGCCACCTCTTCGACGCCCGCGAAGAAGAGAGCACGTCGCCTCGGTGCTCTCGACTACGGAGAATGTATGGAACGGGCCGAAAGGCAAAAAGGAAAAAGGACTACCCGGTGACTCGCTCTATATATACTGCAACTATCCGAGGGTATGTCCAGTGCACGGTACGCGTCTCGTCCGTCAGCTTCGAGTCCTTTCGTCTTCACGAGGAGGTACGTTTCGCGCCGTAGCTACCCGACGTCCAGCAGGGTCACGGATAAGGGGCATCTCTGCCGTTGGATCGAACGAAACGTCGCCGAGAAACGAACCGTCCACTACGATGAAGGGACTAGCAATCCTACGACACCTGTCCCTTCCTCTGATTCTGCTTCTGTTGGTCGCGCACGGGAATGGCGAGATCGAGAGACGCGCCTCGAAGCAGATGGTCGAGGAGTCGCCGGAGACCCTGGCCTCGAACCTGAGCAAGGACTGCGGCAAGTCGTACAGTGCAACCTGCCTCAAGCTGGACGTAGTCTCGTTCCTGGACAGGCTCTCCGAGCAGGAGGACATCAACATCCTGCCAGGCGTGTCGGTGATCAAGGAAAACGGATCGGCCAACGTGCCCGCCGCGGAGGTGGTCGCCAACCTGGCCAGAGACTTCCCGAACGACGTGGAGAAGAGGCTGGACGCTTATCTGGTGCACAAGGTCGGCAGCTACCTGAACAGCCACTCGATATCCATCAAGCTGTTCGACCCGAGGACCTTCGAGGCGGCCAGGAACTTCAACGAGGAGACGCTGGCCCAGCTGGGCCTGGGCGGCGCGCAGAACGTCGGAACTGGTGAGAAATATTATTCTGTAGTCCAGGCGGGACGCTCGACAAGGTCTTGGTAAATTCGGTAATTTTTTAACGTGCAGGACGCAAGAAGGACAAGGGCAACGGAGCTCTGTTGGCCGGGCTGATGATGATGAAGGGCACCCTGGGCGCCGTGGGATTCGGTGCTCTGGCTCTTCTGGCGGGAAAGGCCCTGATGACCGGTCTGATGGCTCTGATGCTGTCCGCCATCGTCGGATTGAAGTCTCTCGCAAGCGGCGGCGAGAAGAAGACCACCTACGAGATCGTTAGCAAGCCCGTGTACTCGAGCGCGCACACTCACAGCTCCGAGGAGCATCACGGCCACGGGTACGGTCATTCCGGATACGGGAGATCGCTGGACACCCTCCAGGACTCCATCAACCAGGCGGTACTCAAGTACGGGAACGCGCGGGATCGTCGATCGATCTGGTTGAAATGAATTCGTCGATTGTTTGTCATCGAGGAGCCGGCGGCACGCGAGAGATCCACCAGCGCGTCTCTACCTCACCGGGCTCGTCTCCATTTTTCCTCCTTTTCGCACTTCACAAGTCCTGCCGATCCTCCTACCTCCTCCCCCATCCTCCTCCCACCTACGTATCTGCTCTTCCTCGCAAACTTCGTCTCGCTTTCTCGCGCGTTCTGTCCGCCACCTCCACCTCGCCACGCCTGGTCTCATTTCATCGCCCTGCGTTTTATCACCATTACAGTTATTCATAGATTCGTAGCTATTTATTGCGAACGTCGGGCGTAGTCGCGCCCACGACACCCGTGTACATCGTTTCACTTGTTATTTATATTTAACGCATTGTAAAGTTTTAATAAACGAACTATTTAAGAAGACCCACGATGACGATGGTCGACGTCCTTTCGAACATGATTCCCTTTCTTTCGCTCGCGGATTCGCACGAAGTGCTTTCTTTTCTTGGAAACGTCCGAATCGGAACGAGAACCGATGCTAGGAGGGTCCCGGTTCGGTTTAGTTATGGAGGAATTAGTAGTGCACGTACTAGCTTTCTTTCGTCGATTCGAACGATTTCAATTTACGAACAGACATCGCAGTGTGAAGCCTGCACTTCGCTTCGGTTTCCTGTCGCGGAAATTGTATATCGCGCTGGTAATTGCTGGATGAATATACCACTCAATTAGAGTGATACAAAAGAAGGTCGTCCCCTTCACAACGCCGGGAGTTAGGCTACCCGATGCTGCCCGAGCGTCCAAGCAATCGTGGTCATCGTTCATCGGGGGCTCTGGACTACAGGAATCATCGCTACTAAATTCTAGATCTTATGCATTTACAAGAATGTTACATGCAAAATATTGTGCAAAAATTAATATCAATAGGCTTTCAAGGTTTCTGAATATTCGAAAATCAAATTAGATGAAAAGGACTCATTTTTCTTGGCGTATCGAGAATTTCAGAAAATTAACACTGTATGATCGAGAATTAAGCGTCAGTAACAATATTGATTTATTCTATTCGCGTTGCAATAACCCAGAGTTCTCGAACTTTTATTAAAAGTGATCCTTCACAAAATGTCTGAAATTTCTAAGCAACGACCATCGTGAATTTGTGCATCTCGTTAATGGATTTTCCCACGAATAATTATACTTTACTAGCTCCAGTCAATTAATAATTGACTTCTAACTTTTTATTATCTTATGCACAGTGTTATGTTTCTTATCTCACCGTTTGTCGTCGATTTAACGAGTTGTCCCTGAAATCTCGAAAGGCAGGATCCTGTTCCGCCCGCAAGAGCCCGAAGTCAGGCTTGTCATTAAGTAGTTATTTGCCCGGGCGTTGGTAAATGACAATCGTGACGGGACGCTGGAAAAATCCAAAGGATGACATAAATCTCATTGTATATAAACGATTACGGACGGATGGAGACCAGTCTTTGATAGTCGGTGGACCCGAAGTCAAAATCTTCGTCATTGGGCATCGATGTCGACCTCGAGGATCGTCGAAAGGGTGCGCGGACTCGTGCTCGTCGCGTTTGTGGTGCACCTCGTCGTTGTCCAGGGCCGTGAAAACAATGGGACGATCAAGGATCTCAGGATCGACGTGGATCCGTACAAGTTCATCGGGACCAACGTTCGACAGCAGTACTGTGCATTTGTTTCTCTATTTTCGAAATGTTTTTGAACGGTTTAGAGCTTTTGTAATAAATAGTTAATACACGAAATTTATCTGTATCTTGAATGATATCCCAGTAAAAATTTGTATCTTTAATTTGGGATTTAATGCTTAGTTCTGGTCGCCAACTGTTCGATTACCGAAAGAACGGAATCAGAGTGGACGTGAAAGTGGTACCAGCACCGAGGAACGAGTCCACAACGAACGACAACGATGGTTTCCCAGAATTCCCCGCGAAAGACATAGGCAGCTGTATTATTAACTTCTCGTTGGTCTGCGCGAAAAAGCGTTTTGGCCGATTTTTGGAGTCCATCAGGGAACTGAACGAGATTTATTTGATGGGTCCGGAGATCAAGCTGGTAAAAATCAGAGTGGTCGATGAACATAAGCCTGAAAACGACACCAATTATGGCATCGAGCGCAGCGTGAACGATTTCTTCGACACGTTTGCTCTGAGGATCACGGTACCCAAGTGGAATGGCAAACGAGAGAAGAATCAAATCGATCTCATGTACGACGAGACCGATGCTTCCGAAGGTTGGCAGAGTCAGGATAATTTAGACTATTTTGAAACTTAACGTTAAATTTCAGCGTACAAAGAATTGTCCAAAATTAGAAAAATTATTTTATGGGTAGTTCGAGGTTGTCAGACTCAGTTTGTTACAGGACGAGGCAAAGGGGGTGGAGGAGGAGGAGGAGGAGGCGGCGGGAAAGGTGGGAAAGGTGGCGGTAAATGCAAGATGATGATGATGGCAGGTTTAATGATGCTCAAAATGAAAATAATAGGTAAGATAGTAAAAGTATACTCGTCGATTTAATAAATAAACGGTGGCTAACTGTCGATCTTAAAGAAGCTAATTTCACCTAATGCTTCGACTCATAGAGTTATGAATATGAAATGAAAATTAGAGGAAGGAAAGTTTGAAGAAGGAAAGTAAAATGTCTTTTCTGTTTCGATTATCTGACTGTTCTTTCGCACGACAGGAGTGGCAACGATGAAGGGCATGATGATGTCAGGCATGTCTCTCATGATCTCTATGGCGATGTTGATGCACAAGTTCATGAAAGGTGGAGGAGGATACGGTGGAGGAGGTGGAGGATACGGTGGTGGAGGAGGTGGAGGATACGGTGGTGGAGGAGGAGGCGGAGGTAACACCCTAATTCGATCATTAATTTGTTTAATGTTTTGTTCTTTGTATTAATCAGCATCTTGTTACCAATCTATCATAATTTCTTTTTATTTAAAAATGTTCAGGCCATTACAAGGAAATCGTTCTGCTGACGAAGTCTGCTGGCGGTGGAGGCGGAGGTGGAGGCGGAGGTGGAGGAGGAGGATATGGTGGAGGAGGAGGGTACGGTGGAGGAGGAGGGTACGGTGGAGGCGGAGGCGGGGGTGGAGGAGGCTGTTGTCCACCTTCTGACAGTTACGGTGCTCCACCATCCAGTGGCTATGGGGTTCCATCAAACAGCTACGGTCCTCCATCGGGTGGCGGTGGTTACGGAGGTGGATGGGGTCGTAGTTTCGGAAGACGATTCATAACCGATTATGACAAAACAAATCACACTGTGGGCAAGAACAATTCAACTCGTGCGATAGGAAAGTCCATTACCAATGCAACATCGACCAGCCATCAGAGTTATGGGAGCCCCATGAATTCTACCTTCAAGTTCTCGAATTGGAACTCGAGTCATGACGAATTGCAGGGATACGAGTACTCGAGTAATAATAATAGCAACGTTGGAAACAACTCTGATGAGGAGCCTCTGTTGCGTTCAGGGAGAGATAATTATACCATAGACTCGGATGTTCATCAAAACGACACTTCGATTCCAGCTGGTGACTACGTGGACACTGTTGACCACGTTGGTTCCACGAACTATATTGCAAACTATGATACGAACGTGGCGAGGCCAATCTATACCGACGAGTGGCAAGCCACTGAAGAAAAAATGGCGCCATCGAATCTTAGGAGAGAAGTGTTGGGAAGCAGAGAAAATCTGCAAATACAGAGTGAACCTCTGCATGGAATTTGAAAATAGTCTAAGGAATCTGTGAGGCGATCTTTTATGTACATTTTGAGAATAAATTTAACTTTGAAAGTTAAAATGAGTACATCTGATTTCCCCGTTCCCTTCGACTCGATTAAAAATAATTAGTGTACCTAGATATCCTATTATACTAATATTATATTATGTATACAAGTATTTTAAACTAAGCTGAGAATTGCATTTCTAATTAATCGCACTTAGGAACTGAAACCAGAGTGTTGTTAGTTTCCAAGCGTTGCTCAGCAAATATACTCTTGTTATTAGCAATAATTTTCACCTGTGGGCATAAAGCAGTGGCGCGATCTTTCGAACGACCTGCCAAGACTCTCGACAGGTGAGTTTTACTACAGACGAGGTGCACGACAAACCGGACGTTCGATGGAACTTTCTAACCCACGATTATGGACCACTGGAGCTCCCTTACCGTTTGTCACAGCCAACGTTATCGATTCAGAATAAAAATAAATCATTTATATTTATAATTCGTCTATCATGAATATTTCCATCCTTGACTGGGAATTGTTTCGAACGAAGAGAACGTAGAATTAAGTTTAAAATTCGTAATTTAGCAGAAAATTGGAGCACTTCTTAATTAGATACTGCAACGAACAAAGGTATTAATGCAATTAGCGCACTGAGCATACGGATATGTGCCCGGGAGACCAGGATAATGTCGGTGGGTGGTAACACAGTGGTTAAAGCGGCTCAGTAGGCTGGAACCCAGAGATCCCATATTCGAATCCCGCTATTTCTGCTCCCTGTCCTAAAGTATACGTTTAGATGTAAATGATCATTAGAAAGGCATCGAAAGTAGTCGACTAGTGTTTGGATCTGTGATTACCGTAAGCTATAAGTAAATTAACAGTCTACGAATATTTGTACTCGGTCAAATAATTATTCAATCGATAATTTTTTCTTTAGCTCACTCACTTCTTCCCGGTTTCAATCGCCATTGCTTTTCGTAACGAGAAAGTGAAAATTTTAGTCGCCTACCAGGATTTAGGATAGTTGTAACATTGAAAATGTTCTGACGGAATAATTGGAACTTGTTACAATATTATCTAACAGTGATAGATTCGATAGATCATCGAACAATGATTCAGGAAATAATGTGATCAGTTTACCGTGTTTACCGACATCGATAGATCACTTGATAATGGCGGTCAGAGTCATCGTTCTTCAATGTAGAGTGCGCTATATAACCACTGATTTTATACGACGTCGATACTTCAGTTCGTGGGAAAAGGAAATTACAG